ACCAGAAATGGGCTTCACACATTGTACCCATCGAATCGAATCGAACCCGGGTCTTCGGCGTGACGAGCGAACGCTTTAACCACTAGGCTTACCCGATCGCCCCCATATCAAATCACAATCACGTACTTTCATTGAACGATTTATTGTATTGATTTCCATTTGTCTGTGTCAGATTTAGACAGCCATTGACAAAATTGTGTGAGCATTCTCTTTGCATAAATGAGTGAGTGAGTCGGATTTACCACCCCTTTGAACAGTATTTTTTAATAAATCACAGGAACCAGCTTAATGTGGGAGGAAAGCACGAAGTGCAGGTCTCAAACGTTTACCACGTTGGTGAAACCCACGAGCACGGTCTGGTGTTGACAAACTTAGAAACATATTCACGGCTAACCGAAATTCGAAATCACGATCATAGGTTTCTGGCGTGCCCAAGGGACGCAACTCTGCACAACGACTTGCGGCGCTCTAGACGATTCTTTCTACTCGGCTTAATAGATATTAAGCTAAAAATAATTCAACAGCCTATCTCGACTTGCGAATAGCTCACATGTAAATACAACCCTTTGTCGTTGAAAGTGTCCGAAAATAGAAGCATGACTTTAAATTCGTTAATGCGTGGGAGTTAGTACATAGACTACACCCACAGTATAAAGCTTCCCTCTGATCAATATCATTGTCTCAAACACAAACGACGTAGAATATGCAATTAAGCTCCTATTAGAGATATAACACATTCCGCACGTATCACAAATGGCATATAAACATTCTCTAAATTAGACGTACAGATAATAATGTTATGTTATTGCCAGTCACGTTACTTTCTGAAATGGCGACATAGCCTAACACAAAGCATGGAGCAGAATACTAAACACGAGCTTCAGAAATTATTTACAGCACAATATCCTCCTGATGGGTCGTAAATAATGTCTTTGGCCATTAAGATAACGTCTGACCTATCCACGCGGTCTTAGAACGCTGTGATGTCACAGTCAAACTGACGTGAGTCAATGACGCCATATTGGAGGTCGACGTATTGGGTAAGGGTTTATAAACACTCGTCAAGCCTCGTTATCAACTTCAATAGACTCGGCCCTGCTCTTACTAAATAATTAGCGGTCGGTCGCCCTTTGCTATTTGACCAGTGGACAGAGCATATAATCCCCCAGGAAGCGAGCACCTGCGTTTATATTTGTTATGCGATATTTAGCACATATTTTCGTGTTGGTCGAGGCCATATTCTCGTACATAAAGCTCATATCACCGCGTAATCTGTCTCCCAGACGTTAGGGAATTATTTGTCGACTCCTGGCTCCATTTTGATTTGATTTTGCAGACATATATTTGTTACAAAGATAATTTTATATCTGGGACGAAATGTTAGTCTAATAACTACTGCTTTGCTGTCTGGAGAGTATAAAGGTTTAGCTATACCCAGGTGCTGTGTAAGATCATGGTATAAGAACTTGTTTGGTTCTTAACGTGTTCTTGTAGTTCTTTGATTGGACTAATACTGTGCATCTTTGCACCACCCCTGGATCCCTGTATGCAATGATGCGTTGGAACTCCGTTATCTGGGCCCGCTTACACAAAGCGATGTTAGCGCTATGATGGTCTTAACTCGGGTACTCAAACAAAACTAAGATCGGTTTGTGTAAGTGGACCCTGTGCATTAACATTCAAGTGAAATCGTCCTGATTACCGAAACAGCGATACAGAATAATACCCCTTGTAGATGGTCCTAACTTTAATTGCAAGAGTATTCGGACACGTACTATTGAGAATGAGATGGTTTGCCTGTTTAACTCTATTTCAGTTATATCACGGTGTGTCAGTTTAAGCCAGAGGTATGCAGGTATTTTCCACCTCGGTTAAACCACAAACCAAGAAGCATAACCATAGCGAATCTGATAGTCGAACCCAGGATCATAGATGTTGGAAACGTCTAAGGGACGCAACTCTGTACAGCGACGACTTGTTACCCTTTTACCCACACGTCCTTCGTTGTATAGTAACATGTAACTAGTATTCATGACGAGTTTTATGGAATTAACCTCTCATTTCAGAATTTTAAATATTTTTGTTGAAGTGGATAGAGCGCGCTAGCCTTTTAAGTGGGGTGTCTCCATGCTGTAGTGGATAGAGCACTCTAGCCTTTTAAGTGGGGCGTCTCCATGATGTAGTGGATAGAGCACTCTAGCCTTTTAAGTGGGGTGTCTCCATGCTGTAGTGGATAGAGCACTCTAGCCTTTTAAGTGGGGTGTCTCCATGCTGTAGTGGATAGAGCACTCTAGCCTTTTAAGTGGGGTGTCTCCATGCTGTAGTGGACAGAGTGCGCTAGCCTTTTAAGTGGGGTGTCTCCATGGTGTAGTGGATAGAGCGCGCTAGCCTTTTAAGTGGGGTGTCTCCATGCTGTAGTGGACAGAGTGCGCTAGCCTTTTAAGTGGGGTGTCTCCATGGTGTAGTGGATAGAGCGCGCTAGCCTTAAAAGTGGGGCGTCTCCATGGTGTAGTGGATAGAGCGCGCTAGCCTTTTAAGTGGGGTGTCTCCATGCTGTAGTGGATAGAGCACTCTAGCCTTTTAAGTGGGGTGTCTCCATGGTGTAGTGGATAGAGCGCGCTAGCCTTTTAAGTGGGGCGTCTCCATGATGTAGTGGATAGAGCGCGCTAGCCTTTTAAGTGGGGCGTTTTGGCCAGATCATACCATGGTAACAGACGTTAAAAGGTGGTACTTGTTGTTACCCTGCCTGGCACCTGGCATTAAGGGAATAAAACAAGGACTGGTCTGTTCGGGGTCACTATATAATGAGTGGGGTATCCATGTTAAACGCCGTCACGGTATCTCAGTCGGCTAGCACTACACAAGTCCGAACGTGTACTACCAGTCACACACACGAGTGCATACATGTCGATACACGAACAGTCTTAAATCTGTCTTTCACAGACAAGTCATGCTCTGTCATGTCTATGAAGGCCGAACCCATTAACTACCCGATATAGCATCACTGGAAACAGAGCCCACTCCAAACGGATGCTAGGCAAAGATGACAAAACAAACTACAATTTCAGTTTCAGTCGCGTGTCATCCGTGGTATCCGTCAACAGCATCATGCGCATCGATTTCGGACATCCCGCTACCAGTTCGTTAATTTGTCTCCAAGAACACCCCTTCCTAATATCTATTTTTCTTCTAATATGAATATCTGAACAAACAGATGTCCTTGAGCCCCGAGCTTTGTTGATTACAATATTCAGTTGCTGTGGCACTTTGTGCGCTCCAACACATTATCTGGAGCATCAATGTCGGGTAAAGTACGTGCATGTCAGTCACTCAAACACATTACCGTGTTTCTGTATTAGCTTAATGTCAACCCACTCTCAAGCCAGCTATGTACTTTGTGTTAATGGCATAATGGAATACATAGAGAATCTCGCCCGAGTGTCTTTTGATATCAAATATAATAACACGGGTTGATAAAAGTGGAAAAACTCCGATATCTACATGGTAGATATCGCTTTTATAAATCATTGATTTGGCCTATTTCGATTTAAGAATGATATTGGATGATAAATAAAATATCACCCTCGTGTCTTTCGAAATAGACTCGTTGGTATATTTGATATCAAAAGACACTCGGGTGAGATTCTCTATTTATTACCCACGATGACGAACATATCCGGGTTCACGAAAATCTTAATGTGCCCATGTGTCATATCACGTCACGAGACAACAGTGTATAGTTTCCGTCATCTTGACGGCAGTGTTGACGTCATTCGAATCTTATTGTGACGTGAGGTCGGAATGACGTCAATCTAGAAACGACGTCATAGCTGAAGATTGTTGACGTCATTCGAAAAATTGTGGTTCAATTGCCGTTGCGACTTGCTGGCCTTCTAGGTAAACACTAATATTCGTCTGTGTGTGTAGACATCTTCTTCGGTGATAAACAGAACATTTTATGAGTGTTCATGTCATACTATGTTTACAACGTTCGTGTCGTGAACATAGTATGACATGAACACTCCCATACTACTAGTATCCTTTATATATTATACATTTGTTTTCAAAATGCTTTCAAAATATATTAAATCAGCCAATAAATGGGTACTCAAATACATATGTTCGTGGAGCGGTTACGAAATAGCGGTATTCATACAGGCTATTACCTCCGAAAGATTACTGTATTCTCGACTTCGGTTTCTTTGATTCAGTATGAGCAAGACACTTTGTAAACAAACAAAAAAATGTTTTGACGTAAAATTTATTAAAGTGAGTGATTAAATGGAAATATATACTTAACATATATATTTCCTTAACAGTATATAATATCGGCAAGATATTCCATATAAACTCGACGACCGGAATTTGGTCGCGAGCTTAATAATTCGGGTCACCTTCTGAAACTATCCGATCCTTTAGATGACCCTCAGTCTTCCTAGTCACATTCTTAAACCACCGATCTCCATTTTAATGACCCACATTTCTTCTGGTGTCATTCTGAAACCGACCGCCTCGGTGGTCTAGTGCGAAAGGTTGAGGGTTCAATGCCCCGTCGCATCATATCAAAAGACGTTAAAAGATGGTACTTGTTGTTACCCTGTCTGGCGCTCGGCATTTAGGGGAAAAACAAGGACTGGTCGGCTTGGAGTCAGTATACTGTGTCTGAGTGGGGTATTCATGTTAAACTGCGGCATGGTATCTCAGTGGGCTAGCACTTTAAATCGGAATCTGTCCGGACTAGTACAAGTAGCCACACATACACGTGCATCCACGTCGCTATATAAGTGCAATCTTGATCGCGACGTTAAACCCCATTTCACCTCACCTCACATTCTGAAACCACCCGATCTCCATTTATTGACCCATAGTCTTCCTGGTCATATTCTCAAACCACTCGACTCACATTTTAGTCGGTTCTTGCAAGTATTGGATACTTGGACAAAAAGAAATCACACATTTCCAGTTCACATCCAACGTGAAAGACACTCTGACAAAGCGGACTAAAAAAAATCTGCTATATTGTTTAACACCGCACCATCAATCTTGCATTTATACGTGGCAACTATTTACTCCGAGACCGTTTCAGAAGGGTTCTCAGATTTACTGTTACAGTTCAACTAATAAACAGTGCATTGAAAATCAATAATATTTATCACTACGACATCACTGAACTACATTATTAAAGCGATATATTATTTGAGCTTAAAATTTGTTCTGAGTACTACTCTTCTGCACACTGCCTGATATATGTCAGGACACGCGTAACGTCTTCACGACCATACACAGGTCAGCTTTAACCATCCTGACCCGGGTACTCTACAGGACGAACTGAGCTGCCAGTGCCACCACAGGGGCCGCCGTGGGGACCCCCGGGTATGGCCCGCATGACCCCGCGATATCGATGTGGGAGTATCTCAAGGGGGTGGCAGAATCTTTGCCATGCTGGAATAGATAAAGATTATCATCATTATCTTCACTGTGACATACGGGTTTTGATAAAGAGAAAGGTTTGATATACTAAACTTTCCTCTAACTACTTGGTAGTTTATACTGAGGGTGCTGTCGAGATTCCATGAACGACCTGCCAAACCTTGTCAATATGAAGTTGCCACATGCACGACCTACCAAACATTGTCAATATCAAGTTGCCACATGCAAGACCTACCAAACATTGTCAATATCAAGTTGCCCTATGCACGACCTACTATACCTTGTCAATATCAAGTTGCCCCTCGCACGACCTGCTTTACCTAGTCAATATCAAGTTGCCCCATGCACGACCTAACCCACCATCTCAATATCAAGTAGCCTCATGCAAGACCTAGCATACCTTGTCAATATCAAATTGCCCCATGCACGACCTACCATACCTTGTCAATATCAAGTTGCCCTATGCACGACCTACCACACCTTGTCAATATCAAGTTGCCCCATGCACGACCTACCATACCTTGTCAATATCAAGTTGCCCCACGCACGACCTACCATACCTTGTCAATATCAAATTGCCCCACGCACGACCTACCCCACCATGTCAATATCAAGTTGCCTCATGCAAGACCTACCATACCTTGTCAATATCAAGTTGCCCCACGTACGACCTACCCCACCATGTCAATATCAAGTTGCCTCATGCAAGACCTACCATACCTTGTCAATATCATGTTGCCCCATGCACGACCTACCACACCTTGTCAATATCAAGTTGCCCCATGCACGACCTACCATACCTTGTCAATATCAAGTTGCCCCACGCACGACCTACCCCACCATGTCAATATCAAGTTGCCTCATGCAAGACCTACCATACCTTGTCAATATCAAGTTGCCCCATGCACGACCTACCCCACCTGTCAATATCAAGTTGCCCCATGCACGACCTACCATACCTTGTCAATATCAAGTTGCCCCATGCACGACCTACCCCACCATGTCAATATCAAGTTGCCTCATGCAAGACCTACCATACCTTTTCAATATCACGTTGCCCCATGCACGACCTACCACCCCATGTCAATATCAAGTTGCCCCATGCACGACATACCTCACCATGTCAATATCAAGTTGCCCCATGCACGACTTTCCCCACCCTGTCAATATCAAATTGCCTCATGCACGATCTACCATACCTTGTCAATATCAAATTGCCCCATGCACGACCTACCATACCTTGTCAATATCAAGTTGCCCTATGCACGACCTACCCCACCATGTCAATATCAAGTTGCCCCATGCACGATCTACCCCACCATGTCAATATCAAGTTGCCCCATGCACGACCTACTACACCTTGTCAATATCAAGTTGCCCCATGCACTGCCTACAACTGGGCAATATCCAGGGGCCCATACTACCTGGTCGATGCCAGCCGCTATCATCATGAATGCAGGAGGGGACTGATGTCCTCTATGCAACCAAGGACCAGGGTTACGGATCATGCACTGGAGTGTGTGCTCATACTCCGACGCCCCCTTGTGGACACGGTAATCCTACACGAGAAAGAAGACGGCATGAATAGGACTGCCATACCTTGTCAAGGCCCGACGCCATCATCATGTAGGCCGCGGGAGACTGGTGACCTCTGCCGACTTGTGGGGCACCCACACCAATCTGGCATTGCAAGGTGTCTTCGTATTCGGACTTCCCCTTGTGGATGGTATAGTCCTGTGATGATGATTGTGATGATGATAATGATAATATTGATAACGTGATAATGATAACAATGTAATAATAATAATCATAATTATAAACCCTCTTTGCTGCATTTTGCAATCTGTAAATAATAAAAATAATAACAACGATAATGATCCTTTACATGGATCACCCTGAACTTATTGCCAATGGTGGATCTACACTAAAAAAACCAGATTCAACATTCTTCATTGAAAATTTTGAAACGTGGCAAGGTAGAAGAGGGCGGATCAGTCAGTTTACTTGGAGGAGGAGTTATTGGCCATCTTGTGGAAGGTCAGGCCTATACGTACTTAGGGATGCAGATTAGGGACAAACTCCAGAATGCCCATATCAAGGAAAAACTTCGGGCTGGGTACAAATGTAGAAAATCTGGAGTTCATAGCTGAACGCTCGCAACAAAGTCAAAGCCACAAATACTTATGCTAAGCCCGTCCTTTCTTATTTATTTGGTGTTGTTGATTGGACGAAACAAGAAATTCAGGGTATTGACACCCTCATACGAAGAATCATGTCAGACAATTGATTCCGCCACCCTCGCTCTTCCCTCAATCGCTTATATTTACTAATTATGATGGTTTGATTAATGTGGAGGAATTGTTTTTGCACTTTTGTACACATTTATTTGTCTGATGATCCTCCTGTGAAGCATGTCAAGACTCATGATAAAAACAAGGCATTCCACAGTTTTCTAAAACGAGCCAAGGACGTGGGACATAATCTCAATGTCATTGTTGATTATGTTGATGGTACTGTACTGCTGGACGGTACAGAAATGAGTGTCAACCAAGCGAATTGCCATATCAAATCTGCCCAGACTCAGTTCTTCAAGGAGAGGCTTTCTGAGCGACCACTGCATCGAGTTTATGTGCAGTGTGTTGAGAGGGTAAGCGACCCTGCAGAGTCCTTCGCCTGAATGAAGTCGGCTTGCCTGTAAAGTGAAACAGGTTTTCTCTTTGCTTCTCAGGACCAGCCACTTCCCACTCGAAACCGTCAATGTGTGATTTTGCATCAACATGTAAACATGAAATGTAGATTATGTAATGAATTGAATTAGACTGTCCAACACATTGTCAGTGGATGCCAGCTTTGGCACAAACACAGTGTCTTCAGCGACATGATGGCGTAGCTCGATCATTTTATTACCGTCTTCGCCATGCTTGTGGTTTTGACGTAGAGGGCCACCCATTAATATGTAGAGGGCGTCATGGAAATGATAAATACAAAATTCTTTGGAATAGGCCCATTTACAGCCTTAGACGTATCCGGGCCAACAAACCTGATCTTGTCCGTTTTGATAAATCCAATGAAATCATTTATATCATTGAATTTTCTGTCCCCTTTGACACTGATGTGATTGACAAGATTGAGGAAAAACATAGCAAATATGCGGACCTCACGCTTGCATCCCAAGTACCAAGTTGTCCAACTCCCCATTGTTTGGGTAATGCAGAAAGCTGCAGTGTTGGGGAGTCTTCACATCCTCCGAAAAGTTCTGGGTGTGTTTGACTCGGCAGCGCTTCTTTGGAGAAGTCCCATTGGTTGTCTGGGCTGCGTGTGAGGGGGCAAGGGCCCTGAGCTGATGATGAGCCTAACCAGCCTGACTGTGCCAGGATCACCCAAACCCTCTTTGCTGCATTTATTATTTTAATCTGTAAATAATAATAATAATAATTACAACAATATAGCGACCCTCATTTGTTATAAACTTGGTCTCTATTTGCTACCACTTTGAATGATTTGTCAGTTGTTCAACGCTGCACTCTAGTAAATAATAGAGTCTGGACCAGACAATCCAGTGATCGATATTGTGAGCAACGACCCACACCACCAGGGTATGGAGACACGCTATCAACCAAGTCAGCGAGGCTGACCACCCGATCCATTAGTCGCCTCAAACGACCAGCAAAGGTTGCTTGAGACCTATTCTAACCATGAATCTCCAATGAATAATCTCACCAGACCTGGGTAGGTGGCATTCACCGACCAGCTGTTTTACTCCCTAGTCAAACAAAATACTTTAAGTGCTGCTACCTCTCTCCTGATGGTCGACACCTCAAGTGGATCCCCGAACCTGTCTCCAGACTTCTGTATGGCATGGGCCGAGTCCACCTCTCCCGCCGGCCCGTTGTCCATGATAATCTGTGGACAGATCAGGCTGAATGATACCAGGTTGTATAGAACATGTGGACAGATGGCACTGAATGGTACCAGGGAGTATAGAACATGTGGACAGATGGCACTGAATGGTACCAGGGAGTATAGAACATGTGGACAGATGGCACTGAATGGTACCAGGGAGTATAGAACATGTGGACAGATGGCACTGAATGGTACCAGGGAGTATAGAACATGTGGACAGATGGCGCTAAATGATACCAGGGAGTATAGAACATGTGGACAGATGGTGGTAAATGATATCAGGGAGTAAAGAACGTGTGGACAGATGGCGCTGAATGGTACCAGGGAATATAGAACATGTGGACAGATGGCGCTGAATGGTACCAGGGAGTGTAGAACATGTGGACAGATGGCACTGAATGGTACCAGGGAGTATAGAACATGTGGACAGATGGCGCTGAATGGTACCAGTGAGTATAGAACATGTGGACAGATGGCGCTGAATAGCACCAGGGAGTATAGAACATGTGGACAGATGGCACTGAATGGTACCAGGGAGTGTAGAACATGTGGACAGATGGCGCTGAATGGTACCAGGGAGTATAGAACATGTGGACAGATGGCGCTGAATAGCACCAGGGAGTATAGAACATGTGGACAGATGGCGCTGAATGGTACCAGGGAGTGTAGAACATGTTGACAGATGGCACTGAATGGTACCAGGGAGTATAGAACATGTGGACAGATGGCACTGAATGGTACCAGGGAGTATAGAACATGTGGACAGATGGCGCTAAATGATACCAGGGAGTATAGAACATGTGGACAGATGGTGGTAAATGATATCAGGGAGTAAAGAACGTGTGGACAGATGGCGCTGAATGGTACCAGGGAATATAGAACATGTGGACAGATGGCGCTGAATGGTACCAGGGAGTGTAGAACATGTGGGCAGATGGCACTGAATGGTACCAGGGAGTATAGAACATGTAGGCAGATGGCACTGAATGGCACCAGGGAGTATAGAATATGTGGACAGAGGGCGCTGAAAGGTACCAGGGAGTATAGAACATGTGGACAGATGGCACTGAAAGGTACCAGGGAGTATAGAACATGTGGACAGATGGCACTGAAAGGTACCAGGGAGTATAGAACATGTGGACAGATGGCACTGAAAGGTACCAGGGAGTATAGAACATGTGGACAGATGGCGCTGAAATGTACCAGGGAGTATAGAACATGTGGACAGATGGCGCTGAAAGGTACCAGGGAGTATAGAACATGTGGACAGATGGCACTGAAAGGTACCAGGGAGTATAGAACATGTGGACAGATGGCACTGAAAGGTACCAGGGAGTATAGAACATGTGGACAGATGGCGCTGAATGGTACCAGGGAGTATAGAACATGTGGACAGATGGCGCTGAATGGCACCAGGGAATATAGAACAAAATTCTGAGTTTACTGGTTTTGAATGACTTGAATTAAATTTGAAATGACCTAGTCTCTCTTTAAAGGTAAGGTCCCGTTCCCGGTAGTGCCAAGACAATCGTAACTCCTATATTTTAACATCGGCTTACGCCAATCGTATCACTAAGATCGCCTTGTTGGAGCGAGCCGAGCACGTTACATCCGAAGTTTGTCATTCACCTTAGCAGTAGCAACAAGTAAGACTTTTCAAGAATTAGATTGGGTTCGCTGAAGTCGGCTATTAGCGACATTGGACCTCATATCCAGAATTGACAGTTTATGGTATTATGCGAGTTTTTGGCAATCAAGGACGACACAGACAGTCCTTGTCCCACATTTGTCACCACTCGCTCCTTTCCGTAACCAGCAATATGTCACGGAGATATACGAATAGTGACGAATGCGTCTCCGAAACCGATCTTAGATTGGAAACCAGGCGCAGTGTCGTGACTCACGGAGTAGGCGTCTCCGCAGGTCCTCTTGGCGTGACCCGTGAGGGTAGCGATGGTGAAGATGTGGGGGTCGACAACGCCTGGCTCGCTTGCCTGAGGGAAAAAGAAAAACAAACTATCACTGTCGCACATAAATACGAATTTCCAAAATAAACATTCAGAATACCTTTACAAATTGTTCTTCGAAGTGTGTGGCCAAACAGGGACGAACCGTGGCCGAAATTTTCTTTTACCAGGTAAACTCCATGAATTTTTTGGTAAACTTATTTAACCATTTTAATGCCAGTTATTCTATTCTGATAGCTGTCAATGGAAACGGTCTATAAGGCAAAGTTACGTACCTCTTCTTTGAACTTGCAGAGGAGGTCTGTCATGACCATCCTCCCCTCAGCGTCTGTGTTCCCAACCCTCACTCTCACCCCGGCGCGTGAGGTCACGATCTCATCAGCCACGTAGGCCTCTGAAACACATCACAGCGTAAACAGTTTAAGAAAATGACGAAAATCATATAGTCTCTGAAGATAATTTTGTTGTTGTTGTTGGGTTTTTTTACATCATTTCTTCATGTTAATTGTCCACGATTTTACATGGCCCTGCACATTGCCACGTGGACAGGCATACCAGGGTTTATATTTGGGTTTGAGTTGCTTAAAGCAATAATACTCATCTAATTATTCAGTACACATTTATTTTTTTCTGCAAGATTAACATTGTTATACTGTTGTACTTTGTATTGTAAACTGACGTCCAAAAACTTTACCAGAGTTTGAAATCACTCTTGCTCAAAAACAACAAATCATACATGCATGAAGTAAAGTGTATTGAGAAGATCAATATACCAACATAATCAACACTGAAAATGACAATCATACCGCGACCGAGAATGACGTCAGAGCCCCCCAAAGTTGGGTGTGGTACAAAACTCGAGCTTTCAGAATCATGGACAATAGGCAGAGTACATAAACAATCGCTCACGTTCAATAACAAGTCATTAGTAGCGTGTGTGACCACCGCATGCCCCAATACACGCAAAAACTCTTCGACGCACAGAAAAAGTCAGTCGTCTGATGAGGTCACGTGGGATTTGACGCCATTCTTCTTGGAGGGCCAAGATCAGTTCTTGCCGGTTGTCTGGAGAGTGTGGTCGTTGTCGACCACGACGATCCATCAAGTCCCGGAGGTGTTCTATGGGGGACATGTCGAGTGAGCATTGACGTTGACGTTGTTGGCTGCGAGGAAGTTAGTGACAATTCTGGCTGATGGGCTCTAGCGTTGTCATGCTGATAAATGACACCACGTGGCTGCTGTTGGAGAAATGGTAGGACAACTGGACAAAGAATGTTATCCATGTAACGCTGAGCTGTCAAGGTTCCGTCAACGATGACCAGCAGTGTCCTCTCCTGCCCACAGATCCCTCCCCACACCATGACACTCCCTCCACCATATGGTACGACCTCCTGCACGCAGCACGCCGCCGTTCGTTCACCCTTTCGGCGGTAAACGCGTTATCTTCCATCAGCCCTAAACATACAGAATCGACTTTCGTCTGTGAAGACAACCCTCCGCCAGTCAAGTCGTTGCCAGCGTCGTACAGTCCGGGCCCATCTTAATCGCAGACGACGATGTTGCGCTGTCAATAGCTGTCCTCTGTATGGTCTAAAAGCCCTGATTCCATGAGCCCTGAGTCTCCTGGCCACTGTCTGTCGACTTCGGAGGTGCAAGGTACGCAAGTACCGGTCATCATGGGGCGTTGTCACCCTGGGTCTGCCTGTTCTTGGCCTGTCAGCGGTCGGCCCTGTCTGTCTGTAACGTTGCATCAAGTTGGTAACTGCAACACGGGAGCAACCGAAGGTTCGTGCAATATGGGCTTGGGTGGCTCCCAAGGCTCGTTCACATTGTTCGACTGTGAGTCGTGGCATTTCTTTTGTCTTTTTTTTTTATCACTGTGGATGTCTGACTTGCCGTTGCAATCGTTTTATACCCTTACCCGCACGTGCATTGGCAGTTGTCCGTGGTGCACGTGTTTTTCACTTTTTCGCGTGTTATCTCGCAAACATGTAACAGACGATTAACATTTTCTGCATACACTATTGTTGTATTTGTAGTTTATGTGTTTTAGATAGACTTCATCGAAAAAAGATTATACTTTGTCTGAAATTTATATTTTCAGTTGGTAATGTTTCTTTTGGACGTCAGTTTATTTCTAGTTCTTTTTTAAATATTCTAAAAAGACAGCCGGTTTCAGTTACTTTATAGTCTCTGATGATGGGTTCAAGGATTTCCTCAATCGTTTATCCAGTGTGTTACGTGTACATTCTATTATCATAATCTATATTCATTATTATTTACTTCAGTGTGAGACTGAAGTTGAGAAAAGTGATATTTTAATTGTAGTGAACATAACATTTGATATTTCACTGCAGTGAACATAACACTTGATATATTTCACTGCAGTGAACATAATACTTTGGCGGAACTATTGTCATGCAAGAGTTACCTCCCCGTAAATTGTCTCCCATTATCGCAAGTGAAAATATCCTCCTCCCCCCCCCCCCCCCCCCCCCCCAATCACTTGATGAGAGAAATATAATATTTGACTCGACACATGAAATATCCTCTATTTATTCTTTGTGTCAAACTCGATTCGAAAGACTCGACACTCGAAATAACCGTCCAATCAAATTACACTGATGAGCGAGAGAAAATCTGTGCCCTGAAAAATGTTCACGGTTTGAACGTCCTCTCAGTAATATGTTGTACTTTAATACTGTCAATACTTGGGGGGATATACCTGCACCGACGCTGTTCCTGACCATGCCCATCACCCCCCTCACTCTGATGCCGGGGGGTTTCAGGATCGACAGAATCTGAATTAAAAAAAAACAAAACAGTCTCGGTATCATTTGTTTCACTTGTTTGTTTCGGTCTTGAAATTGGTATCAGTCATACAAACATAACTGCCCTGCATAAATAGGTCTTGGCGTCAGCAACTGGCCTAGATTGTCTAATATATGTGATGCATGCCAATGTAAATATTTTGGCTTGATTCTCTATATCGTTTTTCAACATGGCCGACCAGGGTTTCACCTTGACCTACAAAACTAGGGTTCCAGTTGACCATAATTTACTAATTTCCGGGAAAATATGAGGGTCCTGTTAAGGGATTAATGGCGTAGTGCTATACTGTTTACTGTACTGTAAGATTTAATAATTATTTTAATTTCAGTGAGTGTGAGTGAGTTTGGTTTAACGCCGCGTTTAACAGTATTTCAGTTATATCGCGGCGTGTCAGCTTTATATTGGAGGAAAGACCCAAGTGATGCAGACGTCTTAGACGTTTACCACTTCGGTGAAACCCACGAGCACGGGCATGGTGCTGACAAACCTAGAAACAAAATCGGGAGGAACTGGGATTTGAACCCACAATCATAGGTTTCTGGCGTGCCCAAGGGACGCAACTCTGCACAGCGAATCGCGGCGCCTTAGACGACTGGACCACCCGTGCCCCCTAGTCCTGGTTAGAATAGGTCCCTAGCAACTTATACTGGTCGTAAGAGGTGACCAAATGGATCAGGTGGTCAGGCTCGGTGACTTGCAATTGGTTGACCCATGTCATCTTACCCCGACTTGGATCGTTGCTCACAACACCGATCACTGGATTGTCTGGTCCTGACTCGATTATTTACAGACCGCCGTCATATAGCTGGAATATTGCCGAATGCGGCGTTAAACAACAAACAAACAAACAAAACAGGCTGGGGTATCAATGCGACCCACCTTGAAGAATCCCGCGACCGCCGCCGCCCCACACTTGTCCCTGTGCATACCGGCCATGTTGCCCCCGGCCTTGATGTCAGCGCCGCCGGTGTCGTAGGTGATGCCCTGTGAAAGTACTGACAGAGTGAGCTAGAGTGTTAACATCAAACATCAGATGTGCAATAGTTCACCCATATAGTGACATGTCAGATCTGTGAAACTACTTGCTAGATTACATGTCTTGCAACAGGTCCTTTGATGATGTTACACTGTGCATGAGTAGAATCAAACTGGGTCATCTGCATGAGCAACCACTACAACCACAGGCCTAGCCCTATGATCTTGATAGTGGGAGATGCATTCACTCTGAGCGGATACAACAGACGGTGCTAAGGGTGAGGTGGCATACCTTAGTCACGATATCAGAACACACTAGCTGGTTTATGGAATGACTATCAAAACCTTAATCGAATTAACACCTAGTTCGGCCAGCAAAGAATCCTGAAATTTCCCTGTTTTCAGTTCACATTACTAAACTTAATGCGTTGGATTCTTGTATTTACAGTTAAAGAGGAACGAAAATACTACTAAAATTCGTTATTTTTCATTAAGAAGCAAACATTTTGACTCTACATACTAACTCACTACTGGTACCTAAGTTTAAAGTCATTTTGCCAAACAGTGTATACAGTACAAGGGGGCGGTCGGGTAGCCTAGTGGTTAAAGCGTTCGCTCGTCACGCCGAAGACCCGGGTTCGATTCCCGAAATGGGTACAATGTGTGAAGCCCATTTCTGGTGTCCCCCGCCGTGATATTGCTGGGATATTGCTAAAAGCGGCGTAAAATCGTACCCACTCACTCACTCACTCAGTACAAGGCTACACTTACCTTCCCGATCAGGAAGATGTTTTTCTTGATGGCGCCCTCCCCCTTGTACTCCAGGAAGATGAGTCGGGCTTGGTGGCGGGGGACAACTGTAGTGTGTTAACAAGTCATCATCACAAACATCATCACATCGCGTCGTTAGGTCATGACGCCCTTCCCCGCCCCTTCATAACGTCAGAATACCCGTGAAGATCCCGGTTAGAATAAGTCTTCAGCAACCCATGCTTGTCGTAAAAGGTGATTATGCTTGTCCTGAGATGCGACTAACGGGATCGGGTGGTCAGGCTCGCTGACTTAGTTAATGCATGTCATCGTATCCCAATTACATAGATCGACGCTAATGATATTAATCACTGGATTGTCTGGTCCAGATTCGATTATTTACAGACCGCCGTCATATAGCTTGAATATTGCTGAGTGCGGCGTACAACAAACAAACAACATTACGTCAGCAAGCGCCCCTGTGCCACATTCAGCAATGAATGTGACATTGTGCATTTGATTTAATTTCAGGTTAATGGACGTGTCATGTGTGCTACATAATTGATCAACATCGAGATGGTGTCATCACACATTACAGTCATGTGAGGAATCGAACCCAGGCCTTCGTCGTGACGAGCGAACGCTTGTACCACAAGGCTACCCCACAACTTCCTCATATTAGAAAGGTGATAAATAAGTAAGTACGTACCGCTAGCGGCCCGGTCCACTGCGGCCACACATGGGTAGTCTCTCTCCAGAACAGCCCGGTCGGACACTACTTCCACCTAAAACATACGTCCTTGAATATCATAGATTAAAGACACGTGTATCAGTTCATTGAAACATACGTTCTTGTACATAATAACATAAAGACACGTGAGACATTTCTGAGCGGAAGAATAAATCCTATCAACCCCACCACGAAGAACATAGGCTGCACGTGGGTTACTGAGCGGGAGAATACATCCCTTATATCCCGCTTCGAAGCAAAAAGCCGCACGCTCTTCCGAGACAATGGCATAGCACAAGTTAACCTCGACTCAATCGAAAGCTGTTTTCTGTCAATTTTTAATTTGTTTGAATTCCTAGCAGATTAAAACATTTCGGAAAGATAAATTCGATGTAGCACTATCACTGTGGTTTTCTGCGTCCCTCGTTACGTTCTAAACGAGGGGCTAAAACAAGGACTGGTCGGCTTGGAGTCAGTATACTGTGTCTGAGTGGGGTATTCATGTTAAATTGCGGCATGGTATCTCAGTGAGCTAGCGCTATAAATCGGCATTAGTCCGGACTAGTACAAACACACACAAACACACACACACACACACACACACACACACACACACACACACACACACACACACACACACACACGTACGTGCATGCACGTCGCTATATAAGTGCAATAATCTTGGACGCGACGTTAAACCCAATTTCACCTCACCTCACCTATTGTAACAACCATCCTTATATACTGAACAACAAAAGTTCCTGTGACATTGAATAAGATTTAATGCAAAGTAATGTTTTTTTACCAAACCTGAAACAATTTCGGTTTGCAACAGATAAAAGACTCCTGTAAGTGTTCAAATGGTTTAATTCGACCTACTGACTTCAGAAAATGCGCGATTTCATAAAAAAAACATGAACATGCCAAAATGTCAATTTACAAATCAATAGCGTGTGTGCCCACCTCTGGTTGCGATGCAAGCAACACATCTTCGTCTCATGAAATTGACCAGGCGTCGCACAAAGTCCGGTGTGATATCTGTCCATATCTGCTGGAGCATGTTTCGAAGTTCCTTGAGTGTCTGTGGAACACGTGGTTGACGTCGAAGGCGCCGATCCATGTGCTCGATTGGTGAGAGATCAGGGGAGCGAGCCGGCCAGGGGATAACATTCACGTTGTTTTGTTGAAGAGATACCTGAACAAGTTGAGCAATATGAGGCCGGGCGTTGTCATGTTGAAAGGTAATGCCTGGGCCATGACGACGCAAAAACGGTAGAACAACAGGGTCGATGATCTCGTCGCAGTAGCGCTGTCCATTGATATTTCCCTCTACCAGTATCAAACGGGTCCTCTGTCTTGCTGTAATCCCACCCCATACCATAACACTGCCGCCCCCGAACTGATCTTCTTCCATGACACAATGATTGGTTTAACGTTCACCCCGACGTCGGTACACTCGAATCCTGCCATCGCTGTGGCTGAGGTGAAAACGAGACTCGTCAGTGAAAAGAACTTGTCCCCACTGCATGGCCGTCCAGCGTAGACGCTGTCTGCACCACTGTAGACGTGCTTGACGGTGGTTTCCTGTCAAAATGGGACGTCTGGCGGGTCTTCTGGCGACAATCCCTGCACATCTGAGGCGACGACGTACGGTTTGTGAAGATATTCGTCGAAGGCCAGGGATGCTTCTTGCAGTCACAGTTGCTGGCTGGAATCGATTTCGTAGGTGTGTTGTTCGAATCCAGTTGTCTTGTCGATGATTGGTTACGCGTGGCCTGTCACTCCGAGGATGGTCTCTGACTTCATTCGTCTGTTGCCAACGTTGCCATAAACACCAAATGGTGTTTCTGTGGACGTTAAATTGTCTTGCAACATCACGTTGACTCGATCCTGCTTCAAGCAGACCAATGTCTCGCAGACGCTCATTTTCGGACAGGCATAGCATTTCGTAACGTTGAATAATTGCGTAATTTTGTTGTTTTTCTGAGTGGTTATTGTCAGCACGATGCCAAACAATGCATAAGGAATCCCGTTAACGCACATGTTTTTATACCCATTCTTGAGTAATGAAATGCACGGGGCTTGCATAAAAATCAACGTTTGCATGGAATGCATGCTTTTCTGTAACAGTTGCGTTTTTGTGACTTGATTCCATACATGTACTACAATATTGAAAACCAAACTTTACTCGTTTGAAAAATACACTTAAATATTGGTGTCACAGGAACTTTTGTTGTTGAGTATATCAAATAACATAAAGACATGTGTATCAGTGGGATGGGAGACAGACACTAAAACACCACTCATGAATTTTCTTTAATTTAAAGGTTTGCTTTCCTTTCAGCATTTATATTTATTCATAAATTCCAAGAAAGAAACCTGTATTGTTGGCTGACTTTAAGTTAAAATGGTTTACCTTAATACAAGTCCCTTCCAGGCTTCTCCGCACATACTCCTCAACTCGAGGTGCCGCCATCCGCTCAGGGTCAGAACCACCTATGTCACGGGTTACAATTCTGAAAATTAATAATGATAGTTAATCATAATTAGTAATGCAGATGTTTGTTTGTTGTTTAACACCGCACTCAGCAATAATCCTGCTATTTGACGGCGGTCTGTAAATAATCGAACCTGGACCAGATAATTCAGTGATTGATATCATGAGCGTCGATCCATGCATTTGGGATACGATGACATGCATCAACCAAGTCAGCGAGCCTGACCACCCGATCCCATTAGTCGCCTCTTACGACAACATGGGTTGCTGAAGACCAATTCTACCCCGGATCTGCACGGGTTTATGAACATGAATGAACGAATAAATAGAGGACTCAAATAATCATATAAGTTGATTGATAATTATCAAATAAATCTAATTAAAATGAACGGAAGGACGGATGAAGAGACAGACAGAGACAAAGGCAAACAAATCGATTGATCAAGGTTTTATGGTGGTAAAACGAGGGCTCAAATCACCTTCCCCTCTCAACGGCTTCAACGGTGGCAGCAGTTGCCTCCCCTTGTCCATCAGCACAGAAGAGCCCCAGCACCTCGGCCTTCTGCTTCTTGTCTGGGAGACCCTCGCACACCTCAATGGGCTGCACATACGATATTCACCCATCAACATATGACATCATTATCTAATTATCACACAGATTACAACCTAACTAGCCTTACTTCAAACACAAACCACATAAAAACGTTACCTGGATGGAAATAAACACAGGTGGGGAAGACAAAAAACATAGATTATCAACCCAAGTATTACACTTCGGAGCAAAAGAAACTGCCTCTCAGTTGATTTTATCACATGTTTGATTTTTAATTGAAAATATCATAAGTTAGCGTTATTATATATATATATATATATATATATATATATATATATGAACTGTGTCAGCACTCAAAGACTACTCCTGTCAGGTTTTATTTAATATAAATATAATTTGATTTAAAAATTGTAAGAATTAAAAAACAAATCGTATAATGCACGACTGCTGATGGGTATCTTAGATAGCTTATCTTTGAAAACCAATAAATTTGCTTTTTTTCGGCACAAATTTGCAACATTTCAAACTTGGTATGGGTCACGTGGTTGCAAATTCCTTTCTTACCCTAGTCCTCACTGAACCATTTTATTTTTACACAAAATTACCCAGCCAAAGATTACAATTTACAAACTGTTGCAGGCATGAGATGTGAGGTGAAATTGGGTTTAACGTCGCGTCCAAGATTATTGCACTTATATAGCGACGTGCATGTACGTGTGTGTGTTTGTGTGGCTGCTTGTACTAGTCCGGACTGATGCCGATTTATAGTGCTAGCTCACTGAGATACCATGCCGCAGTTTAACATGAATATCCCACTCAGACACAGTATACTGACTCCGAGCCGACCAGTCCTTGTTTTAGCCCTTTAATGCCGAGCGCCAGAGAGGGTAACAACAAGTACCATCTTTTAACGTCTTTTTGTATGACGCGGCCGGGGATCGAACCCCCGACCTTATGCTCTCCGGGCGGACGCTCTACCACTAGACCACGGAGGCGGTCGTTGCAGGCATGAGTGATGTTAGATGGATATAATCAAATTCAACAACAGTTTCAATTACATAAAAAACAAACGGTATACTTTCTTTTGCCCCTCGGTTTTATATTTCCACGTTTCGCGTGGTTAAGGTTTGACTGACTGCCCACCCGTCAGCTTCCAATGGCCTACTGAGGGAGCATGTAACATGGCTGGGTCTGTAGTTCGAACCCAGCAATTCGCTCGCAACAGAGACTACATGCCGTTTCTAACCGTTTTCTGAAACGTTTGACTATTGGGACAAATGAGTACGTTCATGCTCAGGTCAACAACGTCACACGGGAGATATTGGTTTGTTTGTTTATAAAGTTCACGACCGCTTGAATTGGAAACTGTATGAGACATATGTCACGTTTCAATATGAATATGTTCATATTACCTGTACAGTTACCGATGTCTGTGTCAGGACGTACGGAATGAATGTGTTACGATCCTCAATACGTCTTTAATTTAAAACGCCAAGCGTTAACAGATGCAATATATTATTAGTTGGTCACATCTTAATTATGTGGGCGGTGGGGTAGCCTAGTGGTTGAAGTGTTCGCTCGTAACGCCGAAGATTTGGGTTTGATTCCCACATTTACAATGTGGAAAGCCCATTTCTGGTGTCCCTCGCCGTGATATTGCAGGAATATTGCTAAATCGGCGTAAACCCATACTCACTAACAATGATGTTATTTAAAAGCTGTCGACAACTAGAGGTTTAGAACGCAGTTTTGTGCATAAGGTAATGAATAAGTATTATCCAAATAAAAGTATTCAATTGTAATAATGCCAACATTCTTAATACTGTTCTTAATGAAAAGAAGACGATGGAATTTGTTTCCGATAAGCCTACCACGTAAAGAGCATGGAGAGCCCCAAGAGCGGCTACAGCGCATGCGTTTGGGAATTTCCCGTTTCCAGTGCATACCAGTAGGGGGCGCTTACATCCACTCTTGAGACATCTGAAGACCAAAAACATATTTATTATGGATTAAAAGAGAAGACTTTAATGTGAAAAATATGAAATAATAAATATGAATTAGTTCGGACTTTCAAAGAATGTCAACTGTTACTGAACGATACGCTAGTGTTGATACTGGCTCTATCGTTGGGAGTCCAATAGTTGTGCCAGGAACCGGTTATGAACTGTTAATAATTTTACGCAAAAGTGTAATATTCAAACACCAACATTCAGGCACGCGAATTTGCTGCCATACAGAAGGAGCTCACAATACAATGCTTCATGTTTGTTTGTTGTTTAACGCCGCACTCAGCAATATTCCAGCTATATAACGGCGGTTCGTAAATAATCTAATCTGGACCAGACAATCCAGTGATTGTCATCTCGAGCACCGATCCACGCAATACGCTGACATGCATCATTCAAGTCAGCGAGCCTGACAAGCATAGTCGCCTTTTTCGGCAAGCATGGGCTGCTGAAGCCCTATTCTACCCTTGATCTTCACGGGTCACTCCTTAATGTCCAAGTACACGGCAAATACGTATGGGTATAAGAATCACTTCACAGAGTTTTTGTTAAGTTGTCAACATCTCTTTGTAAAGCTGTGACCTGTGAAAACTATGAAAAGCAACAAAAAATATAAAAAGAAGAAAAGATAAACAAAGAAATAAAAACACATCATATATATACTCGTGCATTTTCATGGAGCGTGGTGTATATAATTTCTCGTTAGCCTAGTACAAATGAAATAAAGTATTAAAACGGGTGTTCACAAACAATCTGAACCTTTTCATTATAGAATGTACGAAACATAAGGGTTCGCTTCATTTCGCAGAGAGAACGTGAATACCTTTTTATGCCTTTAGTGGCCGCCTCCCCGTAGCGTCTGACGTCATCATAGTCCCGCGTGACGGGCCCAGTCGGCGCGAAAATCTGCAGAATCAATTAGGCTATTATCAATCAATCCTTTTATTTTTAAGAAATAAACGACTTGGGGTCGTTGTTTATCGTATGTACGCTAAACAACGACCACGACTCGTTTATTTCTTATATGAGATATCAACATTGTGTACAGCCTCTAAAGATGTTGGTGGTCGGGTAGCCTAATGGTTAAAGCCTTCGCTCGTCGTTATATTGCTGGAATATTGCTAAAAGCGGCGTAAAACCTCACGCACTAAAGATGTTGATAAAATGTACAAGCTTTAAAACTGAATTTATTTACCTTTATTTAAATAATGATGACTCCATGAATACAATCCGACTTCGTCGGACAAGTCCATTTAATAAACAGGTGGGCTATGTTTGGTATTTCCTGCATATTCTCAAAATCCCTACGTCGATCATCTGTACCGTTTCTCCTAATACCGATTGTCATATCTCTCCCACTTTGGATGCGATGATTTCGGCCACTGCGGTTACCTGCGTTTACCTGCGAAACCCAGCTACGTATTTGGGGAACAACCTACTAGGCACTTCCTTAAAAAGAATAACGTCGTCCAGTATATCACGTCATCAATTTGCGAGCGCATATTCGAATCTCCAGAAATGACATCATGATAGAACAATGTTTTATCGTGAAATAAACCACGCTTCGTTCTATACCATTACTTTCTTTCGTTCTAAAAGACAGTCGAGGTTTAGAAATATGATCTGGAATAGGTTTTAAAAGATCAAAGTATGGGGAACCTTTAAATAGTCTATAATAAATACTGCGCTTTAGGTGAGGTTTGGACATCACTTCATGAGTGAAAAGAATTGTCATTTGGTAGGCAACACCTACATAAGATGTGTTTAATATATTTTAACCAGGGATAGAATTTACCAAGTGTGTTGCGTTCTGTCATATATTTCAGCGTAAATGATCTAATTAGGATAAGGTAACACTAATTTGCCCATGTTTTATGATATGGCGCGTTCAGCAATGTTAATGCTTAGAGGCTGTCCAACCAATTCGCCTTGCTCCATGTATTAAGTTGGTGTGTTAATTTTTAGACCAGTAGTCATTTTCAAAAAGGGGACACGGGTGGCCCAGTCGTCTAAGGCGCCGCGATTCGCTGTGCGGAGTTGCGTCCCTTGGGCACGCCAGAAATCTATGATTGTGGGTTCGAATCCCGGTTCGCCCCGATTATGTTTCTAGGTTTGCCAGCACCATACCCATGCTCGTGGGTTTCACCGAAATGGTAAACGTCTGAGACCTGCATCACTTCGGGCTTTCCTCCCACATTAAGCTGACACGCCGTGATATAACTGGAATACTGTTAAAAGCGGCGTTAAACCCAACTCACTCACTCACTCACTCATTTTCAAAAACGTTAAAGACCCGTGAAGATCTGGGTTAGAATAGGTCTTCAGAAGCCCATGCTTGCCGTAAGAGGCGACTAGCGGGATTGGGTGGTCAGGCTCGCTGACTTGGTTGATGCATGTCGTCGTATCCCAATTGCGTGGGTCGATGCTCATGATGTCAATCACTGGATTGTCTGGTCCAGACTCGATTATTTACATTCCGCCGTCATACAGCTGGAATATTGCTGAGTCCGGCGTTAACCAACAAATAAACAAACAAACAAACAAACATCAACGCTAAATGTACGCCCTCTGTTATATCTGCTTTCTCACAGCAACAGGGGCGGTCGGGTAGCCTAGTGGTTAAAGCGTTCGCTCGTCACGAAAAGGACCCGGGTTCGATTCCCGACATGGGTACAATGTGTGAAGCCCATTTCTGGTGTCCCCCGCCGTGATATTGCTGGAATATTGCTAAAAGCGGCGTAAAAGGTTACTCATTCATTCACTCACTCCTTGTACATATTTTGAATTAAATTCAGTAACATTTCATTTCTTCTTTACTGGACCACGGAGGCGGTCGTTTAGATTAGATATAACAGTATAAACGTGAAGCAAGGCTGTGGTGTGTTGAAAGTGTGTATACATACGAGTCGCCTTGACGGAACTCGGTCAGTTTTGATCAGATGCACCGCGTCCACATCGTCGTAGTTCTTGTCGAGCTGAAATATGAAAAATTATTTTTATTGAAAAATAAAACCACATTTTCTCATGTTTCTTCTGGCATATTTTTGGGTAGGTGGGTGTTGTTTATTTTAAGTTACACAGCTTTATGTTTTTAATCAGCCCGCAATTTTGTTTTTCGTTATATGTGGATTTTGGGGCGTTTGGCAGATCCGAATAGAAATAAAATGGCACTTACATGTTGACAGCTTCAAATTACAAGGTGAATATATTTGAAAACGTGACAATTAATTTTAACATCAAAGGAAATGTGTATTTTGCTTTTAATTCTAAAGTTGCCGATGCTCCACTGTGTCCGCATGTAGGATCACAATGAACCCCAGCAGACGCACACGATGCAGCAATTGGCCGATGTTATACCGACGTGCGCTTACCATGAAATGTATGTTTTCCACTGATCAACATGTCCAGAACTACCAAATATATCAAATGTCGAAAGATTTTTGACATTTTTCGGAATGTGATCAGTAACATTATTTTCAGCATGTTTGGGATTTAATTATTACAATTAATGTATAGGTAAGGCTCAAATGTGTTAAACAGGTTGTAGAGCATTTCATGATTTTTTCTATTAGTTTAACACCAGCAAGTCTTCGACCCAAGCTCACTTTCGCAGAAGTGAGTGAGTGTTTTGGGTTTTACGCCGCATTTAACAGTATTCAAGTTATATCCCGGCGTGTCAGCTTAATGTGGGAGGAAAGTGATGCAGGTCTCAGACGTTTACCACTTCAGTGAAACCAACAAGCACTGGCATGGTGCTGACAAACCTAGAAACATAATCGGGGCGAACCGGGATTCGAACCCACAATCATAGGTTTCTGGCGTGCCCAAGGGACGCAACTCTGCACAGCGAACTCCCGTGCCCCAATTTCGAAGAAGATGAGGGTAAAGTCACCACAATCAGTTGTTGAAAATTTCATCTAATACCCCGGACTAGCTCATAGATTTACTTTTGGAAATCATAAAAAGGAACTCATTTTAAATATACTTCTGTACTTGACTATTCAGTAAGTCCTAAACTTGCAAGCGATCAAAAGAAGAAAGGCCACTTGTGACAGCCATGTCCCTGATCAGTTCCGTAATTGTCAATAGACAAGGTATGCCAGTTGTCAAATGTGCTCATTCGAAAGAGACTTAGGCTCTGTCTATGTCGACAATGTTGGATGACAACACTAACTAAAGTTATGGTAAAAAGGCCATCTTGGGTCACGGACCTGTAGCTGGACGAAAGACAGGCTTTTTCAATTTCTTCAGTCATACTTATGGACTTGACCAGAATTCCAGATGCATGTGTGAAAAATAAATAAAGATTAGCTGTCACACTTTTGAAAATGTCTGATAATTGTCACACCAATATGTGCAAAGTTTTCGTTTACCTTAACATATATTTTTCATTTTTTCAGAGTAATTCTTTTTCTCTGTATATATAGGAACTGTCTTCAAGCAATTCACACTTTCAATCAACCGCTCATCCCAAGTAGCTCACCTCTGCGTACTCGCGTATAGGCGCCTGCAGCTCTTGAAGAACACCGGTTAGTTTGTCAACATCGTCTGTGACAACCACGACGCAATCATATGAGGTGTCACTGAGACTGGAACAAGCGACAACGCCGACAGCCTCCATGCTGAAAGTCAGACAACCTTGCTTTAACTTGGACATGGAAAAAAAGAAAAAGAAGCGTTTCCTTGAAACTGGTTTTTCAGAAGATTAAGTCATTATTCCTCGAGAATATAGACTGTTTCCTCGAGAATGTAAAATCGTGCACCTATCACCCTGCATGTGACAAAACGAATGTTGGCTCCAGTCCAAATACCCAGTCACAACCGCATTTAAACGTTCATGTAACCGTACTGCCGAAACCGTAAGGTATGTTTACGATAACAGTAGCGAGATTGGGAAGGAGAGATAGGTTCCCTTGCTTGCTGCTTAACGCCGCACTCAGCTATATTCCAACTACATGGCGGCGGTCTGAATTTTTTTTAGACTGGACCAAACAATCCAGTGATTGACATGAGCATCGATCCACTCAAGTGGGGTGAGGTGAGGTGAGGTGAAATTGGGTTTAACGTCGCGTCCAAGATTATTGCACTTATATAGCGACGTGCATGCACGTGTGTGTGTGTGGCTGCTTGTACTAGTCCGGACTGATGCCGATTTATAGTGCTAGCACACTGAGATACCATGCCGCAGTTTAACATGAATACCCCACTCAGACACAGTATACTGACTCCGAGCCGACCAGTCCTTGTTTTAGCCCCTTAATGTCGAGCGCCAGACAGGGTAACAACAAGTACCATCTTTTAACGTCTTTTGGTATGACGCGGCCGGGGATCGAACCCCGACCTTCCGCTCTCCGGGCGGACGCTCTACCACTAGACCACGGAGGCGGCACCCACTCAAATGGGATACGATGCCATGTATCAACCAAATCACCGAGCTTAAAGATCCGGGGTAGAATAGGTCTTCAGCTATCCATGCTTGACGGCAAGTCACGAGTGTAACCCTGCTGCAGATGGTTGGTTTGTTGTTTTACGCCGCACTCAGCAATATTCCAGCTATATGACAGCGGTCTGTAAATAATCCAGTCTGGACCAGACAACCCAGTGATTGACATCATGAGCATCGACCTACGCAATTGGGATCGATGACATGTTTCAACCAAGTCAGCGAGACGGACCATCCGATCCCGTTAGTCGCCTCTTACGGCAAGCATAGACGCCTTTTACGGCAAGCATGGGTTGTTGAAGACCCGTTCTACCCCGGATCTTCACGGGTCTGATGTCAGTCTATATTCAATAAGGTGATTCTGTTAGTTATGGCGTTGTGACCTACATGCATCGAGTTTCGACATGGTAGAGAATGGTATGCCTGTCTATCAACTTGGTATTGTAACTGGAATAATATTATCTCCATTTGGCGTTCGTATTAACACCACAACCTTCGGGGCGTTATCGGTATTTATCACATGGGAAATATAGGAGTTATACAGTACTACACAATTACAATTCAAGGTCTGTTGCTTCTTTTGTGTGCCACGCTGATGGGTCACTTTGACCTCCAGGGTACAAAAGACCTAACCGTATCACAATACAGTGTTTTGAACTGGGTTGGTTATTAAATACATGTAGTCCTACCTAGTTTCTTTAGCGGGGGTTCCCGGTATTGGAAGTTTTCTCTTCTTGTTTAATTCCTGGAAATGATGAATCCTGGGAAAGCGAACCACGCATGTTTAATTCCTGAGCATATTATCAACACAAGGAAGCTAGGGAAATGTTTATTTACAGAATGTTTGTTTCGTTTTGTTTGTTTGTTGTTTAACGCCGCACTCAGCAATATTCAAGCTATATGACGGCGGTCTGTGAATAATCGAGTCTGGACCAGACAATCCAGTGATTGACAATATGAGCATCGATCTACGCAACTGGGATACGATGACATGCATCAACCAAGTCAGCGAGCCTGACCACCCGATCCTGTTAGTCGCCTCTTACGACAAGCATAGTCGCCTTTTACGTCAAGCATGGGTTGCTGAAGACCTATTCTAACCCGGATCTTCACGGGTCTCGTAGAACGTAAGCTATGTTTGTACGTTTGTTGTAATGAAGGGCGGTTTAACTGTCACGGGGTCGTAGACTGACATTTCGTCCAAGACATAAACTTATCGTATTTAAAAATATATATCTACAAAATATAATAAAATCCAAAAGGAGTTCAGAAACTTTATTTCAGGGCCAAATCTGCAAGGCTCTAATTGTTGGAATCTGAAATCTTGTCAATGTCAACCTTCATTTATGCATACATACATCTTCCCGAGGCAAGGGCGTTAACTGACTGTGTCCACTTGACTTTTACAGTCAGTTAACTCCCTTGCCTCGGGAAGATGATTTACGTGCCACTGCTACTTTTAGTGGTCAAGGCCACCTTCCTTGGTATCCCTCCTTCTCCCGATCTTCACGGGTACATGACATTACGAAAATCAGTTTTGTGTATCAAGAAAAAGGTAACAAATATCCCTATCAAACGTGGAGAAGTATGTTTTCAACAGTCCAATAGAATGAAAAGTTTTATACTCAAGACTACCCATAGACCTTTGTGACAGCCAGCTAAAGTTGAGAAGGTACGCCCTATCGCGACAAGCTGTCAAAGACGAATGTGTTCTTCAATTGTCGAATTTGTTTTAGCCCTAGTTTGCACGAGCTCTGATTGCACGTGCCCAATCATGCAACTGCATATTCCGCAAAGCACAATCCATCCGAGCGATCTGTTTTTGTGTATAAATATGACAGTCATTTGTATTCGGGTGATCTGTTCATGAATGCTTATGAACATAAATTCGAGCGATCTGTTCATGTGTATATGAGTGAGTGAGTGAGTTTGATTTTATGCCGCTTTTAGCAATATTCCAGCAATATCACGGCGGGGGACACCAGAAATGGGCTTCACACATTGTACCCATGTCGGGAATCGAACCCGGGTTTTCAGCGTGACGAGCGAACGCTTTAACCACCAGGCTACCCGACCGCCCCTCATGTGTATATGAACATGTATTCGAGCGATTTGATCCTGTGTATGAACATGCATTGGAACGGTCTTCGTAATCAGCAATACCCAGCGCCAAACTGTAACTCAGGTTTACCGTTTGTCTATCACCCGGTCATTAATCAAACATTTAGACTTAAGGGCCTGTCCCACACTACCGATGTGCCTCGCCGGGACTAAACCGGAAGTAAAAAAATAACAACGGCGAGAAAATCGGCGGAGCTCCGGCGAGAAAGCACTTGAAAAATCAAAATTGACCGTTCCCGTTGTGATACATTGTCCTGCCGATGTTAGAGCCGATGTGCTATCGAATACCACTTTTCTGTCACCTTAGTGTTACCGATGCGCCGCCGATGTTATACCAATGTACCACCGTTGACCGGAGCTATAGCGGAGTAATACCGTTGCGCTGCCGATGTGACTGACGGTGGAGCTCCGGTATCACATCGGCGGCGCATCGGTACTACTTCGGTAGTATTCGGTAGTACTACGGTGTCACATCGGTACCAGTACGGTACAGATCGAGGCCCCCGGAGAGCCGGCGATCCATTACGGGTCGCTACCGGTGCTCTACCGACATTAACGAAGCCCTACCGGATTACTACCGTTGTACTGCCGTTGTACTGCCGTTGTTGTCCCGTTGCTCGCTCCGGCAGCGCAACGGCGGAAATTCTTAAGCATGTTCAAAAATTTCTACCGTCGCCTGCGGCTGCTAAATTTTTCGGCGATGTTCTGACGATGTCCTGACGATGTACTACCGTTCTTAGCGATGTGATACCGTTGCGCTGCCGTACGAGTAACGATCCCCGAAAATCGCCAAATTTGTGCTCCGGTACAGCCCCGGCGATCCAAATCGGCTAGGTGTGACAGGCCCTTAACATGGATTAGATAGTACTAATTATATAATTCTCGAATATCTAAATCTAGGAATTAAAACTTTCACGATTTAGAAACGGGGTAAGCCCAATGATTTTGGTAATATTAAATAAGTATGTGAATCCTTTTAAAGCAATATCATACAAATTAATAAGCCGACTTTACCTTATCCGTGTTGTTCAAATGACGACAGCAAACAATATGGCTTACCGGCAGAGAAAACACACTCGTTATTGATGATAATGGTTATTCTAATCACGCTCTAATTGATACGCTTATATTAGTATTCTGCGGGCGTGACCAGGTAAACAATTAATTATTTGCTGTGTAATTGCATTTATAATTAAATGAATTCATAACGTTGGTAAACAAATGAAAATACACAATTAATTATTTGCTGTGTAAATGCATTTATAATTAAATGAATGCATAACGTTTGTAAAGAAATAATAATACACAACTAATTATTTGCCGTTTAATTGCATTTACACTCCCCCCAAAAAGAAACGCACAGGTAGATTTTTAGTAAATTTATTATACCTAGAATAAAGTCGATATATTTCATTTAATATCATAGATACAAATATGACATTTTGGAGCTCGATATTCACATGTTGTCGCTGTGCAAAGGCATTGAAAACTGTTCATTATCATGTCACATAAGGCCACAAAGTGGCGCTGAACTCAGTATCTCGTGTGACCGCCCCGGGCAGCAATCACGCCTCTGCATCTCCTCGGCACTGACTGAAGTGTACGAATTCTGTCCTGCGGAATTCTGCGCCATTCTGCTTATAATGCGTTGGCTAGTTGTTGGAGTGTCCGCGGCGTGTTCTGACGTTGACGTACACGTCGATCGAGTTCATCCCAGAGATGTTCGATTTGGTTGAGATCTGGAGATCCCGACGGCCAGGGTAAGTCGATGATGTTGGTATTATGAAGGTAGTCTACCGTGACACGAGCTGTGTGCGAAGGAGCGTTGTCCTGTTGAAATAGCTCCCTCTGGCGGTCAATGATTGGACGCAGGTGAGCTTGAAGAATTTGATTAGTGTAGCGATTTGCTGTCAAATTACCCTGAACCACAAACAAGTCAGATCTCGTGGTGTAGGATTTGGCCACCCAACACCATGTTACTACCGCCACCGAATTTGTCGAATTTACGTACACATTGCGGGGCAAAACGCTCATTTCGACGACGATAAACACGTTGTCTTCCATCTCGCCGGTGAAGAAGAAATCGTGATTCATCGCTAAACCACACTCGTCTCCAGTTTCTCAAATTCCAAGGCTGTAAGGTATGGCACCAACGCAAGCGTCGCTGTCGATGGATCTGTTGCAAAACAGGGAAGATAACTGGTCTTCTGGGTCGGATTCCAGCCTCGTTAAGATGGTTCCTGGCAGTCTGGTCCGATATCCTCCTCAAACCAGGGATGCGTCCTGCAGTCTCCGTAGCTGTGGCATTGCGATGACGTAGGTGGAACAATCGAATGTAGCGATCCTGTACAGGAGTGTTAACCTTTGGTCGGCCGGTTCTCGGACGGTCTGCAGTGGAATGGAACTATGTGTATCGGTCACAAAGGCGGCAAATGGTGCTGTGGTGGACGTTGAAGTGGCGTGCAACAGAAGACTGCGATTTCCCTCTTTGAATACGTCCTATGGCGATGATCCGATCGGCAGCGCTGAGTCTCGGCATTTTCGAACTCGAAAAATGTTGACAATTGTTACGAGTTATAACTTGCACGTGCATTTTGCTTTACTGTTTTCCTCCATGACATTTTTGAACAAGTGTGAAAATAATGCCGTTTAAGACATTGCAAATCGACGCACGTTTTGACGCACCGTTTGTCGAATATCAGGCCACCAACATTTTTCCAATAATATATATTTAATTTATATACCGGATTTTTTCAGTAGTCAGGTTCAATGAACCACATACTACCTGTGCGTTTCTTTTTTTGAAGAGTGTATAATTAAATGAATTCATAACGTTGGTACTTGTATCATTGTATCCACCACTGTTTGTCTGGTAATGCGCCGTTATGTTGGTATTCAAGTTGTTATCAATAAGAGGTTCAACGTCTTCATGGTCAATGCTTGACTTTCTTACCCCGATGACATCTCTCTCTCTCTCTCCCTCTCTCTCTCTCTCTCTCTCTCTCTCTCTCTCTCTCTCTCTCTCTCTCTCTCTCTTTCTCAGACACACATGTACAGGGACACAGGAACACAGAGACACCTCTCTCCCTCTCTCTGTCTCTCTTTCTCAGACACACATACAGGGACACAGAGACACCTCTCTCTCTCTCTCTCTCTCTCTCTCTCTCTCTCTCTCTCTCTCTCTCTCTGTGTCTCTCTCTCTCAGACACACATCTACAGGGACACAGAGACACCTCTCTCTCTCTTTCTCAGACACACATATACAGGGACAAAGAGACAACTCTCTCTCCCTCTTTCTCAGACACACATATACAGGGACAAAGAGACACCCCTCTCTCTCTCTCTCTCTCTCTCTCTCTCTCTCTCTCTCAGACACACATATACAGGGACAAAGAGACGTATCTCTCTCTCTCTCTCTCAGATACACATATACAGGGACAAAGAGACACCTCTCTCTCTCTCTCTCTCTTTCTCGGATACACATATACAGGGGCAAAGAGACACCTCTCTCTCTCTCTATCTCTTTCTCAGACACACATATACAGGGACAAAGAGACGTATCTCTCTCTCTCTCTCTCTCTCTCTCTCAGATACACATATACAGGGACAAAGAGACACCCCTCTCTCTCAGATACACATATACAGGGACAAAGAGACACCTCTCTCTCTCTCTCTCTTTCTCAGATACACATATACAGGGGCAAAGAGACACCTCTCTCTCTCTCTCTATCTCTTTCTCAGACACACATATACAGGGGCAAAGAGACACCTCTCTCTCTCTCTCTCTATCTCTTTCTCAGACACACATATACAGGGACAAAGAGACACCCCTCTCTCTCTCTCTCTCTCTTTCTCAGACACACATATACAGGGACAAAGAGACGTATCTCTCTCTCTCTCTTTCTCTCTCTCTCAGATACACATATACAGGAGCAAAGAGACACCTCTCTCTCTCTCTATCTCTTTTTCAGACACACATATACAGGGACAAAGAGACGTATCTCTCTCTCTCTCTCTCTCTCTCTCTCAGATACACATATACAGGGACAAAGAGACACCTCTCTCTCTCTCTCAGATACACATATACAGGGACAAAGAGACACCTCTCTATCTCTCTCTCTCAGATACACATATACAGGGACAAAGAGACACCTCTCTCTCTCTCTTTCTCTCTCTCTCTCAGATACACATATACAGGGGCAAAGAGACACCTCTCTCTCTCTCTCTATCTCTTTTTCAGACACACATATACAGGGACAAAGAGACGTATCTCTCTCTCTCTCTCTCAGATACACATATACAGGGACAAAGAGACACCTCTCTCTCTCTCTCAGATACACATATACAGGGACAAAGAGACACCTCTCTCTCTCTCTCTCTCAGATACACATATACAGGGGCAAGAGACACCTCTCTCTCGCTCTCTCTCTCTTTCTCAGACACACATATACAGGGACAAAGAGACACCTCTCTCTCTCTCTCTCGAGTGAGAGTCACAGAGCGAGAGAGAATCTTTTGAAAACCATTTTAAGTATGTTGTAGGCAGTAAAATTATCTTATTTAATATTTTGACCCCTCCCTTTTAAAAATGCTGGATCTGCTCTTGCACAAAATAAAAATGTCGGTAACGGCGGCGGCGCATACCTACCTTGCAGGATACAGGCGACAGGTACAGCTGATAGCACAGGTCTCCACGCGCCCAGGTCAAGGCCAGGGTCAACATACCCAGTACAATGCATTGTATATCATCCACAACCACCTCTCAACAGGCAGTTTTCAGTCTGACCGAATTATGATATATACGATACAGAAATATGCAAAACGTTTTTATGTTTTTATAAATTATAATTTGATTAGAAACATAAATGGGAACTCCTCTGGTTCGTTGAAGAATTATAGTTTACCTGTGTTAAACTACCCTGAAGATGAACCCCATAACTTTTCAAAAGATAGCTAAAAATGTTTAATTAAAAAGATAGTGTGTATTCTACCTATGTGGTGAAAATTCTTGCTATTTTCAGGTTTTAATTTATGGATATCCATCGGTTTGAACGGAAATGGTCGAATTAGAAATTTTAAAAAAGAAACGTATTCTACCAAGCGAATTTATGTGGAGAAATATCTTGTTATTTTCAGGTTTTAGTTTATGGACATATATATCGGTTTGAACGGGAAGGTTTGAATTACAAATTAAACAAAGAAGTGTTACTACCAAGCGAATTTATGTGGTGAAATTTCTTTATTTTCAGGTTTTAATTTATGGACATATACATCGGAAATGGTCGAATTTAGTATGACCCTTCCCTTGACCCCAAACTCCCAGGACAGAATCAAGCTGGTTCGTCGTGTCACGTGACCTGTGTACGCACAGTTACACGACTGAGATCATTCCTTAAAGACAACAAAGAAATATGGTCATACATTACTTTATAAGGTCTAAAGAGGAGACTACTGAATGGCCTAACTGAAACAATGCACGATATTGGTCGGTTTCTTTCATTGTTGAAACGTGACACAGGTTCAAAGTACAGTTACTCATCCGACCTGTCTGTGCATATATCACATTGCCATCAACACCTATCATCTGTTTAAATATAGGTCACCTTGTCGTGTACATGTTAATTCTATAACAGGGTGGGTGAGTTTGGTAAACACAACACTGAACATTTACACACACACACACACACACACACACGCACGCACGCACGCACGCACGCACGCACGCACGCACGCACACACGTAATTCATAAGCTTCAATCCATACTTATAACTGATATGCATGGCACACAATATAGGACTCATTTTCGGCAAAGTCCCATTTTCAGACTTTTAACTGCTTATGTCATGGTTGCAGTGTAACTTTGACCGACCAATGGAATGACCAATCAGAAGGCAGCTTTTTCGTGCTTTACGGCACTAATTTCAAATTGGCGACTACGCTTCGAAACATATTTTGACAAATTCTCGATTTAAAATTTGAAACCTGAACAAAAGAACATTTTTGAACCCGTAACTATCGTTCGGAATAAAGATTTCGAGGTTGCATGATTAGAAATCATATTCCGACCGTCACTTCCATAATCTGGTAAGCGACGCTCTGATTGGTCGGATGAAAGGTCGTTCTGACGTGACCCCTAATGGGTTGTCTTCAGATCTTTGTTTAGCGGTAGCGACAACTAGGATCTGATTTTAATGAGATTGGGACACGGTGGGAACGAGATGCTTGAGAACCTGTAAGCATGTGTGGTGATCAGAGAGCACAACCTTGCTACTGAGGACTGCAACAAGTAAATGCACTTATCTCAGCCTCAAACACGTCGTTTGAAGACCGATGTATCAGGCAGATGCATAGGCATGCTTGAAAGTGGGTCAACACAACGACACGTTTTAAATGTCTTTGATGTCAGCCAAAGTATCATCAGCGGGGCATGGAATCAATACCAGACGTTTGGATCAGCTACCCAACGACATGCAGGTGGTCGACAGCGTTCTACCACACAGGTGGAAGACAGATTGCTCCTGATTGCAGCAAGAAGACAGCATCCTCGGGAATTACCTGCGGAACGCCAGTGGCGTTAACGCCTCTCCTCAGACAGTAATCGTAATCGTCTCAGTGAGGCTGGTGTGAGTGGGTGAGTATGGTTTTACGCCGCTTTTAGCAATATTCCAGCAATATCACGGCGGGGGACACCAGAAATGGGCTTCACACATTGTACCCATGTCGGGAATCGAACCCGGGTCTTCGGTGTGACGAGCGAACGCTTTAACCACTAGGCTACCCGACCGCCCCCTCCGGTCACAGAAGGCATGCAATCGCATCCCACTGACTCAACATCACAGACAGGCACGTTTGGATTGGGTTGAAGATCACGTCAAGTGTTGCGTAGACAAGGAGAAAGATTTCAAGATTCCAACGTAGCCGAATATGACCGCTAAGGAAGGGGCTCCATTGATGACAGGCGTGCGTGTCAGGGATGACATTCTGGATGTGTACGCGAGACAGTATGCTAGTGCAGTCGGACCAGACTTCATCCTCATGGACGATAACGCAAGACCTCGTCGAGCCAGGGTCGTCGAAGTAGGGCTTGGACGGGTAACTCGGGTACCCGGTGTAGGACCCGGGTACCCACAGACTACCCGGACCCGGATCCGTGGTTAGTCATGTGATATATAACGTAGGGACGGGTAAAAGGGAGGTGGGTACCCGGGTAGTAAATTTGGACTCGTCCCAGCCCAACGTTGACCCCAACCCTATCGAACACACGTATAACCAGCTGCTCTTACCGAACAGTGGCACAAACTTCCCTTGGCAGCCATCCAGACACTTAATGGGAACATGAGACGACGGTGCCAGGCTGTGATCGCATCACGTGTTCATATTTTTTTAACAATGACTTTGTTTTCGTGAGTTATCAAAGTTTCGGTTTTGGCTAGATACTCTCATTTTGACCGGGTGATCTGACTGATTAATGGTCACAGGTTGTTGGCATTGTGTGGCACAGAACAACGGACTTTTGTACATTAAACACGTATTCCACGTATAAGGGGCGGTCGGGTAGCCTAGTGGTTAAATAGTTCGCTTGTCACGCCGAAGACCCGGGTACAATGTGTGAATCCTGTTTCTGGTGTCCCCTGCCGTGATATTGCTGGACCATTGCCAAAATCGGTGTAAAACCATACTCACTCTTAACCTAATAAATACCAAATAACGTCAGATGCACACTATTTGCCATATTAAAGTGGTGATCCTTTGCAAACTTTGAGTGGTATATCTGCGTGCCAACCTGATGTGGGAGGAAAGCAGGTGAAGATTATCACTTTATTGAAGTCCATGGGTAAGATGCTCACAGCAATGAATTAGAATGAGCGATTGTTTGGGATTTACTGTTCTGTCAGTATACAGTATATACTTGCTCTCTAGGGCCTCCAGAGACTGTCAGTCAGTTCCCAGCTAGCACCTGCCCTCTAGGGCCTCTAGCGACTTCCCAGATAGCACCTGCCCTCTAGGGCCTCCAGAGACTGTCAGCCCATTCCCAGCTAGCACTTGCACTCTAGGGCCTCCAGAGACTGTCAGCCAGTTCACAGCTAGCACCTGCCCTCTAGGGCCTCTAGCGACTTCCCTGATAGCACCTGCCCTCTAAGGCCTCCAGAGACTGTCAGTCAGTTCCCAGCTAGCACCTGCCCTCTAAGGCCTCCAGAGACTGTCAGCCAGTTCCCAGCTAGCACCTGCCCTCTAGGGCCTCCAGAGACTGTCAGTCAGTTCCCAGCTAGCACCTGCCCTCTAGGGCCTCTAGCAACTTCCCAGATAGCACCTGCCCTCTAAGGCCTCTAGAGACTGTCAGCCAGTTCCCAGATAGCACCTGCCCTCTAGGGCCTCCAGAGACTGTCAGCCAGTTCCCAGCTAGCACCTGCCCTCTAGGGCCTCTAGCGACTGTCAGCCAGTTCCCAGCTAGCACCTGCCCTCTAGGGCCTCAAGCGACTGTCAGCCAGTTCCCAGCTAGCACCTGCCCTCTAGGGCCTCCAGAGACTGTCAGCCAGTTCCCAGCAAGCACCTGCCCTCTAGGGCCTCTAGCGACTGTCAGCCAGTTCCCAGCTAGCACCTGCCCTCTAGGGCCTCTAGCAACTTCCCAGATAGCACCTGCCCTCTAAGGCCTCTAGAGACTGTCAGCCAGTTCCCAGATAGCACCTGCCCTCTAGGGCCTCCAGAGACTGTCAGCCAGTTCCCAGCTAGCACCTGCCCTCTAGGGCCTCTAGCGACTGTCAGCCAGTTCCCAGCTAGCACCTGCCCTCTAGGGCCTCAAGCGACTGTCAGCCAGTTCCCAGCTAGCACCTGCCCTCTAGGGCCTCCAGAGACTGTCAGCCAGTTCCCAGCAAGCACCTGCCCTCTAGGGCCTCTAGCGACTGTCAGCCAGTTCCCAGCTAGCACCTGCCCTCTAGGGCCTCTAGCGACTGTCAGCCAGTTCCCAGCTAGGACCTGCCCTCTAGGGCCTCCAGAGACTGTCAGCCAGTTCCCAGCTAGGACCTGCCCTCTAGGGCCTCCAGAGACTGTCAGCCAGTTCCCAGGTAGCACTTGCCCCCAGGGCCTCCAGAGACTGTCAGCCAGTTCCCAGGTAGCACTTGCCCCCAGGGCCTCCAGAGACTGTCAGTCAGTTCCCAGCTAGCACCTGCCCTCTAGGGCCTCCAGAGACTATCAGCCAACATCCTCCAGACACCATCTGTGGCCTACTAATCCCCAGTTCATCACGAGGCCTGTTCCCTGATATTGCCTCTGTGGAATGTAGGTGGATTTATCAGTACACAAAGCAGTTAGTTTGTGAGTTTGTTTAAATCCGCTTTGAACAATATTTCAGTTACATGACGGCATGTCAGCTTGATGTGGGAGGAAAGCCTAAAGTGAAGCACTTTGGTGAAGCCCACGAGCATATGTATGGTGCTGACAAAACTAGATCCAGGTATCAGGGAGAACCGGGATTGGACCACAAGATAATCGTTTTCACCTACATCTAAGGGATGCATCTCTGCATAGGGAGTGAATGACTGTCTACCTTTGCCTCTGTATTATGCAAAATAACAAGCAACAAGATTGATAGATGAACATGATTTAATCATATTGAACAGAGTAAACAAAATTAACAAGTACTGGCCGATACAATCATGACATTTATTCCTGGGTAAGTTTAAGTCTACCAGGAAACTTTATTGGTGTTGACAGCGCAATATACTCCATATAGCGGACTAGCACTGATAAATAATACTTTATATAAATACTAATTAAAAAAAATTATATCAGAAATTATCATGAAAACATCTCAAAATATATGTGTTTAAAAAAATATATTTTTCCTGCTTAGAAATTGTTTTCAGTTCATTAATATTATTTTTTTATATTTCTAAATCTTTCCTGATCAAACATGGATCATTCCTGGTATACATACATGGTGGAAAAGATTTTCTGTAAACTTGATAAATAAAGTAATTTTAATTCACATCACAGAAATCATTTGATACTTCAAATACATAAAGATATGTATTGTATAAAATAAAATTCTGAAATAATAATTTAAGTTTTTGAGAAGATGATGGTGGAAAGGATTTTTAGTAAACTGTCACAGAAATCATTTGATACTTCAAACACATAAAGATATGTAATAAAATAAAATTCTGAAATAATAATTTAAATTCTTGAGAAGATGATGCATCGCAATATAAAGCAGAATCCACATCTCCCAGTTCAGTGATTGTAACAGACTGTATACCATCTTTCACAAAAATATTATTGGTCACATGACCATGTTGTTGACCAAGACATAAGTAGCATACCACACCAGCTCTACAGTGTCTGTTATGTAAATGAACTCACCAAAAGGAAAGCTTATACTGACTATATTGAGACTATATTGAAAAGATTTGATCCAATCACGTTTTTGTCGGGAAATTTGAATATCTGGCTCTGCCTCTAGCATCTTGGCAGGACGAAGGTTGCAGCAAGGGCAACAATCGGGGCGCCCGTAGGGACTCCTGGGAAGGGTCCGCTGGAGCCGGCGATGTCGATGTGGGAGTAGGGGATGGGCTTGTCCGAGTCCTTGCCATGCTACAATATAAACACCATCTTCATTCATATACAGGGCTTCTCAAAGGAATAAATAAATTGCAAGTGATTCCAAGGCATTTGATTGGAAAACCAAGAAATTTATTTGGCTAAATGGAAAAAATAGGCCAGGCCCCAAACCAGATTGACAGTTTCCTTACTGCCTGATGAAAGAGGGGACAGGGCTTGTGACGCATTATTGCACAGAGTGATATCACTGAGTTTGTATTGTTATCTACGTATAAATTTGTTAATATGTAAATAAGCAGTCTCTGAAGTTATTATTGGTGACTTATATCTATATAGGTGCGGTGAAATTGGGTTTAACATTGGGTCCAAGATTACTGCACTTATATAGCGACATGCATGCATATGTGTGTGGCTGCTTGTACTAGTCTGGACTAATACCGATTTATAGTGCTCGTTCACTAAGATACCATGCCCCAGTTTAACATGAAACCCAGACTCAGACATATACAGACGCCGAGCCAACCAGTCCTTGTTTTAGCCCCTCAATGCCGAGCGCCAGACAGGGTAACAACAAGGACCATCTTTAAACGTCTTTTGGTATGATGTGGCCGGGGATCGAACCCTGATCCTTCCGCTCTCTGGGCGGATGCTCTACCACTAGACCACGGAGGCGGTCTATTTCTTTATAAGATTGATGGGTGAGCACAAGCTGCATTTACGTGGATTACATAGTGTAAATGTTCATAAAAGGAAACACATGAAGTCAATTCTTAATGGAACAAGTGAGCTGGGATTAATGCATTTTATGGTCTTGTCTACCAGGAGACCACAGTTGAAGTTGGATATGCTGAAGTGGTCTTGTCTACCAGGAGACCCCAGCTGAAGTTCGAATATTCTGAGGTGGTCTTGTCTACCAGGAGACCACAGCTGAAGTTCGAATATTCTGAGGTGGTCTTGTCTACCAGGAGACCACAGCTGAAGTTCAAATATTCTGAGGTGGTCTTGTCTACCAGGAGACCACAGCTGAAGTTCAAATATTCTGAGGTGGTCTTGTCTACCAGGAGACCACAGCTGAAGTTCAAATATTCTGAGGTGGTCTTGTCTACCAGGAGACCACAGCTGAAGTTCGAATATTCTGAGGTGGTCTTGTCTACCAGGAGACCACAGCTGAAGTTCAAATATTCTGAGGTGGTCTTGTCTACCAGGAGACCACAGCTGAAGTTCAAATATTCTGAGGTGGTCTTGTCTACCAGGAGACCACAGCTGAAGTTGGAATATTCTGAGGTGGTCTTGTCTACCAGGAGACCACAGCTGAAGTTCAAATATTCTGAGGTGGTCTTGTCTACCAGGAGACCACAGCTGAAGTTCAAATATTCTGAGGTGGTCTTGTCTACCAGGAGACCACAGCTGAAGTTCGAATATTCTGAGGTGGTCTTGTCTACCAGGAGACCACAGCTGAAGTTCAAATATTCTGAGGTGGTCTTGTCTACCAGGAGACCACAGCTGAAGTTCAAATATTCTGAGGTGGTCTTGTCTACCAGGAGACCACAGCTGAAGTTGGAATATTCTGAGGTGGTCTTGTCTACCAGGAGACCACAGCTGAAGTTCAAATATACTGAGGTGGTCTTGTCTACTAGGAGACCACAGCTGAAGTTTGAATATTCTGAGGTGGTCTTGTCTACCAGGAGACCACAGCTGAAGTTTGAATATACTGAGGTGGTCTTGTCTACCAGGAGACCACAGCTGAAGTTTGAATATACTGAGGTGGTCTTGTCTACCAGGAGACCCCAGCTGAAGTTCAAATATTCTGAGGTGGTCTTGTCTACCAGGAGACCACAGCTGAAGTTTGAATATACTGAGGTGGTCTTGTCTACCAGGAGACCACAGCTGAAGTTCAAATATTCTGAGGTGGTCTTGTCTACCAGGAGACCACAGCTGAAGTTCGAATATACTGAGGTGGTCTGAGGAGACCACAGCTGAAGTTCAAATGTTCTGAGGTGGTCTTGTCTACCAGGAGACGAGCATGCAGCAGACACCGGACACAATACATTCCACAGGGTCTTGTGTTCAACTGAATACTTGTCTCTACAAATACATATATACAGTGTTACACAAAGTTACAGACCCGTGTAGATCCGGGGTAGAATAGGTCTTCAGCAACCCATGCTTGCTGTAAAAGGCGACTGACTATGCTTGTCGTAAAAGCAATTAACGGGATGCCGTGGTCAGGCTCGCTGACTTGGTTGATGCATGTCATTGATCCCAATTGCGTGGATCGATGCTCATGATATTAATCACTGGATCGTCTGGTCCAGACTTGATTATTTACAGACCGCCATCATATAGCTGGAATATTGCTGAGTGCAGCATTAAACAACAAACCAAACAACAAAGTTACCTTATCAACCCCGGCCGCCATGATCATGAAGGCTGCAGGACACTGATGTCCTCTGGGCGTGGCGCTGGAGGGGAGGTTGTTGCATTGGAGGATGTCTTCATACTCCGACTTCCCCGAGACAAACACATAGTCCTGTACAAATACACATGACATATGCCTCAAACTTGTAAAAATCAAAGATCACAACAGATGAGCCATAAAATCAGGAATGTATTGAAGAAGCATTTTAACCAGAACAGGATCAACCTATAAATAAAGTATGATGGATGCACTATAGATTTTGATGGACACAAATAAGATTTCCTGTTTTCCATCACAGTAATGTGTACTCCCAAGGGAGTTGAGAATGAAATATGAATGCAGACTTGTTAACTGCATTGTCACAAACTTCTCTCGGTGATGTTGACTGACTCATGAATTGGCAATTTTGATCATCAAAGGATTTTACCAGTTTTTATTCAACAATCCTGACCTGCTGACTTGGTTGATGCATGTCATCGTATCCTAATTGTGTGGATCAATGCTCATGATATCAATCACTGGACTGTCTGGTTCAGACTCAATTATTTACAAACTGCCATCATATAGCTGGAATATTGCTGAGTGCGGCGTTAAACAACAAACAAGCAAACAAAACCAAACATTTCAGTCTGGTACTTTGATAAGCATGGGGTGCTGGAAACATATCTTGACCTGACCATATCTGGACTACCCCAAAGGGGGGCCATACTTTATTAGCCAACACGTTCACGCACCTCCCTACGTATGGTGGAGATCTCGAATGGGTCACCATACTCCTCTCCCGTCTCCTGAATATTCTGGGCGGTCCTCAGTTGTTTTGCAGGGCCATTGTCCATGATTATCTGTTACAGGAAGACAGGAAGCATTATGGGTGTTTTATAAATGACATAATCCCTTGTAATAATAAACATCACAGCTTGGAGTGTGAGGAAAACCTGACACACTGAAACCCATGTGTATGGTGCTGATAAACCTAAAAACATAATCAAACAGGATTCAAACCTGGAAACATTTGTTCCTGGCATACCTAAGGGTGGTAACTCTGCAGAGCAAATTGAGGTGATTAGACCGCTGGGCCACCTGTGTCCCCCTTTTCAAAAAATATGTTAGATATTTCTTTGAACACAACATCTGTGTGACCAAGCTGCCATTCAAGAAAAAATCTCCGCCATATCATGAAACAAATTAATGGTTATACTTACGGAGTACTCTGGTCCCATGGCCCTGATAGCGTGGCCAGTCAGGGTAGCAATGGTGAAGATGTGTGGCTCTACAGCCTTGACTGCCTGAAACAAACAAACAAACAATGCATCAAACCAATCCTGGATAACATAAAGCAGTTAGAATCCGTTGCCACTCCATAATGTTAACATTTAGCAGTTAGTCGCTTAATGGGTTTAGGGACAGCATTTATTTTCCCACGTACTAACTACTCACAATACAAATACTTCTATTTTTCATCTCATATCACAGGGAAAAAGTAACCTCTCACACGCAACAACTTTACTTCCATGTTCAGCAACAACCTGAAATTACATCACTTCCTCCGCGCTACGTCACGTCCTCCGCCTCACATCACTTCCTCTTATTAAAGCAATGTGCTCACTTTTGTTATCGCTTTCCGCATTCTTTTATGAACACTGCTAAATTTCTCTTGCAATCCTTTGCTATCACTTGTGGCATTGTTTATTAATGTGACTGAATTTGCAATCTATTCCTTTTCGGTCTGCCGTTTCAAATTCTTTTGAAAACTCTTGCTGTTACACTTTTCGCCTACATAATCATCGACAATGCCTCCTAAGCGCAGGGCAGCAATAAACCACAAGCTCAATTGCGGTAGGTCCAAGGCGACCAGGCTCCGGGTGTAAATGGCGTAAATGGTGACTATGCTTGTCGTAAGAGATCAGGTGGTCGGGCTCGCTGACTTGTTTGAAGCATGTCATCGATCCCAATGCTCGTGACATCAATCACTGAACTGTCAGACTCAATTATTTACAGACCGCCGTCATATAGCTTGAATATTGCTGAGTGCGGCGTAAAACAACAAACCAACCAACCAATGAACCTGTTTAACCAAAATGCCCACAAGGTATGACATTTACACATCAGAGTCCCGTTCCACAAAGCCATCTTAGCAGTTAGGTGATCGTAACTCCCATACTTTAACATTGGCTTACGATAGTCGTAGTGCTAAGATCGCTTTGTGGACGGTGCCCAGTTACTTACATCTTCCTTGAATTTACAGAGGACGTCGGCCATGACCATTCTACCTTCGGCATCCGTGTTCCCGACTCTCACCCTCACCCCAGCCCGGGAAGTGATGATCTCATCAGCAACATAGCATTCTGGGGGATACAAGGCATCTTTTAGTCATTAATTTTGATCCTTTCATCATTGGTTCTGAGGATGTTTGTATCCATGTGCAGCTTTCCAAAACCTATATCAAGACGTTGTTCAGCTCATTCCCCTGGGGCACTGGTTCATGAGGGTCCCTTCAGGTAGGAAGGGTCGGTGAGGAACTGGAGGGTGGATACCCTTGGGTAGGAAGAGTCTGGGTAGGGACAGGTTTGAGTCCCTAGATGTTCCTCGGTAAAGAGGGTCAGGGTGATGACTGGATGGAAAAGAAGGTTGGGATAGGATTGGAGGGTGGAGACCCTTGTGTAAGGCGGGTCAAGGTTATTACTGGGTCAAGACTGTAGTTTTCCTCAGGCAAACAGGTTCAGGGTGTGGATTAGAGGGTTCTTCTTAGGTAAAGTGGATTAGGTGGGGGCTAGAGGGTGAAGTCCCAAAGAAATTTGACTCCCAGATATTCAATGATTAGTGAAATTATAACCAACCCTGACAGGGGCTATGAGAGTTATTTTTCCTATACAGTGTGTTTTTGAGATGAGGAACATCTGCACTGACCGGACCCGACACTGTTCCGGACCATTACCATGGCGCCCCGAGCTTTGAGACCCTTTGGTTTCAGGACAGACAGAATCTAGAAAGTAATCAAAGAAAATAATTGATCTTTCAAAGAGTAGTGAGTCGAACGAAATGAAGATGTTATTATGATGGTAAGTAATGGAGAAATCATGAGAATCTCTATAATTCTAGAAGCAGAATCAATGAGCCCCGAAATGGCGAGTTGATTTTACTTCCGTAATCAACAGATGTGAGTGATATCTTCGACTGTTATGTAATGGTTGATATAAAATTGATCTTTTGCATCATGACCTATAGTAGTGTCAGTATTTCTTGCATAAAAGGCATGTTCAGAATGGCCTGGGAATTCCTCAGAATCCACTGCAACAACAATTGATTGACATCATCATACAGGTTTAATGGTGAGACTTCCGCCCGTATTTCCCCTAGAAATATATATATAAAAGGATTGAGCAACAATGCATACACATATAACGTTTGGAGGGGGATACAGGCGGAAGTCTTTCCGGTTCAATATGCACTCCAGTATCTGACCTTGAAGAATCCCCCGACCGCCGCCGCCCCACACTTGTCCCTGTGCATACCGGCCATGACACCCCCGGCCTTGATGTCAGCGCCGCCGGTGTCGTAGGTGATGCCCTGTGAAAGTACTGACAGAGTGAGTGAGAGTGTTAACATCAAACATCAGATCAGCAATAGTTCACCCATATAGTGACATGTCAGATCTGTGAAACTACTTGCTAGATTACATGTCTTGCGACAGGTCCTTTGATGATGTTACACTGTGCATGAGTAGAATCAAACTCGGTCATCTGCATGAGCAACCACTACAACCACAGGCCTAGCCCTATGATCTTGATAGTGGGAGGTGCATCCACTCTGAGCTAACTTCAAAGTTAGTGGTTAGGCTAAAAAAACATAACAGTTTCGTTCTCAGGTATCATCATAAAGTTCGCCGCATGTTTCGGTTTTATTTCCATTTCATAAAAAAAATCTAAAAAAATTCTTAAATATTCCAAGTCAAACAGCAGTAAAATACTGTATTCCAGTATTTTACTCATCAAGGAATACATTTATGTAGTGATGCCCTTTTCCAGGTTGATTGTACACAACTTTTTATTTGGTTACATACTACAGTGATCCCTACAACGCTCCCTTTGGGGTCCAAATAATTGATGAGAGTTATACACGATCAGCAGTTTAATGAAAGTCAAGTCGTAGGTGGTAGATGACCAACAGAACAAATCGAAATATGGATTGATTTGAATCAATCTGCCATTGTATGTACCTTGCCGACGAGGAAGACGGTCTTGTCCGTGTCCCCCTCCCCATCGTAGTCCAGGTAGATGAGACGAGCCTGGTGCCGATCCACAACTGCATACAAAAGTCAGCAATATTACAACTGTCTGTAAAGTCAGTAATATTACCACTGTTGGTAAAATCAGCAATACTACAGCAGTCTGTAAAGTCAGCAATACTACAGCAATCTATAAATCAGCAATATTGCCAAAGTTGGTAAAGTCAGTAATATTACCACAGTTGGTAAAGTCAGCAATACTACAGCAGTCTGTAAAGTCAGCAATATTACAGCTGTAAAGTCAGCAATATTACCACAGTTGGTAAAGTCAGCAATATTACATCTGTAAAGTCAGCAATATCACCAAAGTTGGTAAAGTCAGCAATATTACAGCTGTAAAGTCAGCAATATTTCCACAGTTGGTAAAGTCAGCAATATTACAGCTGTCTGTAAAGTCAGCAACATTACAGCTATCTGTAAAGTCAGCAATATTACCACAGTTGGTAAAGTCAGTAATATTACCACAGTTGTTAAAGTCAGCAATAATACCAAAGTTGGAAAAAGTTGGCAATATTACAGCAGTCTGTAAATCAGCAATATTACAGCTGTCTGTAAAGTCAGCAATATTACATCTGTAAAGTCAGCAATATTACAACAGTTAGTAAAGTCAGCAATATTACATTTGTAAAGTCAGCAATATTACAGCTGTCTGTAAAGTCAGCAACATTACAGCTGTAAAGTCAGCAATATTACCACAGTTGGTAAAGTCAGTAATATTACCACAGTTGGTAAAGATAGCAATATTACCAAAGTTGGAAAAATCAGTAATACTAAAGCAGTCTGTAATCAGTAACATTACGGCTGTCTGTAAAGTCAGCAATATTACAACAGTTGGTAAAGTCAGCAATATTACAGCTGTCTGTAAAGTCAGCAACATTACAGCTGTCTGTAAAGTCAGTAATATTACCACAGTTGGTAAAGTCAGTAATATTACCACAGTTGGTAAAGTCAGCAATATTACCACAGTTGGCAAAATCAGCAATACTACAGCAGTCTGTAAATCAGCAACATTACAGCTGTCTGTAAAGTCAGCAATATTACAGCTGTAAAGTCAGCAATATTACCACAGTTGGTAAAGTCAGCAGTATTAAAGCTGTCTGTAAAGTCAGGAACATTACAGCTATCTGTAAAGTCAGTAATATTACCACAGTTGGTAAAGTCAGTAATATTACCACAGTTGGTAAAGTCAGCAATATTACCACAGTTGGCAAAATCAGCAATACTACAGCAGTCTGTAAATCAGCCATATTACAGCTGTCTGTAAAGTCAGCCATATTACAGCTGTAAAGTCAGCAATATTACCACAGTTGGTAAAGTCAGCAATATTACATCTGTAAAGTCAGCAATATTCCCACAGTTGGTAAAGTCAGCAATGTTACATCTGTAAAGTCATCAATATTACCACAGTTGGCAAAATCAGCAATTCTACAGCAGTCTGTAAATCAGCAATATTACAGCTGTCTGTAAAGTCAGTAATATTACAGCTGTCTGTAAAGTCAGTAATATTACAGCTGTCTGCAAAGTCAGCAATATTACAGCTGTCTGCAAAGTCAGCTATATTACAGCAACATTAAAGTAAGTAATATTACAGCTGTCTGCAAAGTCAGCAATATTACAGCTGTCTGCAAAGTCACCAATATTACAGCTGTCTGTAAAGTCACCAATATTACAGCAACATTTAACATCAGTAATATTCCAGCTGTCTGCAAAGTCAGCAATATTACAGCAACATTAAAGTCAGCATCACATAATGTAAAGTCCCCATCCATAGTTCAGTCAGCTGTCCGAGAAGAAAGGGGTAGTTGGGATCTATTCTCACCTGACGTACATGTGGGATACTAACATAAAACTTGAAACATCATAAATTCATGAATATAGAAAACTGAAATGCTATGGAAATCTAAATTCATAGAAAAACAGCCAATAAACTTACAGCTGGCTGATCGGTTGACTGCAGCCATCAGTGGGTATTCCTTTTCAATGACCGCCTTGTCCGATACCACAGATACCTATCATCATTAATCATGATTACAGAGCTCTGAATAAGTCAATGGGCGCATCATTCATTTTCAGTTTGTGATGTCTAAAAACCATAACACTGTTTCATTAATTACATCAATGCAGAAAGAAATTGTCATATTTTGATTACATAACAGCTATAAGTTGAATTGGCATCACGAGGGGTACATGTGGTTTTATGTATCCCGGAGGCGAATCATATACTGTCAATCGTGAATTTAATGCGTCTCCAAAAGAATGCGAACGCTGGCCCCTGGCCAAAAATGCAACTCAATATGAATGCGACACCCCCCTCCTCTCAAGCATCAGTGGATGTGTTATCTAAATAAAATGTCCTCTGTCAGGACATGCATGCGCACAGGCTCGTGTCGGCCTTTGACTCAGTCTCAAAGAACAAAGACACTGTGTTGCGTGGGTGGCGTCTGTCTGGACTTGCAGGTGTGATCAGTGATGACATAAGTGAGTAGAACTCTTGTCTTGACCCCAGTAGTGACAATTCACAGGATGTAATTAGTGTTTGAATGACATTGTTTATGCACTTGTTACAAGTGCTGCTCAATAAACATTGATGTGGAAGACATAGTTGTTTGTTTCCAGCGTATGTCTAAGATGGTATTTCTGCTATCCAAAATGTCTTATTGTTGATATATATGCGATGTTTAATAATGCATCCAAGACCACTTCCATTTTTCGCATTTAATTCACGCTCGCGTTAATTTCAAGATTTACAGTAATACCTAATGAGAAACGCATAACACCACATGTACCCCTTGTGATACTGCTAGAACGAATTTACCTTATCAACACTTTTTCATATGACATTGTAAATGAATAAAAACAAATTCATAATTGATTGAAAGCAGCTGTTCGATTGAGCTGAGGTTAAATGTCTATGTCACATGACTTTTATTTTACTCAGTGAGTAGGGTTTAACGCCGCTTTTAACAGTATTCCAGTCATATCACGGCGTGTCACCTTAATGTGGGAGGAAAGCCCGAATTGATGCAGGTTTCAGACGTTTACCACTTCAGTGAAACCCACAAGCACGGGTATGGTGCTGACAAACCTAGAAACATAATCGGGGCGAACCGGGATTCAAACCCACTATCATAGGTTTCTGGCGTGCCTAAGAGACGCAACTCTGCACAGTGAATCGCGGCGCCTTAGACGACTCGGCCACCCGTGCCCCCTTTATTTTACTCAGAAAAAATGTGCAGTGTTTTCCTTCGAAGCGGTGTATAAGGGATTTATTCTCCCTCTATGAAATCCATGTGCACTGTGTCTTGCTCATGGCGGGGTATAAGAGATTTATTCTCCCACTGAGAAATTGATTTCCCTCCAAGGCGGGATACAGAGTATTTTATCAAGATCATGTGGACCAATCAGATCTCATCATTCTGACATGGAGGTATGATAATAACTTGTAAATTCCTAATTTCATCATACAGTGGTGACGTGCATTTATTGGACTACAGTCTCACCTTGATACAGGTGCCTTTGAATGCTTCCTGCACATATTCCAGCACTCGAGGCGCCGCCATTCTCTCCGGGTCGGATCCTCCGATGTCACGTGTCACCAGTCTATCGGAGGGGTGCATTATTTGAGAAATAATTAATTTGACAATCACAGACAATTGCAGGAAAGACAGGAGTGCCACAGCACTGTAACTCACCTGGATGTGTAGTCAAAAGTTTGAAGTGGCAACAAAGACATGCTCTCAGCATAGGTATTCAAATATTTTACGAAAATACAACATCACCATAAGGGAATGCCAAAGCTCAGCTCCCTCAGGCTATTTCAGCATGTTCAGGGGCAAAGTTCACAGAGTTAAATGTGCTCTTGAGAGAATTTTAAAACATGGCCAAAACAATGACAAACATTAAAATTAAGCAAAGCAAGGCTAAAAAGATAATAGTCTTGGTTCTCAGGTACCAACTGTATCATCATAAAGTCTGCCGCAGGTTTGGTTTTTATTTAGTTTTAAAAATAAATAAATCTTTTTTATATATTCCGCATCTCAAACACATGACCTCAGCAGTGAAATGCTACAATATTTAACATGATTTCGCCAAAATTATTTTAAACAAAATTTGGTTACATACTGAGGTACTAGCTTGAACAACCCCCCTTCCTACCAAAAAATCACTGCCAGCCTGCACTATATTTTCAAAAGCCATTGCCTGAGAACCAATTCTTTTCTTTTTTTTTAAAACCCAATGGAGCATGTGTTGAATGCCACATCTAAGAAAACAAATACCAAATTTCATAACATTTCAAACAAAATGGTAATGGTCATAAGTATTCTTTTTCAATATGGCTGAAATGGCAGCCATATTGAAAATCAGATTTGAACATCTTGAATACATCTGGTTTTTATCACGAGTGGGAACATGCATGTGTAGTTTCAGCTTAAATTGGTCCACCGGTTTCAGTGGAGACAATGCTTATGCTGGACAATGACCAAGGGGCTGTAACCACACTTGACATTCAGTCAAAAGTTCTAGGAAATATTGGAATTTCCAGGACAAACAATACGGATGAGAAAAAAATAATTTGGTTGATATATAGCAGATTATATGTACTTTAGTTATACTGTAATGTCTTGTCACTTGATATAGCATCTGAGAGCAACTGTGCCACTAACATGATCTTAAAAACAACTCATCATCCATGCCACGTATGTAAAATAGACAGAAACTTACCTTCCATTCTCCAGGGCATTGTTGATAGTAATTCCCTTTTTAACACTATCTTCATCGTTACACCATATCCCGAGCTTTTCTGCCTTGCTTGCTTTGGCTGGTGCCGCCTCCCGAACCTCTAGAGGCTGTTGGTGGTACATGCAGTGAATAAGTATTTAAAAAAAAGAAGATTTTTTTATTTTTTTTATTTCAATCCAGTACACTTATATCTGTAACATAGGTACATGAGGTATACAAGTGCAGCATGTAAGATCTTAAAACATCATCAAGATATGGGTTGCTATATATAAATTGGATTGACTGATATATTATAATAAGTAGGCTGATAATTCTTTCCATTTTCTGTCAAATTTATTTATACTATTTTTCATAGCAATAAGTTTTTCTATTTTACATATATCTAGGTCGCCTAGGTATGTAGGTTGTCAAACATAAACACATGCAACAAGTGTCAAGATAGCTGAGTACGTTGACAATGTGATTAACATTTGAAGAACATGTAATTAATGCCTGTGTCACACTGATTGGATGCTATTATGCAACTTGCAAAATGGACTACAACCACAGTCAAAGCCAAGAGATGGACTCTAAAACTATTCATATTCAACAGCAGGGGTAGATACCATAAATACCATCTGAGGTTGGGTGAAATGAAATTGGCTTTAATGTCGCATTTAAGCCTATTGCACTTTGTGACATGCATGTCCAGGTGAGGTGAGGTGAAATGGGGTTTAACGTCGCGTCCAAGATTATTTCACTTATATAGCGACGTGCATGTCCAGACTAATGCCAGTAATATTATGCAAGCCCACTGAGATACCATGAAACAATTGTGAAATGGATACCTCACTCAGACACAGTATACTGACTCTGAGCCGACCAGTCCTACTTTTATAAGGGTAACAACAAGTATTATCTGTTAGCGTCTGTAGTCAGTATTTTGTGTCTGAGTGGGGTATTCATGTTAATCTGCGGCATGGTATCTCAGTGGGCTAGCACTATAAAATCGGCATTAATCCGGACTATAGTACAAGCAGGACCACCCCCCAACCCCACCCCCACCCCACCCCCATACACACACACTGCAATAGAAGTGCAATAATCTTGAACATGTGCGCTAAGCCCCATTTCATCTCATCTCACCCCTCTTGGTATAACAGGGCCAGGGGAATGGACACCTGACCTTCCGTTCCCTGGGCAGACACTCTATCCACTAGACCATGGAGACGGTCGGTTAACATTGGAAGAAGGCCAAGGACTCACCACATACAGGGCCTGAAGGGCCCCCAATGTGCCAACAAGGCCGGCCTTGGGGAAGCTGTCATCGATGGGCCTGACAAAGAGGGGAGCCTTGCAGCCTGCTTGTAGTGCTCTGTCAAAACAACACAGTTTATATCTCTTAAATCAACACATTGTTTTAGCAAAAGCACTAAAAACATGATAAAAATATTCTATTAATCTATAAATTGGTTTCAACCTTTTTGAAATTGAACCAGGAGGCTTTTTATTTAACAGTCCACAAGATGGGTGATGATATAGGATATATAGAGAGTATTACACAACCATAAGTTACCAATCTTTCAAAATGAAGAACCTTTAATGATATCTGATTGAGAGGAAGTGATTGGCATTCTAGAAGTTGGTGAGAAAATAAGAAAACACACAACTCTATGGAGAAATACTTCTGGTTTATTGCATAAAGGGGTTTCGATGTAGATATACTCTCAGAAGTTGCTATCCATGAAGTTTTCTTAACATGTGAGATGATACAACAGGAGTGAGTGAGTGAGTGAGTGAGTGAGTGAGTGAGTGAGTGAGTGAGTGAGTGAGTGTGTGAGTGAGTGAGTGAGTGAGTGAAAGGTTTTACGCCGCTTTTGGCAATATTCCAGCAATATCACGGCGGGGGACACCAGAAATTGGCTTCACACAATGGACCCATGTCGGGAATCGAACCTGGGGTTCAGAGTGACAAGCAAACCCTTTAACCACTAGGCTACCTGACCGCCCCTGATATTACAGGAAATGTGTCTAGTTTTGAAGCATCTTGTATGTGAACACCTGAAAGTGGTAAGCCCGTTTTGCTTGGATGAATATTGATTTCCAGTCAGCCATGCTATAGCAGGAATACTGTAGTATTAAACAACACTCACTCACTCATTCACTCACTAATTCAGACATAAAGCCAGCAGTAAACAACACTAATTCAGACATAAAGCCGACAGTAAACAACACTAATTCAGATATTGAGCCGGCATTAAACAACACTCATTTAGATATTAAGCTGGCAGTAAACAACACTAATGCAGACATAAAGCCGACAGTAAACAACACTCATTTAGATATTAAGCTGGCAGTAAACAACACTCACTCGGACATTAAGCCAGCAGTAAAGAACACTAATTCAGACATAAAGCCGATAGTAAACAACACTTATTCAGACATAAAGCCGACAGTAAACAACACTAATGCAGACATAAAGCCAGCAGTAAACAACACTAATTCAGACATAAAGACGACAGTAAACGACACTTATTCAGACATAAAGCCAACAGTAAACAACACTAATGCAGACATAAAGACGACAGTAAACGACACTTATTCAGACATAAAGCCGACAGTAAACAACACTAATTCAGACATAATGCTGACAGTAAACAACACTTATTCAGACATAAAGCCGACAGTAAACAACACTAATGCAGACATAAAGCCAGCAGTAAACAACACTTATTCAGACATAAAGCCGACAGTAAACAACACTAATGCAGACATAAAGCTTACAGTAAACAACACTAATGCAGACATAAAGCCGACAGTAAACAAAACTAATTCAGACATAAAGCTGACAGTGAACAACACTAATTCAGACTGAAAGCCGACAGTAAACAACACTAATTCAGATATTGAGCCGGCATTAAACAACACTTATTCAGACATAAAGCCGACAGTAAACAACACTCATTCAGACATAAAGCCAGCGGTAAACAACACTTATTCAGACATAAAGCCGACAGTAAACAACACTAATTCAGACATAAAGCCGACAGTAAACAAAACTTATTCAGACATAAAGCCGACAGTAAACAACACTAATGCAGACATAAAGCCAGCAGTAAACAACACTTATTCAGACATAAAGCCGACAGTAAACAACACTAATGCAGACATAAAGCTTACAGTAAACAACACTAATGCAGACATAAAGCCGACAGTAAACAAAACTAATTCAGACATAAAGCTGACAGTGAACAACACTAATTCAGACTGAAAGCCGACAGTAAACAACACTAATTCAGATATTGAGCCGGCATTAAACAACACTTATTCAGACATAAAGCCGACAGTAAACAACACTCATTCAGACATAAAGCCAGCGGTAAACAACACTTATTCAGACATAAAGCCGACAGTAAACAACACTAATTCAGACATAAAGCCAGCAGTAAACAAAACTAATTCAGACATAAAGCTGACAGTAAACAACACTAAATCAGACACAAAGCCAGCATTAAACAACACTAATTCAGACATAAAGCCAGCAGTAAACAACACTAATTCCGATATTGAGCCGGCATTAAACAACACTCACTCAGACATTAAGCCAGCAGTAAATAACACTAATTCAGACATAAAGCCGACAGTAAACAACACTAATTCAGACATAAAGCCAGCAGTAAACAACACTAATTCAGACATAAAGCCAGCAGTAAACAACACTAATTCAGATATTGAGCCGGCATTAAACAACACTCACTCAGACATTAAGCCAGCAGTAAACAACACTAATTCAGACATAAAGCCGACAGTCAACAACACTAATTCAGACATAAAGCCAGCAGTAAACAACACTAATTCAGAAAAAGCCGACAGTAAACAACACTAATTCAGATATTGAGCCGGCATTGAATAACACTAATTCAGATATTGAGCCGGCATTGAATAACACTCATTCAGACATAAAACCGACAGTAAACAACACTCACTCAGACATTAAGCCAGCAGTCAACAACACTCATTCAGACATTAAGCCGGCAGTAAATGAAAATCACTCTGACATAAAGCTGGCGCTATAAAGCACATACTAAGGCATTAAGACATTAACCTAGCATTAACATTCACTCAATCACTTACTCAGACATTAGGCTGGCAGTAAACAACACTCATTCAGACACTAAGCCAGCAGTAAATAACACTAATTCAGACATAAAGCCGACAGTAAACAACACTAATTCAGACATAAAGCCAGCAGTAAACAACACTAATTCAGACATAAAGCCAGCAGTAAACAACACTAATTCAGATATTGAGCCGGCATTAAACAACACTCACTCAGTCATTAAGCCAGCAGTAAATAACACTAATTCAGACATAAAGCCAGCAGTAAACAACACTAATTCAGACATAAAGCCAGCAGTAAACAACACTAATTCAGACATAAAGCCAGCAGTAAACAACACTAATTCAGATATTGAGCCGGCATTAAACAACACTCACTCAGACATTAAGCCAGCAGTAAACAACACTAATTCAGACATAAAGCCGACAGTCAACAACACTAATTCAGATATTGAGCCGGCATTGAATAACACTAATTCAGATATTGAGCCGGCATTGAATAACACTCATTCAGACATAAAACCGACAGTAAACAACACTCACTCAGACATTAAGCCAGCAGTCAACAACACTCATTCAGACATTAAGCCGGCAGTAAATGAAAATCACTCTGACATAAAGCTGGCGCTATAAAGCACATACTAAGGCATTAAGACATTAACCTAGCATTAACATTCACTCAATCACTTACTCAGACATTAGGCTGGCAGTAAACAACACTCATTCAGACATTAAGCCAGCAGTAAACAACACTCATTCAGACATTAAGCCGGAGGTAAACAACACTCACTCAGACATTAAGCCGGCATTAAACAACACTCATTCAGACATTAAGCTAGCAGTAAACAACACTCATTCAGACATTTAGCTGGCATTAAACAACATTCACTCACTCACTCACTCAAACATTAGGCTGGCAGCAAACAACATTCACTCACTCACTCACTCAAACATTAGGCTGGCAGTAAACAACATTCACTCACACACTTCCTCAGACATGAGGCTGGCAGTAAACAACATTCACTCACTCACTCACTCAAACATTAGGCTGGCAGTAAACAACATTCACTCACACACTTCCTCAGACATTAGGCTGGCAGTAAACAACATTCACTCACTCACTTCCTCAGGTATTAGGCTGGCAGTAAACAACATTCACTCACTCACTTCCTCATACATAAGGCTGGCAGTAAACAACATTCAATCACTCACTTCCTCAGACATTTAGACGTCTCACCTCTTGATGCCCTTGACCCCTGCGTCGGCGAAGCTCCTCACATCGTCCTGGTCACGGTTCAGTGGCCCAGTGGGGGAGAAGATCTGTGGCGTAGAGCAGGTGTAAGTTTCACTACTCTCAGTGCATGGAGTCGATGTGTTAAGTGTTATGAGAGTATTTAGCCTATGTTATTTATTACTTGCCCGTGAAGAGATCACCCGTTTAATAAACATACAGCTGTATTACACATTGTGTAATACTAAAACGTGTGCTTATGTACACTCGAAACACGTTTCACGAAAAATATTGAAAGCTCTCAACATCCCTTGGCTTATTCAACGACATTGCTTGTAGAGATGATAGATCACTGAGAGGAGCTTAAACACACTCGATGACCCCAGCAACCTTGTTGCTAGGCTGACGTCACATGGCATTGTTTCGCCGAAGGATCTTGCAACAAAATTCCACAAATTACGTCATCGGGTATTGGACACGATTGTAAACTTTGAGGTGCAAGGCCCCTTTCCACAAGGCGATCGTGCTGTAGCGCAACGACAGTCGTTGGTCTAAGTTTAAGTATGTGAGTTGCAATAACCTTAACGCTACGCTAATTTTGTGGAACGGACGCCTGAATTCTAAAGGTAGACCATTGTATGGTATTAAATTCATACGTTTCAACTTTTGACGTGTTTGAAGTATTATTCTGTTAAATATGTTATTTCTGAAAAATTGCAGACTGTGTCACCATAAAACCACACATCACATTCTTGTGTAGGGGCGGTCGGGTAGCCTAGTGGTTAAGGCATTCGCTCGTCACACCGAAGATCCGGGTTCGATTCCCGACATGGGTACAATGTGTGAAGCCCAATTCTGGTGTCCCCCGCCGTGATATTGCTGGAATATTGCTAAAAAGCAACGTAAAACCAAACTCACTCACTCACCACACAGTATTTTTGAGCCAGGGCGTAACGAAAAGGGAAGGCAACAAACCCATTATGGCATCTGCTGCATTTTGAGACTAATTTGTATTACCGTATTCGACGTAATAAGCGCCCAGGGCGCTCTCAAAATTAGAAATAGGGGGCTCTTATAAGAATATTATTTTGGTGAAAAAAATATGAAAGATAAATTTTGTGGTTTATCCTGACAGCCTGAAGTGTTTATATACGACAGATATATTTTTTCCAGAATTTAATTGCCCATAATTGAGGGTGCATATTACACACGAGTGCGTATTATACACGAATAAATAGGTCTTGTGTCCATTGATCAATCGGAAGGGGTGCTAATTTGGATTGTTCACTAGCCAATATATTAACAAATATCGCCGTGGGCGCTTATTAGAGCAGGGCGCTTATTACGTCGAATACGGTAAGTGTAAATATTCTTCATGAACAAAAACGAACCTAATAAACAATCCCCAAACAGTTTCTTTGCAGAATTTGGTACCACCATGATAACTGAAATCATTCTAAATATAAATTATCACACTGTTAATTTAGGAAATCACCACCTTACACCAGAGACCCAGGCCTTGTGGTTAAAGCGTTCGCTCGTCATGCCGAAGACCCGGGTCCGATTCCCAACATGGGCACAATGTGTAAAGCCCATTTCTGGAGTCTTGTTTCAAGTCTATGTCTAAAACTTGTCTCTTTCACAAATACTATTCCTGACGTTATCATATTCATCATTTTTGAGCAACCATAACGGTGGATGAAAGACAGCACCTAACAAATGCAATTATTAATATTACCGTATTCGACGTAATAAGCGCCCCGCTCTAATAAGCGCCCATGGCGATAATTGCTAATATATTGGCAAGTAAACAATCCCAATTAGCACCCCTTCCGTTTGATCAATGTACAAAAGACTTATTTATTTGGGTATAATACGCACTCGTGTGTTATATGCACCCTTAATTATGGGCAAATAAATTCTGGAAAAAATATATCTGTCGTATATAAACAGTTCAAGCCGTCAGCATAAACCACGAAATTTATCTTTCAACTGTTTTATTCCACCAAAATAATATTCTAATAAGAGCCCCCTATTTCTAATTTTGAGAGCGCCCTGGGCACTTATTACGTCGAATACGGTAATATTAACATTAACCAGTAATATTAATATCAATATTAATAAACCATTATTATGAATATTAATATTTGTACTTACCAGTCTGCCTGACGGCACGACATCAGTCTGCACCAGCACCACGTCCTTCTCCAACGCACTGTCAACCTGGAAAGAAAGTCATCATGATAGTGCACATCTCCAATAGGTAGCAACACACACAGCTCATGGACAGAAGGGTAGAACTGTGAACACTTCAGTGAACCTGACAGGGACTGGACAGATAAGAATAAGATAAGATTCTTAGTTCAATACAACGGCTTCAATGAACAGAACAAAATAGATTGATGCTATATATTACACACACTCCTTAAGAGTTCCTCAAACAGACGAATCAAGATCGGTTACTAAAGAAGATCCTGTGTAGAATAGGCCTTCAGATCCTGTGTAGAATAGGCCTTCAGCAACCCATGCTTGCCGTAAAAGGCAACTATGCTTGTTGTAAGAGGCGAATGACAGGATTGTATGGTCAGGCTCACTGACTTGGTTGATGCATGTCATCGATCCCAATTGCGTGGATTGATGCTAATGTTGTCAATCACTGGATTGTCTGGCCCAGACTCAATTATTCACAGACCGCTGTCATATAGCTTGAATATTACTGAGTGTGGCGTTAAACAATCAATCAATGAATCAATCAATGAATCAATCAATCAACCTTGATATTAATTATAAATAAGTTATAAATCACATTTTAGTGATAATGAAAAAGTGTTAAATAGTTATAAATAGCAAGGCAGGTATTGATTGGTTCATATGACTATTTGTATATTTGTTCCTAATTAATAATTTATAATTGAATCATAATCTTGAATGCTGCTACTATTGTTGTGGGGGATATATAAGCCTCATTTCCAAAGGGTTACAGATTAAGTCAATGTACATTCCAAGCTGGATTTGAATCTTATGCAGGAGAAATTCTCCCTTAACTGTTGTAGTCGTAGTGTTTTACCTTTCCATAATTCTCCAAAGGAGCTTTCAGACACTCCAAGTTGCCTGTCAGTTTGGAGATGGAATCTGTTACCACGACAACCCCATCAAATTGGTCATCCTTGACATCCAGACAAGGGACAAGTGTTTGAAGCCTGGGATAACAGCAGTTAGCGGAATGTTAGAGATTAGATTAGGCATTGATGAGAATGAGTTACATGCAACACACAATGAGTGGATGTTTAACGAACTTTGAACAGAATTTCAGTGATATATCATGGAACTCTTCTGGGTGAACAATACCTTCCAAATGACGTGCTGGTTTTCTTGGGGAATTAGTCAGCAAAGAGCCAGAGTCACAGGAGACTAATCACAATTTTATTTACAAGAACAATTAACAATTTACAATATACTTAGATAATAACTGAGGGTGCCACAGAGAGTCGGTACACACTCTGGGCTGTGGGAGAGAGGTCTGCTATGAGAGAGAGAGTCAAACCCCTTCTCTTTTCTCCTTCTTCCTCTCTCAATCTCTCTGGACCAAGGCTTATATAGCCAAGGTCACCTGACATTTAGTAAGTAATAAATATAAATGTAAACAGTAAATCATCAGTGACATACTTGCACATCCTGTTCAGGATGGCAGACGGTCGATGTACACAAAAATGGGGATTAACAAATAGGATTAGCATCTAATAAATAACAGCAATTAAATGTTTCAAGGCATATAGATGCCAGGGTAATGAGCCTTTGCAAATTAAATGTTCTTTAGACAATGGGTGTCGTAAATCAGTCACCATGACAGATATCCCCTCACGTGGAAGGAACGCCCACTGTCACATGTTTATTTGTTTCTTGTTTAACACTGCACTCAGCAATATTCCAGCTATATGACGCAGTCTGTAAATAATCAAGTCTGCATCAGACAATCCAGTAATTGACATCATGAACATCGATCCACGCAATTGGGATACGATGACATGCATCAACCAAGTCTGCGAGCCTGACCACCTGATCCCGTTATAGTCGCCTCTTACGACAAGCATGGTCACATTTTAGGGCAAGTATGGGTTTCTGAAAACCTATTCTACCCCGGACCTTCACAGGTCATGAGTCTAGAGTCAGGGTCTTACAGAATTGTATCCTATCACAGGATGACGTAAATGAATAAAACAGAAATTCACCCATGTATCATACGAGGCTGTTTCAAAAAAAAGTAAAATTATGTTCAGCTATCCCTGTGATCCAATAAGCATAAAAATTGGTGATAGAAGCAAATAATTTACACTGTGTAGCGGCCATAAAATTTCCGAGTCCCGTGATGGGATTCGAACCACGGACCTTCTGATCAGAGGTCGGACGCCTTGTCCACATGACCAAAGAGGTTAACCCCGTCAGCAAGCTGACAAGGTAAGGATGTCATCCGTGGGATGACTCCACGCCCTGCTACAACTGCAAGTTTCAATAATTATAAAGACAAACAATCTCTAATAACTATAAACTCACATAGTTTTCTCTGACAATGTCCTTCTGGGCTTTCGCGTTACAACTACTTAGAATTTCTTTGTCAGACAGTTAACTACTGAACAGAAGAGTTCATTATCAAACTGCAGGGTAGACAGGATACTTATTCATTCTTTCAACTGTACAGTGACCAGCCTTTAGACTGATTTGTAGTTAATTTGTTTCGAGTAAAACATCATTTTTTGACAATCAACAGGATTGAAAAATAGCTCCAGGAGCTTACCTGATCCCTTCCCTTTCAAAAGTACAGAATTATCAGGCCTCAAAGTTTAAATTTTTACCAAGAGGTCAAGTATTTTTTTTCAGGTAGCCAGTGGTAAAATCAAGAAGTCAAGCCAATATTGTAGGTAGCCAAAAGCATTTGAAATTATCTTTATCAAATAGCTATTATAATATGTACAAGTTACAGCACTAGTCTTGAAATTGTATCTTAATGGAAACTACTTGAATTTTGTTACTTGTGACTTGAACAATGAGCAATTTATGTTACTACATGTAGATTATATAGGTATATCCTCGCTTATCCAATGAGCATTGTCAACTAAAATAAAGTACTAATTAAATTAATTTTTATGTATTTTGGTTCATTGTCGACTTTAGAAGGAATTATTTGCGAGTACAATTATTAGCAGACGTGTTTTCCAATATCAGCTGTTATTTATTTTTGTGTCTACAGATGTGTAGCAATAGAATTTAGTCGTCACATGATATTTTTTAAGGTTGTCATTTGGCTACCTCTGAATTTTAGACAGTAGACAAACTGAAATTTAGGTCGCATTGGCTACCATTTTAGTCGCAACTTTGAGGCCTGATTATCATTTTATCAATACATACAATATAACAGTATTACAGTAAACTACAGTTATAATAAACTCAAAGGGACCATTAATTTTAATTTGTTTTAACCGTAGTTCGTTATAAGCATATATACAAACCAAGGGGCCCAAACAGTTCGTTATATCCGTCAGTTCGTTATAAGGGTGTTCGTTATATACTGAGTTTACAGTACTTAAAACATAAGCGAGTGGATACAAAAGCTTGATCTTAAAGTCAACAGAATATAATTATGTACAACTTTAACATGTTTAAAAGTGACACTGTGATCTGACTCTCCATATGGAATAGTATCATGCTCCAAGTTTATGCCAAATTTGGAAAACTGATGGTTTTGGTTTTGGTTTGTTGTTTTACGCTGCACTCAGCAATATTCCAGCTATATGACGGCGGTCTGTAAATAATCGAGTCTGGACCAGACAATCCCGTGATCTACATCATGAGCATCGATCCACGCAATTGGGATACGATGACATGCATCAACCAAGTCAGCGAGCCTGACCACCTGATCCCGTTAGTCGCCTTTAACGACAAGCATAGTCGCCTTTTACGGCAAGCATGGGTTGCTGAAGACCTATTCTGTCCCGGATCTTCACGGGTCGAAAACTGATGGACTAGTAGTAATCTACGAGATGTTTTGTAGTTACTATGCTCGGGGAATTATTATTTGTATCAGCTGGTCAGACACTGTCTGGATATAATTTCTTTTCACAAAATATACTTCACAATTACCGACATGTTTCTTTGCACACAGCAGATTTCCAACTATATGATGGCAGCCTGTAAATAATTGTTGGCTTTTGTTTGTCAGCAATATTACAGCTGTATGACGGCGGTCTGTAAATAATCGAATCTGAACAAGACAATCCAGTGATTGACATCATGAGCATCGATCCACGCAATTGGGATACGATGACATGCATCAACCAAGTCTGCGAGCCTGACCACCCGATCCCATTAGCCGCCTTTTACGCCTGATCTCCGGTTTGGTTAACATATTGTCAGTTCTGCCTTCCACAGGAGTGTCTTAGCATTTGTCATTTGGTGCTTACAAATACAAAATATGTTAGAGACAACTGAAAATTCAACACATTCAAAGTGACTTATCACTGGTCAAATAATGAAAAGATTTTAGGACAATTAGTTTAACATAACCAAGGGTTTGTTGCATCCAAGTTTGACAAAATATAGTGTCATGAGTCTCTGTATTTCAGCAGACCCTGCCTCTACCTGCTGACAGAATGGCATGTCCCAATTCCCCAGGAATACATGTTTCTCTGAGCTATACCCTGGTGACGAAGCATATTCCCCAGGAATGCATGTTTCTCTGAGCTATCAATGAAACTTGTTTAGATAACAAGCATAGCAAATGTCATTTCCTTTCTAGTGGGAAAATAATATGGTTCAGGGACTGTGAGACAGATAAACATCTCCATCGTCTGTAATTAGTGTATCAGAGGATGCAGTGAAATTCTCATCACACAGTCAGGTTCCTGCTTGTATGTGTTAGGTATCATATTTAAATTATGATGTAAAAACTGGAGAGATGAATTCTTTTCACAATGTATTTTCATAGATCCTTTTAAGACCAAGGCTTCAATGAGCAAAAAAAGATTGCACTCAAACCTTCGGGATGAAGCTCGATTCTTACTTGAGTACCCGGCCAATAATAACACATTTCTGATAAATTCAACGTTAGAATAAGCATTTCAAAATTGTTTTGAATAACAGCAAGAAATATGTAGATCAACTATTAAATAAGCTGTTATTAAACACATGCGTGTTACGATTTCATTATTGCTATTTGCCAAGCCAAGTTCATCTGAACACCTCAGTCACAGCAACCCATGCTTGTTGTAAGAGGCGACTATGCTTGTCATAAGAGGTGACTACGGGATCAGGTGCTCAGGCCCACTGACTTGGTTGATGCATGTCATCATATCCCAATAGCGTGGATCAATGCTCATGATGTCAATCCCTGGATTGTCTGGTCCAGAATCGATTATATACAGATAGCTGGAATATTGCAGAGTGTGGCGTTAAAAAACAAACACCTCAGTCACAAAATACCATCATTAGGCTTAGTCGGCTGTTATGAAGCCATCATTAACATTACAAACTATCTCCTGCTACATATATAATAATTTTATTTACTTTGGCAAAATACTTGCTGTTGATGTTTTTTGTAACTGGTCGATTTACAAGACCATGCTGATCTATTGATATGACATATATTTGCATTTGAGCTTGACTGTCAATCAAAGCTCTTATTTTGATTGGACCGCCTCCGTGGTCTAGTGGTAGAGCGTCCACCCCAGGGTTCGATCCCCGGCCGTGTCATATCAAAAGACGTTAAAAGATGGTACTTGTTGTTACCCTGTCTGGTGCTCGACATTAAAGGGCTAAAACAAGGACTGGTCGGCTCTGAGTCAGTATACTGTGTCTGAGTGGGCTATTCATGTTATACTGCGGCATGGTATCTTAGTAGGCTAGCGCTATAAATCGGCATCAGTCCGGACTAGTACAAGCAGCCACACAAACACGTGCATGCCCGTCCCTATATAAGTGCAATAATCTTAGACGCGACGTTAAACCCCATTTCACCTCACCTCTTATTTGATTGGTTAATAACAGAACAGTTAACCCAAAGAAATTACAGAAGGGAAACAATCTTTTGGGGTTATCCAAACAATTCAGTTATTTTAATGCAGATCTCACATATTCAGCAAAAATACTACGCTTAAAGATTGCTAGTTTATAAAGTATTTTTTTATCTGAGAAATTTCTTATTTCTTCAATGCTCAATGACTCAAGCTTAATGTGAACAAGGATCATATTCTACCTAAATATTATCCTGGGGGGAGTTTTACTCTAGCGTATAGAATAGGATAGGATTAAACACACTGGTATGGGTTCAAATTAACCAGGGAGAATCATCCTGACACTAGAGAATTTCATACCTGGGATAAAAAATAGGGTAGGATAATATTTACTCCTACATTAACACCTGACTAATATAATAAAAAATATCAAATAGATGGCATAGAGAAAAATGTACAAGATCGAAAGAATATTTACTGGACACAGATTTCTGATTCAAACCTTGTGGCCAATCACTAACTACATATTTCACATATCTAGTATATACGATTGGTAACACATTAATTGTTACAACAACAAAATATTAAAGGCAGCTGGACAGAAATTAAATGAATTTATTTGATTAAAATAATAGACAGAAATTAAATGAATTTATTTGATTAAAATAATGGACAGAAGTTAAATGAATTTATTTGATTAAAATAATGCATATACATTTGTGTCAACTCTTCAAACTTATATAGATATGTATATATTTATATATTTAACATAGATAATGTTCATGACAAGACCGACATCAGGAATAACAAATCATGTCTTAACTGTCAACATAAGAAGGAAATATATGGCCACCCAATTACACCCTCGGCCTCAAATATGACCAGAAAAAATTATAAGATGCTAAAATTCAAAGTAACCACGCCTCTGAATAAAACAGCAAGTGATCCCAGGTAACTCTTTGAATAAGCTATAATACATATATATATATATAATGTCACTAAAGCAAACCTCATTGTCGTGTCTCTGTCACTGTTTTTCCCCCTCCAACTTACCTAGCATCTGCCATGTTGGACATGAGGTTGTCGCTATTTTTGGACACGTGGAAACGTGACCTTCGACCTTGAACGTCGACCTTTCATTGGCTGAAGTAGGGTGGGGTCAAAGGTTGTAATATGTGGAGTGCCCGTGTGTACTTTGACCGGCTTTCATCGGTTTGTCATCGTTTTGTCCGCAATATTACGACAGAAACAAGGAAGAGGATGCGATTTGTGCAGTTTGAAGTGAATGGCGCACAGAAGGTTGGGGTGGAGCTTTCAGATGGAGGTGACATTGTCGATTTAAATGCTGCCGACAAAGAAATTCCAGACAATCTAAGAAGCTTCATTGCTGGAGGACAGGCTCAGTTGTTGAGGGCCAAGAGGTAGGGGTGAAAATGTCGTCATTTGAAATGCGAATATTTTATGGGCGTTTCATTTGATCTTTCCGCATCGATTGACATTCTACCGATTTTCAGTCATATCTAGACTTGCACAAGTTTCTAAGTCAAAGATAGTAGTCTTTTCGGGTGATGTGAAGGATGCTACCCCTAATTATACCTGTACCCATGGTAATAAAATCATGAAATGAGCATCAGGTGAATGACAAAAAATACAGAGGTGTGGGGTTATACCATGAAACATGGATGACAACAAGGGCTTAGTGATTGTTGTATAATTTGCAATTTAGCTCATTTTAAATTAAAAATTAAAATTTGACCATTTTACTAATTTAGACACAAAGACTTTTGAACTTCATGGATTGACACAAAGCCTGTTTCATTCCAGCGCTGTCGAGAGTGGACACCATGTCATCAAGCGTGATGCTGTCCGGTTGCTGGCCCCCATTACAGCCCCAGAGAAGGTCATCTGCATCGGCATGAACTACACTGACCACTGCGAGGAGCAGAACGCCCCTGTACCGGTGGAGCCAGTCATATTCAGCAAGTTTGCCAGTGCCATTGTTGGCCCCTATGATGATCTACAGTACTGTGATGAAACTCAGGTAGGCCCTTGGGTTGATCTACAGTACTGTGATGTAACACAAGTAGGCCCTTGGGTGATCTACAGTACTGTGATGAAAGTCAGGTTGGCCCTTTGGGTGATCTTCAGTTCTCTAAAGGACTTATGGTAAAATGTCCTCAACAATACATGCTAAATGTAGGTGATCGTAAGGAATGTTACTGAAAAAAGGTTACAGGTTTGGCTCTGGCACTTTTGAGTGCTGTAGAAACACCTGGTATTGTTCACCATTTATTGCTGTCTATAAGGCGAGTTATTCATACCTCTTTCGGCAGAAGACAAAGTGACAAACACATTTTTTATTGCAAATGTAAGGATTGTATATGCGCTTGGAACATGCTTCATTCCGATTCTCGCCATCCTCAGTAAATGATAGAACCACCCTTACGTCACTTGCTCCTGCCCGAAATATCATATGTATGTGTAGCGGCCATAAAATTTATGGGATTCAAACCACGGACCTTCTGATCCGAGGTCAGACGCCTTGTCCACATGACCAAAGAGGTTAACCCCATCAGCAAGCTGACAAGGTAAGGATGTCATCTGTGGGATGACTCCACGCCCTGCTACATACTCCCCCGTCAACAGCAGGCATGTCCCGGGCCGCACAGTAGGGTACTGAGGCTTATTTTGCTCAAATTTAATATGAACGTGCTCAGCCCCACGTTGGATGCCAATGTAGCGGCCATAAAATTTCCGAGTCCCGTGATGGGATTCGAACCACGGACCTTCTGATCCGAGGCTGGACGCCTTGTCCACATGACCACAGAGGTTAACCCTGTCAGCAAGTTGACAAGGTAAGGATGTCATCTGTGGGATGACTCCACGCCCTGCTACATATGCATGTTATTGAGTGATGTAGAAGCACATGGTATTGTTTACATTACAGCAGTGCCACGCCTACTGTGAGTGAACTACGTCATGTGTGCCGTCATCAATGTTTGTGGATGACGCTGTCGTCAGTAAATGGTAGAACCGCCCAAAATATACAACACCACTCACTGCCATCTTCTGTTGCAGCAACTTGACTGGGAGGTGGAGATGACAGTTGTTATTGGGAAGACTGGGAGACACATCAAGGTAGCACATATGTGAATCAGTTACTGTCAACATCAGTTCATTTTGCACAGTAATGCATGTTCATTTTGTTACAGAAATACCCGATTACCGTATTCGACGTAATAAGAGCCCCGCCCTAATAAGCGCCCACGGCGACATTTGCTAATATATTGGTTAGTGAACAATCCCAATTAGCACCCCTTCCAATTGATCAATGTACACAAGACTTATTTACTCGCGTATAATACGCACTCGTGTGTTATATGCACCCTTAATTATGGGCAATTAAATTCTGGAAAAATATATCTGTCGTACATAAACACTTCAGGCTGTCAGCATAAACCACGAAATTTATCTTTCAACTCTGTTTTTTTCACCAAAATAATATTCTAATAAGAGCCACCTATTTCTAATTTCGAGAGCGCCCTGGGCGCTTATACGTCGAATACAGTACCTACTTGGGATTTGGACTCGGGATGAAATATATATGCTTGCAGAAATATGAGTCCTTTTTTAAAGGCGACACTTTTTAAACCTCTTTACAAGAAAATGCCTGTCAGTAGGTGAAAATAATATGTATATTTTTAATGCAATTCAGATGTATGTTTTTATTTTTCTCATCCACAAGTAGGCTGGCATAAAGAAAAAGAACTTCTTTATGATTCTATACAAAGAAATTATTTGTTTATTAAACATTGATGCAAAAATGTGGGTTATTGTTTAGAATTATTTTTGGTGTGCACTATGCTATCAGCTTTTGGTGGGATAAGAAAAGAAATTTGGAATTTTATTTGTTTTTCAGTTGTTGGATCCATAAAGCAACTTTAAGTGTGGCCAAACTCTGATTAAATTCTTTGTAAAGTGTGTTTTTCGAACACAGTTCATCACTATTTCATGTGAGGGAGTACTGATTTTAAGCCGCATTTAGGAATATAAAACATATTCAATTCTTATGGGTTATCGGCTACTATTGTTATATGTAGGCTTTCAATAAGTTGATGTTTTCATATGCACATAGAATTTCAACCGTCAGTTTATAGATTGCTATCGTGATGTGTAACTGGCAGACTACACATCAGCCAATCAGTGACAAGTACCGTATTCGACGTACAAGGCGCCTCGCTCTAATAAGCGCCCATGGCGATATTTGCTTATATATTGGCTAGTGAACAATCCCAATTAGCACCCCTTCCGATTGATCAATGTACACAAGACTTATTTATTTGCATATAATACGCACTCGTGTGTTATATGCACCTTAAATATGGGCAATTAAATTCTGGAAAAATGTATCTGTCGTATATAAACAGTTCAGACTGTCAGCATAAATCACGAAATTTATCTTTCAACTCTGTTTTTTCCACCAAAGTAATGTTCTAGTAAGAGCCCCCTATTTCTAATTTTGAGAGCACCCTGGGCGCTTATTATGTCGAATACGGTATTTCTGTTTTGTGCTTACTGCAGTCAAAGTCTGTTTGAAAGCAAACAAGCATGGCTGGGCCAGTCAAACGACAACAGGGTCCTGTACAATCTGCAGATGGTAGTTTCTGTAATAGAAAACATCAGTATCAGATAACTTATTGAATGGAATATCTAACTGTGTAAATTGTAAAAAAAATGACTCCCAAATTTTGGAAATGACCCCCACAATAGTATGTGGTGAGTTGTCACGACTTCCATTTTGACAAAGCTATGTATTTCTATACGGTTGTTATATTCCCCACCAGAGGGAGGACGCCATGAGCCATGTGTTTGGCTTCACGGTGGCACATGACGTCAGTGCCCGAGACTGGCAGATGAAGAAGAATGGCGGCCAGTGGCTTCTGGGTAAAACAATGGACTGCTTCTGTCCTCTCGGCCCGGCTGTCGTCATGAAGGAAGATATCGAAGGTTGGCATACAGACTGTGATAGACAAACGCTTAGTCTCTGAAAATGTATAATTTTTATAGAAACAAATAACTCACTATAAATTGAAAAAGAGCCCTAGCGAAGTGGGAGTTTCAGATCCTGAACCTAAGGAAAATGTAAACTTGAGTCATTTAGGGATTTTGCATTACACAAAAGGGCTGGGCGGAAGGGAAAATAATATGGTTCAGGGCCCGTGAGACAGACTAAGACTGTGTGAGTCAGTCTTTGATACAATGCTGCTGATGAGGTCAACCATCCTACCTGTTTGTATAGAAACAATGTACAGATATATGTTTGCATGAGCAGATAATTCAGATTTGCAAAACAAATCTTGAAGTTAATATCTAGTGGTAAATAAACTGATAAGTATCATGCCTAATGAATGTCTCCATAGAGATGGACCGCCTCCGTGGTCTAGTGGTAGAGCGTCCGCCCAGAGAGAGGAAGGTTCGGGGTTCGATCCCCGGTCCATCATACCAAAAGACGTTAAAAGATGGTACTTGTTGTTACCCTGTCTGGCCCTCAGCATTAAGGGGCTAAAACAAGGACTGGTCGGCTCGGAGTCAGTATACTGTGTCTGAGTGGGGTATTGATGTTAAACTGCGGCATGGTATCTCAGTGGGCTAGCACTATAAATCAGCATCGGTCCGGACTAGTACAAGCAGCCACACACACGTGCATGCACGTTGCTATATAAGTGCAATAATCTTGGACCCAATTTCACCTCACCTCACCATAGTGATGAAGAAGTAGAAGCCCCATGTTTGTAAATAATTTTTGAATGTTATGTTTACATGATAAAAAGCTTTTCCATTGGACCAGAGGTCAGTCACATGACAAATACAAGGCAAGTGTTAAGGGATAAAGCAATAAATACTTGTTATCTGAAGTTAGCTTAACATCATCTTCCTGAGGCAAGGGAGTTAACTGACAGGATGGAAACTGGACATTTATAGTCAGTTAACTCCCTTGCCTCGGGAAGATGGCTTAAGGGGCTAAGGACAAGTACTGCTCCGGCATTGGTCCAGATCTCGAGGTACAGATAACTGATAAGAGGAAGAGAGAGAGTGTGGGAAGGAAAGAAATACGGAGTGTGTGTGAGTCCGAGAGGGAGAGGAGCTAGACTGAGACAGTGCTCCATGTGCCTCACTAAACTGAATGTTACTAAATACACAATGAACTGGATATACTCTTGTGTCATTATTATGTGATATGAGAGGAGAATTACCTCCCCACTTAGTCACATATTCATGACCCATGGAGATCCAGGGTAGAATAGGCTTGGCTGACTTGGTAGATGCATGTCATCGTATTCCAATTGCGAAGATCGATGCTCATGATGTCAATCACTGGATTGTCTGGTCCGGACTTGATTATTTACAGACCGCCGTCACATAGCTGGAATATTGCTGAGTGCGGCGTATAACAACAAACAAACAAACATATTCATGATCCCTAAGTTTTCTGTTCAGTGTATAAGTTTTGCATGTGACACACACGTCTGATGTTTCCAGATCCCCACAAGCTGCGGCTGTGGTGTAAGGTGAATGGGGTGACCAAGCAGGACAGCTCCACCAGCAACCTCGTGCACAAGACGGAGGAGTTGCTGGTGTTCCTGTCAAGGTGAGCACTTTTAGTTTACTCTTGACATGGCTGGAATAGTGTGAAAATAAGTGCAAATAAAGTTGAGCCTGTATGTGAGATGTTTGTGAGTTTGGTTTTACCTGCTTTGAACTGTATTCCAGTAATATCACGGCATGTTAGCTTGATGTAGGAGGAAAGCCCGAAGTGATGCAGGTCTTAGACATTTACCACTTCAGTGAAACCCAAGAGCATGGGTATGGTGCTGACAAAACTATGAACATAACCGGGGCAAATCGGGATTCAACCCTAGATCATAGGTTTCTGGCATGCCCAAGGGATGCAACTCTGCACAGCAAATTGCGGCACCTTAGATAACTGGGCTACCCGTGCACATTAATGAGATACCAGCTTTTGGCCATTTCTTCACAAGAGTCCAAATTATGCATCCTAAGATACTTTAAATATGTTCGCTAAATTTAACAATTTTACTTGACCCTTTCTATAGACTAGAGGGCGGGCAGTAGTCGAGCAGTTAAAGCTGATCACGCTAAAGACCCATGTTCGCTTCCCCACATGTGTATAATGTGTGAACTCACTCACTCACCTCTACAGACTAGTGACAACCCTTTATGCTTTAAATGTATGTGGGGCGGTCGGTTGGCCTAGTGGTTAAAGTGTTTGCTCGTCACGCCGAAGACCCGGGTTCTATTCTCGACATGGGTACAATGTGTGAAGCCCATTTCTGGGGTCCCCCGCCGTGATATTGCTGGAATATTGCTAAAAGCGGCGTAAAACCATACTCACTCACTTAAATGTATGTGATCACTCATAAAATATAATCAAATGTGTTGCAGTCTGATATTCAAACATCTTCATTTTATTGAACTTTTAAGTTTATTTTTTTAATAACTTCTCAAACGTTACCATCTATCCAAGCATACAAAAAGTAGATAGAGTGGTTATTGGGAGACAAAGTCTGTATATATCACAGGTCTTGCATGTGATGTATGCACATGTGATTGGCTGGTGTATATAGTTGTCATATAACGTTGTTTAACGTCGCACTCAGCAATATTCCAGCTAAATGACGGCTTCTGTAAATAATCGAGTCTGGACCAGACAATCCAGTGATTGATATCATGAGTATCAATCCATGCAATTGGGATCGATGACATGTATCAACCAAGTCAGCGAGCCTGACCACCCGATCCCGTTAGTCGCCTTTTACGACAAGCATAGTCGCCTTTTATGGCAAGCATGGGTTGCTGAAGACCTATTCTACCCAGGAATCTTCACGGGTCTCATATAGAGGTAGCAGAGCTAAATACCTTAACATTGTTGTAATTATGTGTGATTTATCTGTGTTATAACTATGGTTAGCTGTCAATCTTTACTTCAATCCATACACTAGTTCATGAGTTATCTCCCTTTAACATGTTTGACTATTTCCGTCACAAGAAATGCAGAACTTTGTGCTTTAAACTGTGAAATATATCTGCAGTGAATTGTCTAGTGTAAAAATTCACTCACTCCAATCCTTACATAAGTTCATGAGTTATCTCCCTTTAGCATGTGTAATAACTATTTCCCTCACAAGAGATGTAGTTTAAAATTGAAATATATACTACTCCAAAGAAGTTAAAGAACACCCGACTCTTTCATATTACTGTACTTAATCTGTCTGGATGTTCTTTAACTTCTTTTGAGTAGTATATATGTTGTGAGTTGTCTAGTGTGAAAAGTTCACTCACTTCAGTCCTTACATAAGTTTTTGAGTTACCTCCCTTATATATGTTGTGAGTTGTCTAGTGTGAAAAGTTCACTCACTTCAGTCCTTACATAAGTTTTTGAGTTACCTCCCTTAACATGTTTCCACCACCAGGTTCATCACCCTGAAACCCGGTGACATCATCCTCACAGGAACTCCCCCTGGTGTCGGAGTGTTCAGGAAACCCCCGGAGTTCCTTAAGGTAGCGTATGTCATACCAGAAATGTTTAGATTGGTGTAATAATTACATTATATTTAATTAAAAATTAACCTCATCACTCAGTGCCATTTTCAAACCTTTCCAGAAGGTCCAGATGTGTATCTGTGATCTGATGTGTGTAGAAAAGTAGAAGTTATAATTTAAAACAGGCATTTCACAGCTGACTAACTGGAGGAGGCCATCTAAAAGTTCAGTTTCTACCCTTGCCAAACTAGGCTGGAATTACATGGATCAAATATCAAAATATGTCTTTGCATGGATCAAACGTAGCACCACCAGTGGCTATTACGAGTTATGTCCCTCCTATTGACCAATCAGATTCCACCTCTGATATCACCTGCATTTGTTTCAAGCAAAAAGGCAGCTCCCAGTCAATATGATCTGATCAAGTCAATCAAAGAAAAGTTTTGATTTCCCTGTCTCAGACACCCAGTGCATGTGGATTGTAGCACGACACTTTTTCACATTGATTAAAAAAGCGAAACAATTTGTAAAATATCTGTCGGCGAAAATATTTTTCCCGAATAGGATGTTGATTTTTGGTATGCGATTTTGATTGGACTATACATAGACTCGTTAGTCCCGCCAAAATATAACTGTGAAATTCTAGTTCGGCAAGGGTGGAAAGATGGCAGAAGCATACTTATGAGCTGTCGAAATCCTGTAGTACATGTATACCATTCCCTCCCTAAAGTAACCAGTACATCTGAACCTATGAACAGCCACTTGGAGTTCCCCCTTCATATGTGTATCCAAAGACAAGTTCACACACCTACCCTCCCGCCCCCACCCGTCCTTTTTGAAAGTTAATTATCATGATATCACAAAAAAACATAAGTAAATCATCTAGTGAGATGTTCTTAACAATAATTACAACTAGGTGACAATTTTTTGGCTAAAAAGTGCAATTGTTTCCTGAATTACGTGCCGACTTTTTGGTATTTGAAGTGCATCCTTCCACTTTCAAAAAGTTGTACGCCCTCCCTTTTCCTAAAAGTGTGTCTGTGCTTGCCCTTGGTGTTTGTAGCATCAGGAATGACTGCAAGTAAATATTTTGAAATAAGTAAAATAAAATAGATAAAATTTGTATTAATCATAATGAGCTTAAGCTTGCCTAATACCATCCTGCAATTTACGGTACAGTTTTTACTTTCATAATGTTTGTGTATTAACCTTGATATAACTTGTCTATTTCAGCGAGGAGACGTTGTTGAATGTGGAATTGAAGATATTGGCAAAACCATCAACAAAGTTGTGTGATACTGAACATTATTCACCACTTGAAGGAACCGCAATATGTGTGTTGGTGGCACATCTTCCTGAGGCAAGGGAATTAACTGATTATAAAAGTCAAGTTTCCATCCTTGCCGAACAAGGCTAGAATTTCTGGGCTCAATTGTAGCGCCACCAGTGGCTATTACGAGTTATGTACCTTCCATGCCTCTGCTATTGGTGAATCAGATTCCACCTCTCATATCATTTCAAACAAAATGGCGGCGCCCAGTCAAGATGATGTGATCGATAATCAAGATCAATATTGTGATAAAATGGGTCTTAAATTGTGAAGTGCCTCAAATCATGTGAACACCTTGATTTAAAACATGTAAACATTTGGAAACTGTCTGTTGACGCTGAGTTGGCGGTGCATATGCTTTGCAAATCCTGCAATCGACCGAAATCTGCATGACAGTTTTCTAATCGGATGTTGATTTCTTTCCCAATTTTGATTGGACTATGCATAGACTCGTTAGTCCAGCCAAAAGAAACTCCATAATACCAGCCTAGTTTGGCAAGGATGGAAACTCTACTTCTAAAGTTGCTTGCCCCAGGAAGATGTTGGTGGAAGTACAGGGTTGTTGTGTGTATTGAAATAACCAGTCTATGTGTACAATCAGATTCACTCAAGTTATTCAGATTCGCACAGAGCCTCAGATAAGCTATATATTTACGCAAAATACACAAAATATGTCTCCATGACACAATTAATTACGTGTTGCTTGCGTACAAAAATGAATGACAAATTTCAAACTCCCAATAGTATAACAACATTCTGAGTAATTACTGTATGCATAGTTTCCAACTTATGTCCCTGTACTTCTTTCCTGGGCCCACTTGTACAAAGCAATCTTAGCGCTATGACTATTGTAAGCTGATGTTAAAGTATGGGAGTTACGACCATCTTAGCCCTAAGATCGTTTTGTGCAAGTGGGCCCAGATATTTTTTTTACTGATCTAATTCAGGAATCGCACCTGAACTCGCATATTGTTAATTAGATATGTATATCGCTGTTAGAAATTTAAAATTAGAAGTCTCCTGAAACAGAATTTTGATCAGAATTATTGAAAAAAAGTCTACTCATTAGCGTAAAAATACCCAAATAGACCGGACCAAGGGAGTAAAAAAGTATTGAATACCCATTGGCTCAAAACAGCTTGTACTAAACATGAAGGGAGCAGAAGGAGAGAAAAGGAAGAGAGAGAGAAAGAAAAGTAATCAGTGAGAAAAAATTAGCTTTGTATTACATTTATATAACTCTGTACACAATTGAAATATTTTACGTTATTTTGTTCTGATAAATTCCCAATTCCATTGAATATCAAATTGAGATTGCAGTTGGTGTATCTTAGGCTATACTGCTTATATTTCTAAGTAAATGCTCTTTCTTCATGAAACAAGTCGCTTTCAAAGAAAAAATGATATGCATTTTCACATTTACCTCATAAGCATTCTGCTGTCTCTTTAATTTCTTGTCTTCATAAATCATAGTTTCATAAATCAAAACATTATCAGGAGGCTTGCATGAGGTTCAGTGATGGTATAGGTCATGACTATACAGATTACATGTTAACTGCTATTCACAATGATGATTATAGCATTAAAACATTGCTAGTCCACTACTGGTGATGGTGAAGTTTTTGTTGGTTGCTTGGTTGGTTTGTTGTTTAACGCCGCACTCAGCAATATTCCAGCTATATGACTGCGGTCTGTAAATAATCCAGTCTGGACCAGACAATCCAGTGATTAATATCGTGAACATCAATCCACGCTATTGGGATCGATGACATGTATCAACCAAGTCAGCGAGCCTGACCACCCGATCCCGTTAGTCACCTTTTACGGCAAGCATAGTCGCCTTTTACGGCAAGCATGGTCGCCTTTTACGGCAAGCATGGTCGCCTTTTACGGCAAGCATGGTCGCCTTTTACGGCAAGCATGGTCGCCTTGATGTTTTTGTATTTGTGTTACTTATTCTTTTCTCTTCTAACATAAACAACTTCTGAACCAGCATTTCATGGTGAGTCTTACTCAGCACATTCTGGTCTTTTTAGCTGTTAAAAAAAAAATTATATTCATTATTATTTAATTGAGTCGAGGCTCAGCTCAATCTTTTATTCTGTAGCACTACATTGAGGTGGCTCAAGTCTGTTGCCAGTATGGGATCCTGGAAATATGTATTGAAAAATAACAAAATGTGCATGTGATTATAAATGACAGCATTAAAATGTTGCTTGTTCTGATGTAAGTCTACTACTGGTGATGGTGATGTTTTTGTATATAAACAGTATACAGATTGTTTGTAGTTTGTCATAACTGGTATTTCAATGATGAGACTAGAACCTGATTTGTTGTCTGTGCACCGAGACAGTCAGGGTCCGTCCAGACTTGATTGTTCCTGCAGACTCTTGAGGCAAAAGAAATCAGTACCGGTTCATGAGATTTCAAGCCCCATGAGGAAATAGTATATGCTTTCATTAACAAGCAAGTTAGCATCAGTGACCCAGAATGAAAGTACATGTACATGAAAACTGTTAAGATATCTAATTTGACAGTGAACTTCTTATCCCTCAAGGGTGAAAATATGCAGACCATTTATTGCTAATAGATTATGACAACTTACTCACTCACACAGTCCTGGTGACCACTGACACTACAGTGATGACATCTTCTTGAGGCAAGGGCGTTAACTGGCTATAAAAGAAGCTGGACTTTATGTATTGGAGAAAACACGCTCGCAAGGTTTTGGTAGACAGAGCATGCTCTGGGTAGAGGGAAAAACCAAGGGGGCGAAGCCCCCGCGGTTTTTCCCGACCCCCAGGGCATGCTCTGTCTACCAAAACCGAGGGAAAGTGTTTTTCCATGCTTATAAACCGAAAAAAGAAACTTAAAACAACATTTATCAACATTTTTATGTTTCGAACATACTTTCCATGAACCTTAGGAAACGCGCGTCAAATATCTGTTGCTGGCGTACGGATCTTGAAAAGGACATTCTAAATACCAGTGAGGCTTATCAACACCTCTGTAGCCTCGTGGTACACTCACTGGGCTACAGATATGAAGGTTGCGAGTTCGATCCTCGGGAATATAAAGAAAACATTTGTCATTTGATTTTACATTTCATTACATGTTACAATCTGAACGGAAGTTGTATTATTAAAATACCCAGGACATTATATAATATCCCAGGGACATTACAACATCCCTGTTTATGAGATTTAACCCGACTGGAAAGTAAAACCTCACAATAGGTTTTAATGCCTATAGAAAGAAGTCTCTTACTTAATGGCGATCCCAATGAATAGGTTTATAAAATCAATTAACACACTTGCCTTGGAAGAAGCAGTGATGATTAAGAATCTTAAGTGATAAAAATGATAATAATACTAAGTACTTAGTACTGGTATCTGCTCAAAGCAATACATAGTAGTATACACACAGTAGAGAAGCTAGCAGTGATATTGTTTTGGAACAGAAAGGTCTTTAACTTGGATTTGAAGGAGTTCAATGTTGGTAAGAGGTGAATGTCACCAGGCACCGAGTTAAAATACCCCGGAGCAATGTAGCTGAAAGAATGGCAGCTGTAGGAGTTTAGGTGACTTTTTGGTGTTCTCGGGAGATCCTGATTGGGTGATATCAATGACCTTGCACCGGTAAGCCAGGATAGTACTAGTGGTGGCTGAAATGTTAAGAGCCAAACTATAATGGAATTGTTAATTCAGAGGTTCACACGCTTCTGCCAACGATGCTGGAGTGCCTGGATCCCACTGATGTAGAAAGCATCCTTCAGGTGGGGTAAAAAGTCTTTCCGGCAGAAATGACGTCATGATCATTTGTATAATGCTTGCCAGGCAGGTTTTTTTCTCTATGTTTGAAAAGAGGTGGAAATCTGATGGTGCCAAATCGGATGAATATGGAGGATGTTCAGTGAGTTCAAACTTCAAAGCCAGAGTCACACATTGCACAGCTTTAGTGGGTTTTCCACCAAGTTAACCTTCATATTCTCACACAGTTGCATATCAGCATACTATTAGCTATTACTGGTCTGACCTTTCAGGGGGTAGTCCACTGTAGGATTCTGACTTGCCTTCTTCAAAAGAGGGGGCACGGGTGGCCAAGACGTTTAAGGCGCCGTGATTCGCTGTGCAGAGTTGCGTCCCTTGGGCACGCCAGAAACCTATGATTGTGGGTTCGAATCCTGGTTCGCCCCGATTATGTTTCTAGGTTTGTCAGCATCATACCCGTGCTCGTGGGTTTCACCGAAGTGGTAAACGTCTGAAACCTGCATCACTTCGGGCTTTCCTCCCACATTAAGCTGACACGCTGCGATATGACTGGAATACTGTTAAAAGCGGCGTTAAACCAAACTCACTCACTCACTCACTCACTACCAATCAACATTGTTTGTTTCTAAAAGCAGAACAGAAAGATTATCAAAATAATATTAAAGCGACAAAACCCTTTTTATATCCAATAGAAATCTCTGCATAAAGCAGAGTCGATTGTACAATTCCGACTATATCATAGGCATGTGTTTATGAATCACTATCAAATAGTGATGATACCAGGTGTTCGCGAAAAGGTGAGCATATCCTGCCCCATCGGTGGCACCCGTCACCAACACATGCAAAGTCAAGTCAAGTGTTTACCTGAAAAAACATTGGAACATAGGGTACAATTCAAAATAGGGAATTGCATCGGATGTCATTTTTGTAACATGCGTCAAATTTGGAAATGTCCTTCACATGGCTACGATAAAACTTTTTGAAAGCTTTACTGGCCTTGAATGTTGTAAGCTTGATCAAACAGCTTCTGAGCAAGAGTCGTGTGACGCTCTTTGAAACTGTTTTTACATTTGCTTGGTTTTAAGGTAAGTCCTGCTTCTTTGATCTTTTGGAATACTGTCTTGGGGTGATTGAAATGTTCTGAAAACGTTTTAGAAATTATTATGATGTCATCTACACATATTAATTATTGTAGTGCAAGCCACTTCAACAGGTTTCTGTAAAACTTCATTTATCCAAAATACCTAATTCAATACGTTTCCAAAGTGCACAGAAATTCTATCTCCTTTTTCTGTTTAGTTTATACAGCAAACATTCAGAGTATCCCCTCTAATCATAAGCCCCCTTCAGGCAGGACCCTTAATCCCCACTGCTGTCTTTATATAAATGTCAATTAACACCTCCTTACATACGTCGCTGGATCTTTTATGGTATGGTCTTTTGTAACATAATTTTTTTCTATACTGCTATTTCCATTGTTCTGATTAAAAATCATCTACAACAGTACAGTTAATTCGATCTTTTTTATTTATTATCTATTTATTTTTTGCCATATATCAATATCTATCATATTTATCTATCTATCTATCTATCTATCCATCTCTCTCTCTCTCTCTCTCTCTCTCTCTCTCTCTCTCTCTCTCTCTCTCTCTCTCTCTCTCTCTCTATATATATATATATAATAATATAACAATGTGTAGAATGATAAATAGGTTGCCTATTCATAAGCTTGAACCAGAACCCAGACTATTTATCTACTTTTAATTTTTTTTTTAATAAAAGACTTGAGCAAGTCTTACAAAGTTAAAGGGACGTAACTCCTTCGTCCATAAAATGTAGGAATCTTTATAATTTTCCTCATAATGTCAGAGTGTGTATTTAGTGGCATCAACGTAACAGATAGGCAATATTAATAAAAACACAATTTGTGCATATTCCTATTTTTCCCAGCATGCATTCGAATGACCTTCGAGGTCACGAAGATGGCCGACAACATGAAGATTTGTGGAAAGTGTGTCGGTCAGCTGTGAATGACATTGAATTATTTTACATGATATGCTGTTTCTAGAGGTGCACAATGTCGTATCGGGTGATAACAAGTACCCTACCAAGGGCAGCAAACTATGGTAAGCGATGATGAAAAATTTAGGTTCGTGTTTTATCAACCGGTAGACAGTTGCTCCAAATCAAAACAACGCTTGCAATGGCAGCAGATAGCCTCAATGTGATTATAATCGCGGTTATATTAATGACATTTCTTGCACGTTTTGATTTCTTTGCAGGCCTAAAGACCTGTCATCGACCGCCTTGTGTATGTCGGTGCCATACTCGCTCACACATGATTTCGAACTCAAAGAGGTTAGTGTCAGTCACTCGTCATGACGTAACTTACGGTTAGGCATAGGCCTATATGCCTACGGTAGCCGAATGAGGAAACGTCATCTTTTTAACAAGTGTCTTACCTACTTGACATGTCCTGTTTTCGTCTTTATGTGTGTTTCAGACAACGTTCAGGAAAGAAATATAACAGTGGTAAAAGCTAATGATGCAGATGAGAACATGATGACATAAGGCGTACTAATGTCACAAGATAATAATAATAATGATAATAATGATAAGACAGTGTGCTTTATTTCTCTTTATACTTCCTCGTGTTTGTCATGTTCATGTAAATAGAAATAATTTGGTACACATGCTTTTTAGCAACACATATCCGCCAAGCTTCACTTCTAATAAACATGGGATAAAGCCACGCGTGACAGCAACACCATTTGAAAAATAGAGGGATAAAGCTCAAAATAAGTAGACAAAATTACCCTGCTTGCTTTTCTGTGGTTAAATATGGTTAAACCTTGCAATTGAATATCCAAACGACCCATAAACATTGAAAATGGGACATAAAATGGGAAATAGCAAAACTGTTAAATGATACTGATATTTGCTATGTTATCAGCAAATGCTGTATGAAAATGATTGATTTCTTGGTTAGAAATCCAAACAAGTTCCAAATTAAAACTGAAATAAGTTTAGTGGATCCCTTGTTTCAGATACTATAGCATTCATGCAATGGATTACTTAAAAACAATACTATGGCTGTGTAATAGGGAATACAAAAAAATATAATACTGAAATTATAGTTTTAATATGTTGTTCATAATTGAGCTTGGTTAAAATACCTGTCACTTATCTTTTTTGCCATTGCATTACTCTATGACAAGTATCAGCATTGTATGTTGTGTGCTATTTTCAGGAGTTATCTGATGACTGTGGCTAAAGTACAGACTGAAGCAAACAGCAAAAGATTACTATCACAGATTCACCCAGCTGCCTATGTTCTTTCAACAAAATACAAGCTAGATTCCCATCAAGACTCTAGCTACTACAAATCAAGATATCTCATAGGCTCTTCCCTGGATCCTAGTAGCCTGTCTGCGTTCCATAATAATGTGATTTATAGACGATTACATACCACTAAATTATTTTACAAAGAAGAGTCGAAAGTAGAAAAGACTGTGAAAGCATTGAAAGAGGAGGCCACTGATGTTGCTAAGAAACCAGTAGAAGAGACTGTGGTGGTGGTGAAGAAGTCTTTGTGGCAAAGATTTGTAGCAGAGTGTAGACATTACTACCATGGGTTTAGGTTGTTGTTCATAGATATAAAGATTGCTGCCAGGATGGTGTGGACCATTCTCAATGGGAAAATCTTATCGCGGAGAGAACACAGACAGGTACAGTCGTACTCAGGAATGATATGTTTGCATGTTTTTCAATGCTGTTGTGGATATTAGTCAGTAAAAGGTCCGGGTCCGATTCACGACATGGGTACAATGGGTTAAGCTCATGACCTTGCCGAGATATTGGTAGAAGAATGCTAAAAGTGATGTAAGACAATCCTCGCTCACGCATATGGATTTTAAATGTTAGGCCCTATCTGACCAATTTGTCAACAGTTCCCCCCTAAAACAATCTAGACATTCAGAAAACTGTTAGGAAGATGATTTTGCCCCATTTGAGAAAAATATTTTGATTAAGAAATATAAATACTGAATATGAATAAGTTTTTGAACTCATCCTATTTCACACTATGCATTTCTTCCTTCTTTCGATCCTATGGGGAAAGGCAATTTGTTTTTAGCAGCTGGAAACTTTGTTCAAGCACATTTCCACATAGGATTGAAAGAAGAAGTAAGAAATGCATTGTTTGAGATAGGAAAAGTATACAAATAACATGAATAAACAATTTAATGTAACATTTACAATTATGTCTTGTAGCTTGTCCGCACAACAGCTGACCTGTTTCGACTGGTGCCGTTCTTGGTGTTCCTGTTGGTTCCGTTCATGGATTTTCTGCTGCCAGTTGCCATCAAGCTTTTCCCAGGCATGCTGCCCAGTACATTCAAGGACGAGAACAAAGAGGTGAAGCATACAGAAGGGTGTCTTTCTGACTATCACTACCTATGTTATTGGTGCCAAACTTTATCTTATACACAAACATGTTATTTTTAACAGGAATTTAATTACAAATACCATGTTACAAATGTAGTATTTCCTTTAAATCATCTTAGTATTATTTGATTGTCAAACGGTCATTATCATTTTGTTGCATGGTCAGTATGAGAGTGTAAGTTAAATCATTGTCTTGTAATGCGTCTCCCATGTGCTTTTGTACCTGAAGGGATTCCTTAATAGATCCCTAGTACCACTCACTTGTTGCAAGAAGGGAATTTGATTGACCTTAAAGTACCTTATGAATCTTTGTTGTTGAATAAAACATCAGCGTTATTCATATAAGTATATTTTTCAAATGAAGTCAACTTGTCTGTTACCATCAGGGTTTCCCCTTGTTTACCAATAATATGGGTAGTGATAGTCAGAAAGACACCCTTCTGTATGCTTCACCTCTTTGTTCTCTTCCTTGAATGTCCTGGGCAGCATGCTTGGGAAAAGCTTGATGGCCACTGGAAGCAGAAACTCCATGAACGGAACAAAGAACGGCTCCAGTCGAAACAGGTCAGCAGTTGTGCGGACAAGCTACAATACATAATTGTAAATGTTAGACTAAATTGTTTATTTGTATTCTTTTCCTATCTCAAACTATGCATTTCTTACTTCTTCTTTCGATCCAATGTGGAAACGTGCTTGAACAAAGTTTCCAGCTGCTGAAAACAAATCACCCGAACACATCCCAGCAACAGCACCCAAACAAACTGGATAAACGAATCCTGTGCATAGCGATCTACACAACCTGATCATGTGATGACCCCTGCCACATCATTCTCTTTCCCAGAGCTAACAGGCAAGAGGAGCAGTGATGTAGTGATGGTCCGGAAGGCCTATACCGTGTGAGATAGGATTATGTACAATTTAATGTAAAATGTACAACTTTTTAAACTTATCCTATCTCACACTATGCATTTATCCCATGGTGGGGCGAAGATACCCAAGGCTGTATAGACTAAAACTGTAAGACATACACGAGGAAGCTGGTGCTGAACAGTGATAAAAAAAATAAAATCTATAAGACTGCCTAGAGTCATAAAGACAAGAACTCGTGAGCAAGAAAACACACCATAACAGGCGATATGATCCCTATATATTAGATGGATGTAACAGCATGAAATCAAGTATAATATGCATTGCATGTTTTCACGTATGACATTGTAGCAATAGTTTATTTGCTATTTTCAGGATATGTAGTATGAAAGAACAGGAACGGGAACACTATGCTCAGGATTATAGTGAGGGTGGTGACCATTGTGATGCTGGGGTGTGTTCGGGTGATTTGTTTTTAGCTGCTGGAAACTCTTTTCAAGCATGTTTCCACATAGGATTGAAAGAAGAAGTAAGATATGCATAGTTTGAGAAAGGAAAAGTATAGAAATATACAATTTAATGTAAAATTTACATTAATGTCTTCTAGCTTGTCCGCACCACAGCTGACCTGTTCCGACTGGTGCCGTTCTTGGTGTTCCTGTTGGTTCCGTTCATGGAGTTTCTGCTGCCAGTGGCCATCAAGCTTTTCCCAAGCATGCTGCCCAGTACATTCAAGGAAGAGAACAAAGAGGTGAAGCATACAGAAGGGTGTCTTTCTGACTATCACTACCCATATTATTGGTGCCAAACTTTTTATGTAATACACAAATATGTTATTTTTAACAAACCTTTTGGCAGGAAGTTAGTTACAAATACTATGTTACAAATGTAGTATTTCCTTTAAATCATCTTGGTATTATTTGATTGTCAAACGGTCATTATCATTTTGTTGCATGGTCAGTATGAGGATGTAAAGTAAATCATTGTCTTGTAATGCGTCTCCTATGTGCTTTCCTACCTGAAGGGATTCCTTAATAGATCCCTAGTACCACTCACTTGTTGCAAAAAGGGAATTTGATTGACCTTAAAGTACCTTATGAATCTTTGTTGTTGAATAAAACATCAGCGTTATTCATATAAGAATATTTTTTAAATGAAGTCAACTTGTCTGTTACCATCAGGGTTTCCCCTTGTTTATTTTTAGTGCAAGGAAATAACATTTCGCTTTGCTTCAAGGTTAAATATATATTTGTAGCAACTTAGTCTCTAATTATTAAAACAAAAAGGAGAAAATTGTGACTGAACTTTGTGTGAATGACGTGTAGATCTAACTAAGTTACTTCCAAGATGATGTCATTGCATTGAACATGATGATGAAGGAATTAAAACCAGGTAATTTTCATATGTTTTCTTTATTTGTTGAAAGTTGGGACTGACAAAAATTAGGTGGGACTGGTAGTTTTTAGAGTTGCCAGTCCACCAGGACTGACAGTTTCAAAAGCCAGTGGGAATACTGGAAATAATGGTTCAGGCTTCCTGTTTTTATGTAAATGCTCTTTGGTGGGAAGGGAACCAAACGTGTTCTTAAACTGAAATTTGGGAAAGAGATTTTTATTACAGCAACTAGAAAGTCAGTGAATTCTGCCCATAGCGCCAAAGAACACTTCATGGAACGAGGCCCTGATCTCTTGGCTATGTAGGCAGAAGGTTTACTGTCAGGTAGGTTCCATCAGCAGCTTGTAGATAAGCTTGTCCATGTGTTGCAGCAAGAGAAGCTGAAGAAACAGCTGAAGGTGAAGCTGGAGATGGCAAAGTTCCTCCAGGACACCATCAACGAGAGCGCTCTCCAGGGCAAGAAGTCCTCTGGAGAGAAGGTCCAGAAGTTCTCAGACTTCATGAACAAGGTAAGTTGAGCTTGCACTTGGATCATCATTGGATCTGAATTGTTTTATGGAGTCAGTATAATTAATTTACCTTATCCTGACTCATACTACTTGCTTATCTCTCTCTATTTCCGAAGTGGAAACTTCCTGAACTGTGTTCCTGGAGAACAGAAAAACAGCTCACCCGAATGCATCCCTGGCCTGTTCGTGTGCACAGAAAACACTTGACCAAGCCGGTGTACTCGTCACTCTTGGTCACATGTTTTCGGTGTACATGTGCAGGGCAGGGGTGCGTTCGGGTGAGCTGTTTTTCTGTTAACAGGAACACAGTTCAGGAAGTTTCCACTATCTTTGGGTTGATTGGTTGGTTGGTTTGTTGTTTTACGCCGCACTCAGCAATATTCCAGCTATATGACGGCGGTCTGTAAATAATCGAGTCTGGACCAGACAATCCAGTGATTGATATCATGAGCATCGATCCACGCAATTGGGATCGCTGACATGCTTCAACCAAGTCAGCGAGCCTGACCACCAGATCCCATTAGGCACCTTTTACGACAAGCATAGTCGCCTTTTGCGGCAAGAATGGGTTGCTGAAGACCTATTCTACCCGGATCTTCACAGGTCACTATCTTTGGGAACTAGAGAGAGATAAGCATTTAGTATGAGTCATATAAAGTATAAATGATATTTTTACTCTAAAAAATACATTTTCAGACTGTTTGAGTCATCAGATGTTAAGAAGTTGGGTTAATACTCTGGTATTATATCATTTGATGAAATGTTTTTTTTTACAATATTCTCTTAAGTATGGTTTTGACGCTTTGTAAACCAAGATGTTGGGTAATTGTGGCGGGACTTTTGGCAGGAATGTCTGCATCTGATATTTTTATTTACCAGATTCGAAGTGAAGGTATCCGACCTAGCACAGATGACATCATCAAGTTCTCGAAGCTGTTTGAGGACGAGATGACGCTGGACAACCTGTCCCACCAGCAGTTGCAGGCGCTGTGTCGTGTCCTCAGTATCACCCCCATCGGCACCGACGCCCTGCTCCGCTTCCAGCTCAAGCTGAAACTCAGGCAACTCAAGGCTGATGACAAGGTACAGTCTAGACTGGAAGCAGTCCCTGTCTCCTATATGACTGTGAAATAAAATAAAGAAACATCTGAGCTTTATTTCTGAATGCATGAAAGTCTGTATGAGTTGGTATTGCAAATTATATTAAATTTCAAATTAAGAAATTTTGTAACATTTGTCCCCCCAGGCATATAATGCGGGGGGATATAGTCATCATCTGGTCTGTTTGTCTGTCCGTATTCGCATAAATTGTAAATTGTGAAAGATTTCTCATCCAAACTTGGTACATGTATTTACCAATGCTGCCTTTTGCTATTGTGTGGCCTGGGGGGCTTTGTCATCTTCTGTGTTTGTTTGTAGTTTTAGGTTATTTAACACATCACTTACCAGTTGCTTACATGATATTATAATAAAATAGAGACTGCTCCAGTCTAGGTAGTGTCAAGTTACTTTTTTAGACAGCACTTGCAATTTAATACTAAACTAGACACATGGGCTGGTAGAGAATCTGAACTCAGCTTTACAATATTTTGGCTTTGATCCTACATCATGCTGTCATGCAATCACATAACTGAATACTGGAGTTAGGTTTAAAGTGACGTTCATTCGTGTTGTAAGAGCCCACTAAAGTGAGGATCTGGTGGCCACATTGTGTGGTTGTTTGTGAGTTATTGTAATTGACTGAATATCTGTTCATGCTATCAATCACTAGTTTGTCTGCCCCAGATTCAACCATTGCCATGATAGCTGGTATATTGCTTACTCTGACATAAAACAAATCGCCGGTGGGACATTAAATTTGAACTCACTGCTTCCTCATTGAAAGTGGAACAAATCAGGCCAGAAATTATTGTCATGATGGAGGATCTACCCAGAACAGCTAATGTCCTTTCACATTCCACTCACCCTTTAGACCGCCTCCGTGGTCTAGTGGTAGAGCGTCTGCCCGGAGAGCGGGAGGTCCGGGTTTCGATCCCCGGCCGCGTCATACCAAAAGACGTTAAAAGATGGTATTTGTTGTTACCCTGTCTGGTGCTCGGCATTAAGGGGCTAAAACAAGGACTGGTCGGCTCGGAGTCAGTATTCTGTGTCTGAGTGGGGTATTCATGTTAAACTGCGGCATGGTATCTCAGTGAGCTAGCACTATAAATCAGCATCAGTCCGGACTAGTACAAGCAGCCACACAAACACACACACGTACATGCACGTCGCCTTATAAGTGCAATAATCTTGGACGTGACGTTAAACCCCATTTCACCTCACCTCACCACTCACCCTTTAACATTTCTTCTGGCCTTCACTGGTGTTAGTTTCTGTCTTGTATAATTCATCGTTTGATGCAACATGAGTGTTGCAATTTTAACCTACTGTTTGACTTCTACAGCATGTACTTTCTGTTTAGTCATCACTGTGTTCTACTCCTTTATTCCTACCAGATGATCATCAAAGATGGTATTGAGAGTCTATCAGTGACCGAACTGCAGGTGGCCTGCCGAGCAAGGGGAATGCGAGCCTTGGGTGTGTCTGAAAAAAGACTTGGTTTGCAGCTGCAGCAATGGCTTGACCTTCACCTTAATGAAAAGATCCCAACATCCCTGTTGCTGCTATCACGTGCCCTGTATCTCCCGGAGACCCTGTCCACGACTCAGCAACTGGAGGCTACCATCTCAACTCTCTCCGACACACCGGTCAGTTCAGCATTGCTGGCATGTCATTTTTCCCTGGATCAGATTGTGGATAACTTACGGTTAAAATATGTAGACCAGTTGGATGTGAATATGTTTATAGGATTTGGGTGCTAGTAATTCTGTTAAGATCAATCTCATTAAAATCAGATCATAGTTCTCGCCAACGCTAAACAAAGATCTGAGGACATTCCATTACGGGTCACGTCAGACCGACCTTGCACAAACTTTGACCGACCAATGTAATGACCAGTCAGAAGGCAGCTTTCTCGTGCTTTACGGCACTAATTTCAAATTGGCGACTACGCTTTGAAACATATTTTGACAAATTCTCGATTACAAATTTGAAACCTGAACAAAAGAGCATTCTGGAATGGCTAATAGATGGTCTAGATTGTATGGATTCAGTTGTTTAACTCGTAACTATCGTTCGGAATATCCTGTGTTAATGTTTTCGAGGTTGTGTGATTAGAAATCACATTCCGACTGTCACTTTCATGATCTGGTAAGTGATGCTCTGATTGGTCGGATGAAAGGTCGTTCTGACATGACCCCGAATGGGATGGCTTCAGATCTTTGTTTAGCGGTAGCGAGAACTATGGTCGGATTTTAATGAGATTGTGTGAAGATGTACATGTTTCCATGTAAATGGAACAAAACAAGATGCTGGAACAGCATAATGTTAACTCATTCAATACATATGCACGGATGCACACTCCAGGAAAGTGATGACTTGGTGTTACACCACTGCCATAGAAGAACTCCAAAATGTGAACTTGGAATTATGGAAACATTTCGAATGTACATGTATTTGGCAAGTGTATAACATTAAACACAGGATAAAGATCACCAGATGTACCGAGCATTAAAACATAATATTGTGATACGTATCATGGAAAGAATGAACCTCAATTTACCAATATTCTGGTAATACCGCCGACCTTACTTTGTAATGTATAGGAAACAACAAGATGTAAATGATCCAGCAGTGATGACTTGATTCCCTGTGCTGTCCAGATCATGGTGTATGTATGTTGATGTACTGTGTGCTGTCCAGATCATGGTGTATGTGTGTTAATGTACTGTGTGCTGTCCAGATCATGGTGTATGTATGTGGATGTACTGTGTGCTGACCAGATCATGGTGTATGTGTGTTAATGTACTGTGTGCTGTCCAGATCATGGTGTATGTGTGTTAATGTACTGTGTGTTGCAGGCTGCGGAGGAGGCCAAGCTGAAGGTGGCTGAGTTGAGCGGAGACAAGGTCGACAACAAGACGAAGCTGGACCTCATCAAGCACGAGGAGGAGGCCATCCAGAAGGAGAAGCAGGCGCAGATGGAGGAAGAGGAGTTGGACAAGGCCAAGGTGATGATCTTTGGTCTGTTGTTAAGAGCAGCTTGGCCACTGAAAATTGGGGGAGTGGGGGGTTCGATTATTGTTTCTGACGTTAAAATGAATGATTTTACTCAAAACACATTATTTTTCAAAATATCTGGCATGTCCAGTGACCGTTTTGATGTTGCTAAAGTTTTGTGAACAGATATTTTTTTTTACAAATAAACCACCTCACAAATTTCAAGGTGAGGTTAAGGGTGATATCATTGTGGGTCTGTAACAAGGTTGTGTGTTTCAGCAATTGGAGCGTGAGGCTGCTGAAGCACTGGCGGCACAGACTGCTATGGACACGAAGGATATGCTCCATGATGAAGCTGCCATTCTCGATGTCAAGCCTGGAGAAGGTGAGGAAGCAGCTTGCGATGATCTCTAACATTCAGTTACAGTTGATTTGAAATTATACATCATTAAGGCCCCATTCCACAATGTTTTTGTTGTGCTAAGTAGATCGTAACTCCCATACCCTAGCATTTTAGATGAGAATTATTTTTTACAACATAACGTAAAAGATTCCAGGTAAAGTTTAACTTCTCCCAAATGCCATGTATTTTAAGAATAGTTTCACCTTTCGTCTTTGGCAATTATGTCAGGATGTGAAAATTGACACATTTATCACAGGGGGTGTATATGGTTTTATGAGTCCCACATTAGGTTTTATACATTGTACCTCCAGCCGAAGGCGAGTTGTATAAAATCTAATCATGCTAATGTGGGACACATAAAACCACATATACTCCGAGTGATACTGTTACAACGAATTTATCTTACTGTTATGTTTCAGTCTCCCACTTTAAAAGAATTAAAACAAAGTGATAATTGATAGAAAAAAGTGTTTGATTGAGCTGAGGTTAATTTGTGCTGTGTCACTTAACAATGAGATTTAATTGCCCGCTCCGAAATCCACATACAGCCTGTTTTCTTCGACACAGGATGTAAGAGATTTCTTCTCCTCTTCAGAAATTTCCCTTCCAGACAGGATACATAGTTTTATTTATCAAGATCACGTGAATCAGTCAGATCTCAACATGGCTGTAACAACCAATGTAACATATCCCGAATACTGATATATAACTGCAAGGTATTTTCCCCACATTCATGTAGTTTCATGGTTGTTTGTGTGAGAGTTATCTTGATGATGATTACTGTGTTGCCGTACCCAGAGCTGAAGGACATGGCTCCTGCCATGGAAGAACCAGAGGAGGAGAAGATCTCAACTAAAGACTTGGAAGAGATTGAATCAGCTCTGGAGGAGATTGCTGAACAGAAGCAGCTGAACATCGAGAAAGAAGAACTCCAGGATCTCAAGGAAGAGGTGGAGGAGTACAAGGAGGTGAGTCACATGGGGGTGTTGGTGGGGTGTTGGTGGGGTGTTGGTAAGGAGTCACATTGGGGTGTTGGTGGGGTGTTGGTAAGGAGTCACATTGGGGTGTTGGTGGGGTGTTGGTAAGGAGTCACATGGGGGTGTTGGTGGGGTGTTGGTAAGGAGTCACATGGGGGTGTTGGTGGGGTGTTGGTAAGGAGTCACATGGGGGAGTTGGTTGGGTGATGTGTTGTTGGGGTGCTGTTGGTAGGTCGTTGGTGAGGTGTGGGTAAGGAGTCACATGGGGGAGTTGGTGGGGGGTGGTATTGGTGGGGTGTGGGTAAGGAGTCACAGGGGGGAGTTGGTGGGGGGTGGTATTGGTGGGGTGTGGGTAAGGAGTCACATGGGGGAGTTGGTGGGATGGTGTTGGGGTGGTGTTGTTGGGGTGATGTTGGTAGGTCGTTGGTGAGGTGTGGGTAAGGAGTCACATGGGGGAGTTGGTTGGGGGTGGTATTAGTGGGGTGTGGGTAAGGAGTCACATGGGGGAGTTGGTGGGGGGTGGTATTGGTGGAGTGTGGGTAAGGAGTCACATGGGGGAGTTGGTGGGGGGTGGTATTAGTGGGGTGTGGGTAAGGAGTCACAGGGGGGAGTTGGTGGGGGGTGGTATTGGTGGGGTGTGGGTAAGGAGTCACATGGGGGAGTTGGTGGGGGGTGGTGTTGGTGGAGTGTGGGTAAGGAGTCACATGGGGGAGTTGGTGGGGGTGGGGGGGGGGGTGTTGGTGGGGTGTGGGTAAAGGAGTTACATGGGGGCGTTGGTGGGAAGTCACATGGGGTTGTTGGTGGGAAGCCACATGGGGGTATTGGTGGGGGTGTCGGTGGGGTGTTGATGGGGTGTCACATGGAGGTGTTTGTGGGGTGTTGGTGTTGGTGGGGTGGAGGTGGGGAGTCACTTGGAGGTGTTGGTGGGGTGTCAGTTGGGAGTCACTTGGAGGTGTTGGTGGGGTGTCAGTGGGGTGTAGGTGGGGAGTCACTTGGAGGTGTTGGTGGGGTGTAGGTGGGGAGTCATATTGTGTTTTTCTCAACAATGAAGCACTGTGACGTCATGTGGCTGACCAATCAGCATTGAGAATCACAAATATGCACATGTGCAAATATCAGAAAGTTATTACACACGATCATTGTAACCTTATGGATAATATGTGATGTTATGCCATCTGTAGGTGATTGAAATGTGGAGTTTACTTTTATTTATCATCAGGACTTGGAAGACTTGAAGAGTGTCATTCTGGCATCTGGGAGACCTCAGGAGGATCTTCGCGAATCCAAGGCTGCTCAGCGTCTGACGAAGCGAGTGAGTAAGATGATCTCCCAGCTGGACGACGTGATCTCAGGACTCCACAAGGAGAAGCAGAAGTTTCAGGAGGAGTTGGAGGTCAAGCAGGTCAGGATGAAGTGGACCTCGGAGCAGAAGGATGACGAGCGACTGCAGCAGATACGCAAGGAGATTGCAGAGGAGAAGTCAGTACACTTCATCTTGTGTTTGCTGCTAGGGATTTTTGGAATTGCTAGTGGTTGTAGAGTTGAGGTGGGATGGATTGTAGTCTCCAGAAGACACTCAAGGAAATTGCAGATGAGGATTCAGAACACTAGCGTGTTAGGGATTGTTAGTCATTGAGTTGAGGTGGGGGCAGGCTCCATCATTTTTCAAGGTGATCACAGAATTTGATGAATTTGTTACATAAACAGATCGAAGACTAGAATATTTTGCATATGTCAGCATGGACCTTGGTATCATTGGATCGGACAACTTTGTCACAATTTGACCAGTGGTTTTGAATGTTATTGATGTTGAATTATATTGAGCTATCTCCCCTTGATCTATACAGTCACAATGTTATCATGATTGAGATCTAAGTGAATACCATCTTATGTTTAACACACTCCTCATACCCATACTGGGGCACGGGTGGCAATTCGCAGTGCAGAGTTGTGTCCCTTGTGCAGGCCAAAAAAGTGTGACTATGGGTTTGAATCCTGGTTCATCCCGATTATGTTTGTAGGTTTGTCAGCACCATACCCGTGCTCGTGGGTTTCACCCAAGTGGTAAACATCTCAGACCTGCATCACTTCGGATTTTCCTACCACCTTAAGCTGACACGCTGTGTTATAACTGGAATATTGTTCAAAGCGGCGATAAACCCAACTCACTTACTCATACCAATAATGCTCATATTAATCCATTGTTTTACTTGTCAGGAACACCATCATCAGCATCAATGAGATGGTTCTTGCACTGAAGCGGATCCAGAAGGTGCCAGACGAGACCAAGCTGCAGACTATCGTGGAGGTGCTGGACCAGGACATGGATGGCATCATCGACATCAATGATGCTCTCAAGGTATGTAGCAGCGGTGGCGGCAACAGTTTATTAAGCACGTTATTCAATATTGAAATGGACCTGAACTAAAACTTATGTTTTTCTACCAGGAATGCTATGTTTTAATATTTCACCATAAAATGTACATCAGTTACATATAAGCCGACCCTTGAAGATCCGGGTGGAATAGGTCTTCAGCAACCCAAGCAATAAAAGGCGACTATGCTTGTTGTAAAGAGTGACTAACGGGATCAGGTGGTCAGGCTCGCTGACTTGGTTGATGCATGTCATTGTATCCCAGTTACGTAGATCAATGCTCATGACATCAATCACTGGATTGTCTGTTCCAGACTTGATTATTTACAGACCGCCGTCATATAGCTGGAATATTGGTAAGTGTGGCGTTAAACAACAAACAAACAAACAAACAAACAAACAAACAAACGAACAAACACACATATAAGCCTCAAAATGTGTGGTTGACAGCATGGAGTATGACTAGCATCAACCTGATCACACATGCACATAATCACCGACCGAACCTAAATTATTCCCTGCCATGGAGATTGAGGTTTAGGACAGGTGAACCTATACTTGCCATAAGAACCGACCGGGTTGTGTGGCTTCATGAAATGGTGGTACTAGGAGATGAGGAGGATGTGGTGGAACGGTGGTACTGGGAGATGGCAATGTGATAAAACGGTGGTACTGGGAGATGAGGCTATGGTGAAACGGTGGTACTGGGAGATGAGGATGTGGTGAAACAGTGGTACTGGGAGATGAGGATGTGGTGAAACGGTGGTACTGGGAGATGAGGATGTGGTGAAACGGTGGTACTGGGAGATGAGGATATGGTGAAACGGTGGTACTAGGAGATGAGGATGTGGTGAAACGGTGGTACTAGGAGATGAAGATGTGGTGAAACGGTTGTACTAGGAGATGAGGATGTGTTGAAACGGTGGTACTGGGAGATGAGGATGTGGTGAAACGGTGGTACTGGGAGATGAGGATATGGTGAAATGGTGGTACTGGGAGATGAGGATGTGGTGAAACGGTGGTACTGGGAGATGAGGATATGGTGAAACGGTGGTACTGGGAGATGAGGATGTGGTGAAACGGTGGTACTGGGAGATGAGGATGTGGTGAAATTGTTGTACTGGGAGATGAGGATGTGGTGAAATGGTGGTACTGGGAGATGAGGCTGCGGTGAAACGGTGGTACTGGGAGATGAGGATGGGGTGAAACGGTGGTACTAGGAGATGGCAATGTGATAAAACGGTGGTACTGGGAGATGAGGATGTGATGAAACGGTGGTACTGGGAGATGAGGATGTGGTGAAACGGTGTTGCTAGGAGATGAGGATGTGGTGAAACGGTGGTACTGGGAGATGAGGATGTGGTGAAACGGTGTTACTAGGATATGAGGATGTGGTGAAACGGTGTTACTAGGAGATGAGGATGTGATAAAACGGTGGTACTGGGAGATGAGGATGTGGTGAAACGGTGGTACTGGGAGATGAGGATGTGGTCAAAAGGTGGTACTAGGAGATGGGGATGTGGTGAAACGGTGATACTAGGAGATGGATATAAGGGATCAGTGTGACCTACTCAGCAGGCAAGCATCCCAACAAGGCAGTAGTTTCTAGTATCTGACTGTTCCAGGTGATTGAGACACTAGGGCGGGAGAATGTGAAGCTGAACAAGTCCCAGGTGACGGAGATGCTTGAACTGCTGAGACAGGAGGACGTCATTCAGGAGGAGGAGAAGCGACGTGAAAAGGAGGAAAAGGAGAACACGAAGCAGGGCACAGAGCAACAGCAACAACAGCAGCAGCAATAGTGGTTACAGTCTATATCATCTCATTCCTTCTACAGATCTATGAAACAATGAAGTAAACGCATAGGATTGCAGCCCCTGTAGACCCTGTGAGAACAGCAACAAGGAGAGATGCTTGTACCAGTGCATTGCCTGGGTTAGAGCCTCTGTTGCTTGCACAATTTGTTGAGAAATTGTAGGAAGCACTTGCTTATTCTGGAATCCATGGAAATTCTGTATGGCATGTGCCTGAATCCATCATTTTGATCAACCTCTGGCCATGATGGACTTGATTGTCTGCCAGATTAGAAATGTGCATTCTCGTCATTAGTTAGATGTATATTTATGAGATGAATCTGAAGATTGATTATGAGATGTATGTGAAGATTAAGATTGATATTGGTAGTTATGAACAGAATTGATTGTGACATAGGTGTTCATTGAGTGCTGAGGGACCAGTCATTTATTACAGGGGTGTCGTGGGTCGGAGGTTTTTGATGAACTTATGTACTGAAAAATATGAATCTCCCCTAATGCTTGTCAGATTTATGGATAGCCCTCCCCATGTCCTTGTACAATTTTTTCATGACCCCTTCCCAAGTATGTGTGTAATTTTTTATGACCCTCCCCTCGACTAGCATGTTTTTTGGTGACCCTCCCCTGATTCCTTCTGCCCCCATCCTCCCTATAAATGACTGGTCCCTAATATTGTGAAAATTATATCAACTTTTGCCTAAACAGTTTGTATGAATACTGAATTGTACTTATATTGTTGTTTAGTGGTGTTCATTACTGCTGGAACAGATGAAAATATTAAACATAGAAGAAGACATACTTGTGACATAATGCTGGAAGCATGTTAAAGTTAGAGTTGTATGTTGAATGTATGGCAAATGGATAGTCATTTTTTCCAGAAGTTAGATGGGAAACATATCAGAGACTTCATGTTAAAATTGTGAGAGGAATCAAAACATGATGTGTCGAGCATAGTTGTGATGCATCAGTAACCATGGAAACTAGTGGTGTGCTGACATGCAACTGGTATTATTGCTGATCTCATATAGCCCATGATAGCCAGGATATAGAGGCCTATTCTTCTAGTAACAGGGATGGAAGTTAACAAAGAACATCTACTATCCCAAATAGTCATAACATATCATGCATATACAGGCCTCAAAGTTGCGACTAAAACGGTGGCCAATGCGACCTAAATTTCAATTTGTCTACTGTCTAAAATTCTGAGGTAGCCAAATGACTACCTTCAAAAATATCTTTTGGCGACTTAATTCTATTGCTACACATATATCATGATATATAGACACAAAAATAAACGTGTCTGCTACTAATTGTACTTGCAAATAATTCCTCCTAAAGTCAACAATGAACCAAATTCATAAATATTAATGTAATTAGTATTTTATTTTAGTTGATAGTTTATTTGATAAGCAAGGATATACCTATATAATCTAGTAACATAAATTGCATCATTGCTCGAGTCACAAATAACAAAAACTCAAGTACAGCATGTACAGTTTCCACTAATATACAATTCCAAGACTAGTGCTATGACTTGTACATATAATAGTTATTTGATAAAAGATAATTTCAAATGCTTTTGGCTACCAACACTATTGACTTGACTTTTTGATTTTACCACTGGCTACCTGGAAAAAAATACTTGTAGCCATATGGCTACTTAATAAAAATGTAAACTTTGAGGCCTGATATAGCAATATCTCCCAAATTGTTGAAATGCTTCTAGCCCTTACAACACCTTCACATTAAAGAAACTGGCCATGGCTTCCATCCCTGAATATTATATAATCATCTTCATCAGATCTTGATGTGTTCCAACAAACCAAAGAATATTCATCTGTGCATGTTGTAGTCATGGTGGTATTATAATCTCATTAACGTCCAATCTTTTACTGTAATATGATACCTCTTTGCATGAAGATCTAACAAATCCTCGATAGGAGGTATTTCTGATCGGCCAATCAGCATTGAGGCATCTAAATTCTCGGTAAAAGTGAGCAGTTTGTATCTTGCAAATAGGGAGTCCCGAATGGAATATGAAGAAGGCAATGCTATTATTATATTTCTTGGATTTTTATACATCCTGTCAATTCAGAGCGCCATGGCATCTACGCCCTAAACGGTGTGCTATTGAATGAATATTGAGGTGGTGAAAATATGAAGCTGAATTGCTTCAGAAGGTAGGCATTTGACTCAAGAACCCATGGATGTTTGAAATGGAATTGGATTGTTCAGATCTACATGCAGAGGGAGATGTTGTTTTGGAGTGAACGATCTGATGTAAGTGAGATGAGGTGGTACTATCTATATTTACCTGAGACAACTTGCAGATCTGTGACTCAATCGTCTGGTAGTGTAGCAATGTGGAGAGATGTACAGCTACACTGACAACTGCATTTCATTAGTGAAGCTCCCAATATGTTGGTACATATTTTTGTTGGCCTAAAGCGTGTCTTTCTAGACTATCTATTTGGTGGTAATGGTGGTTCAGGGTTTTATCTTCCAGATTTTTTCAAATTCAGACCAAGCTCACATTGTACAGTCCAGTATTATCACAAATATATGTAAAGGCGACAATTTATGACGGTTTTTAAAATTTTTAAGTTGATTCTATTTTCAATTCAAATGAAGTGATCTTGGTAATGGAGCTGATGATTGGAATAGAAATTATGAGTATTTGTTGGTGTTTAATAAGCTTGAAAAAATAAAGAATTGGTTCTCTGGCAATGGCTTTTGAAAATATATTGGTTTTTTTGGGGGGTGTTTTTTTTTAGGGGGGTTGTCCAAACTAGTATGTAACCAAATAAACAGTTGTGTAACCAAATAAACAGTTGTGTACAATCATCCTTGATGAGTAAAAAGCTGGAATACAGTATTTGACTATCGTCGGACTTGGAATATTCAAGGATTTTTTTTCTTTCTAAAAATGGAAATGAAATGTGCTGTGAACTTTATGATGATGCGGGCGGTGCCTGAGAACCAAGAGCTTTATTTTTTTTAGCCATATAGTACAACTTTCTAGGTCACATGACTACAAGATATTGTTGAAGCTAGCTGAGGCACAATTAACCTGTGAGACAACTACTGCAGTGTTGCTATACATAGTGTATATTTGGTGTACATGCATTTACAGTTGGTCCTGTTTCCCCGTGAAAATCATCAGATGCATGTATTGCTGTTCAGAAAGATAACTCCTTATTTATATTTTGTTTGTTCAGTTGTTTTGGTGTCTTGTCGCACTTATTGTTGTAAATTATGGGTTTTGTGAATGGCCACAACAGTAGACAGACTAGAATATGTCGGTGTAGGCTAAGTTCACTCAGGGCATGGGTGCATGTATTTCAACAGCAGATGTTCATAGAGTGGGAATATTGCTGACCGTCATTACCTTCGGGGAATCCGGGTCAAAATATTTGTCGCCAAATACATGTAGATGTTTGTCGTAAGAGGTGACTAAATGAAGTGGATGGTCAGACTCACCGACTTAGTTGATACATGTCATCATATCCCAATTGCGTAGATCGATGCCAGTGATGTCAATCAATTGATTGTCTGGTCCAGAATCGATTAGTCACAGACAACCATCGTTTGGCTGAAATATTGCTGAGTGCGGCATTAAACAACAAACAAACATACCTAGCTGACCGAGGCATGTCACTCACTTACAATCACTGTCACTTACTTCAAAACACTAAGAATTTCTGTGTTATTTCAATGTAGCAAAACCTTTCTTTTTTGTTTTTGGATGCTGTCATCATTTTCAAACATGACGAGTGTTAATTCTCTCCATGATAATATATTTTAATGTAAGATATTGCTTGAAAACAATGGGAATTATAGTGGGTTATTGTGCACATTACAATATGAGGATAAAGGAAATTTTGCTGAAGAAGTTGGCGTCAAATTTGTTGCACATTTATTTTGTTCACTTTGATTCTGTTGCCTTGTTTCTTTTTCTATCTTCAAGCCATTAGCAGTACATAAATAAACAATTCTGTTTGCTACACTGAAATGACACAGAAAGTTAAGTCAGTGTTCCCGTTTCCAGAAATTACCAGTTTTATCACGGAAAAACTAGGCTTGGACTGGTAATTCATGTGACTGCCAGTCCCTGTGGACCAGCAGATACAGTACCTTATACATATTTGTGGTGAGGGGGGCACGGGTGGCCCAGTCATCTAAGGCGCTGTGATTCGCTGTGCAGAGTTGCGTCCCTTGGGCATGCCAGAAACCTATTATTGTGGGTTCGAATCCCGGTTTGCCCCGATTATGTTTCTAGGTTTGTCAGCACCATACCTGTGCTCGTGGGTTTCACCGAAGTGGTAAACGTCTGAGACCTGCATCACTTCGGGATTTTCCTCCCACATTAAGCTGACACGCTGCGATATAACTAGAAAACTTTTAAAAGCAGCGTTAAACCAAACTCACTCACTCACTCACTCTTTGTGGTGAGCAAAACATCAGGGATATTCATATCAGTAAGTTTTTCGAACAAAGTCAGCTTGTCTGTTACCATCAGGGTTTCCCCTTGTCTATTAGTAGTGCAAGGAAATAACATTTCACTCTGCTTTGAGGTTAAATGTATATATTTGTAGCCACTTAGCCTCGAAATATAAAAAAAACAGGAACTTGTGACTGAACTGTGTGTGAATGACATGCATATCTAACTAAGTCACTTCAGAAATGACGCCATTGCATTGAACATGATGTTGATGGAATTGAAACCATGTAACTTTCATACGTTTTTTATTTGTTGAAAGTTGGGACTGACAAAAATTAGGGGGGACTGGTAATTGTCAGAGTTGCCAGCCCAGCAGGACTGACAGTTTCAAAAGCAAGCGGGAACACTGGCTGTAGTTCTGTGTGGAAATACTTTTTGTCCCATCTTGTATACTTCAAAGGCATTTTATGTTTCTATGGTAGTTGAACATGTTGAAGACCTGCTAAGTCATATTATCCTAACAACCTGTATTAGCATATACATGATATATGAAATAATTATGATGATGCTAGTCTTGCCATTCAATACTCAATTGTAAGATTTTGAAAAGCATTACATAATCATTGTAATCTAAACCACTAACACAGTTAATGTAATACAGACTATGAAACCTTGATACTTCTCTGGAGACGTTGTGACGTCATTATGGCCCTTGTAGGTATTACGATGTTAGCACTCTTCTTGACGAAGGCGACTATGCTTGTTGTAAGAGGCGACTAACGGGATCGGGTGGTCAGGTTGCTGACTTGGTTGATGCATGTCATCGTATACAAATTGCGTGGATTGATGCTCAGGATGTCAATCACTGGATTGTCTGGTCCAGACTTGATTATTTACAGACTGCCGTCATGTAGCTGGAATATTGCTGAGAGCGGGGTTAAACAACAAACAAATCAATTTCTTGGATTGATGCTCGTGATGTCAATCACTGGATTGTCTGGTCCAGACTCGATTATTTACAGACCGCTGTCATAAAGCTGGAATATTGCTGAGAGTGGCGTTAAACAACTAACAAACAATCGTCTTGACTAACTGGTTCCACTGTTGGTTCACCCAGTAACCTTAACATATTTGGCCAACAGGCAGGAGCCACAAAATTGTTGCCACAAATAAGATTGTTTTGGGCGATACAAATTATAATTGCTCTGGTGATGTTAACTTAGACCAAAGCCTAAAGGTCTCAAACCAGCTAAAAAGAAATATACGGCCTAAACAAGTAAAAGTACACTTTTAGTGTGAGAATACATAACCAGAGAACATGATACCCTTACTAAATATTTGTAAATGTTTTAATGTAACAAATTCTTGATGCACATGAAAACTCAGGATTTGTTGCTTTTGTTCCTAATAGGACTACAGGTAGCTCAGATGTTGTAGATAGTGTGTGCTGCTTAACCATCCGTTCAGTAGCTGAACGTGTATCACTGATTCTTGTGGTGCTCTGAACATAATATACATACTAGTGTTGTAGCTTGTGTTGAGTGCAGTTGATGAGTGTCAGTCTTGTTGGTGACTGGACTATTTATTACAAGGCATGTCTGAAATGATACACTGTTGTGCTGACTCACTGGGAATAGGCTACACTTAACTGTTTTCCTGAAACACTGGGGATGGGCTACACTTAACTGTTTTCCTGAAACACTGGGGATAGGCTACACTTAACTGTTTTCCTGAAACACTGGGGATGGGCTACACTTAACTGTTTTCCTGAAACACTGGGGATAGGCTACACTTAACTGTTTTCCTGAAACACTGGGGATGGGCTACACTTAACTGTTTTCCTGAAACACTGGGAAAAGGCTACACTTAACTGTTTTCCTGAAACACTGGGAATAGGCTACACTTAACTGTTTTCCTAAAAC